ATGCGCGCAGAATGGGTTCTCGGTAATTGCGATAGAATGTCTCACCGAGTTTCGCATCTGAATCTTGGACCCTGTCAAGAAGAAGGTCAAGAAGAGCACTAGGGGCTATGTTAAGATGCAGACAAAGCTGCATCACGACTTGGCCGACCACACGCTGAGGAGGATTTGCGTGGAACAAATTACGCACGACTGTCGCCGCGCGACGAGTCAGATTCTTTGCCGATGATTCACCTTCCTGTGGTAGAATTCTGCGTAGCACGAGCACATTCGCGAGCTCGCGATATCCGTCGGCGAGTCGTTGTGCGGCTATGCAACCTTGTGCGTTCTCCAAATTGATCGCACCGAGATCAAACTTTGGTAGCGCAATCAGTCCTCTGAGACACGCAAATGCTTCTTCCCCTAGTCGCGCAACTTTGCTCGAACCGTGATCCTTTGTAAGCGTTCTCAGAAGCTGTGCCGCAGCGGGCATAAGGTATTTGCGACTAGAATCAGCGTCATTGGCAATGTTTTGCGAGTAGAAGATGGATGACGATATCAGCTTGATCACGCGTCTGTTTCCATTTTCTTGCGGTAAGGAGAGCGCCAAGAGCGCTTCCTTATCGCCACCACTCCACGGCGAGTTCAAAATACTATCAAAGAGAACCAGAATTTCGCGAGCTAAATGACCAGTCTGATTGGCTGGTGTATCTTGTTCTAGAACGAAAGAACTTTCGAGTCTACCAGAAATGCTATCTAAATATTGACCGACAGCATGAAAGTGCGTCGTTCTCGAGGCGGTGAAAAATTCCAAATCAGTGAAATGCATGGACATAGTCCAACTTGACCACTGCACGACGGCGATAAATCTATTAAGCAGCCGTTTGCTCCCATTCTCAAGCGCCTTCATTTCGGGAACTGAAGCATCGACGCAAGACGAAATCACATGCAAGTTGCCTTGCAGCCACCGTCGGACGTCAGAAAGCGCCAGCGGCGCGATGGTGGCAAAAGCCTGCTGTGCCTCGCGTCTCAAGAAATCATCACCGCTAGCGGTGAGCTCGAGTAGACTTCGCATGAATGAGTCAGTACATTTCGACACTGTTGATCCCGGTGAATGCAGGAGCCATTTCGCATGAGTCTGGATAGCGCGTAGGATCTCGCGAACAACGATAGCCATAGCAACATCAGCGCCTCTCGTGGAAACTCCAACAGTCAAAGAATGTTCACCCGACCTTTCAATACTTTTGAATGTAACGTTAAGTATTTCCAGAACGTATTCATCGAGCAAGTTTCGATGCTTCGTCACATGCTTGAGACACTTTCTTAGCGCCGTGACCGCACCCAATCTGTGCGCTGAGCCCGTGTGTCCCATCAATCCGAACAAGGTGCGCAGAATGTACCTGTGATTTACCGTACCTTCGAACGCTTTCGTATCTCGCACATATTTTATACTCCACTCTAACAACTCTGCGACTAGTGAGGCGCAAAGATCACGAACGGCACCGGCTTTTGAAGTGTTTGACAGTCCCTCGATTAAGGCGTCAAACAAACACAGTGTCACGTCCAACTCACGAGCTTGGCTCTTCGCATACCATCTGGTCATTTGGAAGCTAAGGTCGCTGAAGAGCTTTCTGGAGATTGCATCAGCATCGACAGACAATTCGAAAATTATTGGGAAAAGTTTCTCGAAAATTGAGCGGTACTGAGATGCGCTGCGAGTGAAATCGCCCGCCGACGCCGTCGGACCTTGCGCGCTTCTGCCAATCAAAAAGACAGTTGAACCATAAAGTGCCTCGCACGCAGCAATTTTTGTCGCTCTATCTTGAGAAGACATAGCCAAATGAGAAGTGCGAGGAAGTAATTTATCGAGCCATAACTTTGTAGACGATCGAACCAAACCGATGGGCATCGACAGCTTCGAGTCAGAATCCCACGGCGAGTCGAGCTCACTGTTTGATTTTGCAGACAATAAACCGTGTGCTGCGCCACCCATCGAGCCCAAAATTTTAACGATCCGAATGAAAGTCGCGCGTTTGAGCCTCATTTCGTCTTGCTCCTTGCTCGCCTGCTTTTTCTTCCTGTCGCGACCCTCGCTTTCGTATACTTCGCCAAAGAACGCATTCGAACTCGATGCGCTGTCCAAGTACGCACTAAGGCGTTTAGCTATCTGTACTAAGTGCGGAGAAGTCTCATCTAGATGCTTACCATCGAGCCAGCGCTCGAGGGTGTTCAAAGCGATTGTCGTCACCGGAGGATGTTGTAGACCAAGTTCAAGGGCTCGCAACAGTGGTGCTATCAAATTTTCAATCGGAAGTATTACCGAAGGGAGTGTCAATAGTAATTGTAACACAGACGCGAGCAGCTCGCCGGAGAATCGTCTTGTGTCTTGCAAAACATCTCGTAAGAATTCTCGAAACAGCGCGACGACTTGCTCCACTTCGGCTGAATCTCGTCTGCCAAAGTATCCACTGCGATCAGCGGCATTGACGATCGTTCCAATGAGTTTGTAAAAGGCAGAAATCGAGCTGTTTCGATTAGCCATCGCCATTAATTTCGTGCTGATATGGTTCACCCAAGGCAGTAATGCGTCTGCAGGGGACTCCTCAATGACTCGCTGTGCGAACTCTACGAGCTGTAAGAAGGTGCACATATCACCCGGATTAGATGCGCTTGCGTCGTCGCCTAAGCTCACCGCCACTGAAGTTGTGTCTAAATCATCGCTAGTAGAAGTATCGGTTCGTGCGTTTCGTTCGCTATTCGAATCCTCTCCGGTAGGCGTCACAATGCCAAGATCGAGCGTAGTGCAAAAGTTGAGGAGCTCGTTTACGAAACAACCGTAAACGCCTGCGGCGCATTCATTGCCGCCGCCGATGAGAGCCGTCCAAAGATCGACGTAACGAGGCCACATCGGTACCGGATCGTTTTTGCACAGCACTTTGTCGATTGGGTCCGGCTCAGAAAATCGGAGCGTCAAGAACAAAAGCTGAGAGCCGATGCGCGTCAAGAGTGTCTGAAGAGCGCAACCTTTGGAAGCGAGAACGACAAACAAATTCAGCAACGCGTTACGAATTTGAGGTTTACGTCTCTCGAGTTCGAAAGCGTACTGCTCCCAAATCCAAACAACCAAACCAGCGAAAGTCTCTAGAAGCGCCTCGTCAATCATAACGTTTGAAGATCGCAATACGTCGCTAAAAGCCGATAGTAATGCCACCTGACGCTCAATGCTTTCGAATCTTTCTTGAAACTCATTTTCTCCTTGCTGAAATTTGATGTACATCGTGAGCTTGCCGAGTCGTTCCATGTATGTATTCACCTCTGCGTAGTCGTCGGAGAGCAACTCCATCGCCGGCGCGGCGAATTTCCCCAATGCGTGAACGCACGCCGTCTTATCACGTTGTGACGTTTTCTCGTCGTCTAGCATCCGCATGATGACTTTTAAAATATCATCCAGTAATTTTGCGCGGGAATCCCGTGATGAAGAAAACGTATCGCACACGAACGCGTCACGCATGGCAGGTAAAAACTCTTCGTACGCTGCTGCCGCACAGCGAGCCAGTTCCTTGTTGTTGTGCGTGCGCAAATTCAACAGGAGCTCGAACATCTTGGAAGAGATTTTCACCAGTTCGTGTCTCAACGCGTGCGCGTGCGTGGTGATTAAGTCAAGCGCTGCCTTGGACATGTCTGTTCGAGTTCCAGTCTCTCGCAACGACACCGCGTGCTCGACGATGCGAACAATGCGCGCAAAATTCGCCTTGTCCGCACCTTCTTCGGCGACGCGCGCGGATAAGGACGCCGTAATCGCATATAACGCGCTCGCCATGAGCACAATCTCCTTCTTTACGTCTTCTTCATCGTCCAGCGCGGCATCTAAAATGCGACACGACGCCGTCATCAACCACTTCGCCGTCGGCGCACTCGAGTCCTCCATGGCTTCCTCCGCCGTCACGAGCGTCAAACCCTCGCGTCGCAACCCTTCGTGCATACCGCCGATGACTCGCAATATCAAACCTTTCACCGTCTTGCTATTTTTCGTGTAACTCTCGAAATCTCTGCGCAAAGCCCGTCCGTACGCCTGCATCGTCCCTCGTCCAATCTCGCCCGCGTATCGTCTCGCCAACGTCAACAGCGTCTTCAACGCCCCCGAGCGCACGCTCATCGACGTCTCCTTACGAAACGTCATCATGATCACTTCAAACCCATCCCTGGCTCGCGATCCCAACCCACCATCATCGCCGTCCATTCCCTCCATCCTCGTCGCGAGCTCTCCCGTCAAGTCCAACGCCTTGGCTCGCGCCGTCGCGAACGCGTTCCCTCGTCGTCCATCCGTCGCCTCCACGAACGCCACCACGCCCGCGCGCCGATCGAACACCGCACCCGGGATCCCCAGACGCGCCACGTCTTCCTTCGCGATCGATTCGCATCGTTCCTACGTCACCGTTCGTCAGTTTCCAAATCAAATCAAATCAAATCATCATCCTTCTGTCGTCGTCGTCGTCGTCGCCGCACCTTGAGTTCCACGAGCACGCCCTGCGCGTCCACCGCGCTGGCGTCGCCCTCGCCCTCGACGTCGCGCAGACGCGCGAGATACCCTCGAATCGCCGCGTCGTCGTCGTTCATCGCGAACGCATCTTCGTCGAAACTGTCCCAGAGACGCGTCGCGTTGTCGCGCCTCGCGCGCGCCTCGCGCGTCGCGCGCGTCGCTCGACCGCGCGCGCGAGAGAGACACGTCGAGACGCGCGACGATCGAGGCGCGCGACGATCGAGGCGCGCGACGCGGCGACGGCGACGCGGCGAACGCGCTGCCCGGGAGTGCCCGGTTTGCGCGCGCGCGCGTCGAGCGCGTTCGCGACGCGCCGACGCGCACACGACGACGCGGGATGGCGTCGCGCGATGGAACGCGCGAGCGCGAACGCGCGTGGCGCTGGACGACGGCGCGAACGCGCGCGCGCGCGATGCCGCAGCGCTGGCTCGCGTCGATGACGAAGAAATTCAACGACGCGAAAGACGACGACGATGCGTCGACGTCGACGACGAAGACGACGAAGGAGGACCTCGGACGCGCGACGTGGACGTTTTTACACACGTTCGCGGCGCAGTACCCGGATGAACCGACGCGGCGGCAGGAGCGAGACGCGCGGGAGTTGATTATGATTCTCACGCGAGCGTACCCGTGCGGCGAGTGCGCGGCGCATTTCGCGGAGATTGTGCGCGTGAATCCGCCCGATTGCTCCTCGGGGTTGGCTTTGCAGCGATGGATGTGCGCGGTGCACAACGAGGTGAACGCGTCGCTGGGCAAAGCGTGGTTTGATTGCGCGAAGGTGGACGGGCGGTGGAGCAAGTTGGAGTGCGACGAGTCGGACGCGTCGCCGGGGTGCTCGCTCGAGGGGCGGCGGCGGAAAATGATGCGATGACGCGTCGTTACGAGAGTATCGTCGTGTTGTGTAATGTAGAAACTTTGCTAAAAATTTACGTCGGTTTAGGCTATTCATTCTTTTGGTTTCGCTCGTTTCCCTCGCGCTCGAATCTCCGGAAGCACGCTCGACAACGCTCTGCCGTTGAGATCGAGTTTCACGACAGGATTCTTCCCACCCTTGACGGATTTGCACCCGAGTTCGCGCGTGTACGCCATCATCTCTTTCGAGTCCACTTTCAAGTGCGGGCGCACGAGCTCAATCTCCAGCGTCCACTGGCAAAGGCGAAGCGCGATGAGAATGACTTGCAGTCGTACGAGATCTCTTCTGTGTTTGGACATGACGTACTGTCGAACGTCGCTCGCCACGTCTTCGTCCATATAACTATGTATGAGTGCCTCCTGAAGCAACGGATCGACGTTTTCGGCGCTGGTGAACGTGAACCGATGCGAGGGCTCGGTCGGCGTCTCGGCGTCCTCTGTCGCCTTTGGCTTGGCTTCTTTGATTCGTTCGCGCGCAAGTAACTTGCACAGCGCGTCGGCGTACATAATGAGCTGCGCGCGTTTGTTGAGTTCGGGCTTTGTGCCCGTTTTGAGGCACAACGACGCCAAAGCCAGCGTGAGCGGCTCAAACGTGACTTCGCCCGAATCGGTAGCGCCGTCGGCGTTTTCCAAAAGATCCTTCGACCGAAGCTTATGAAGCAACGCATGGCACGGCATGGAGGCAATCGGGTACGCCTCGTCCAAATTCAACGCGTTTGGTTCGTGAGGCGGAATATTCCGCGTTTTCCCAGCCTCGAGGATGAGTTCGGCGCGACTCTTCAGCGTCGCCGCTCCCTCGGCGATGTGCGCCTGCATGAGCTTCGGCGACGCAATGGAAGCTTCGTCCAATTTTCTCGCCGCGTTCAGCCTATTCACTTGGCGCTTGCGCTTGTCCGACGCGAACGCTTCGAGTTGTTTCGCGTTGATCTCCGCGCGAACCGCCGGATCGTTGATATCCGCCAAATCGCTCTTGGAGTGCTCCGTGTAATTGTACTTGCGCAAGCGCGTCTCCAAGTCAATCACTCGCCCGCCAGCGATCGGCATCAACTCCAACTCGTACGCCCCATCATCCTCACCCGACGCTTTCTTCAGCCTCCCCAACATCATCTTCCCGTCGTACCCCCGTTCGCGCTCGTACGCTCTCCCAATGCCGCTCGCCGCGTGCGTAAAATTCTTCCCCACGTACTCCACCCCGTCGAGCGTCCCTCGCACGACGATATTATTCCCCCGAAACGCCTCCTCCAGCCCCCCGTGCATCCCGCGGTGCCTCTTCAAGCCTCCGTCTCCGTACTTCTCCGCGAGTTCCTCGCGATCCATCCCACGTCTCGGCCGCCACGCCTCGAACGTCGTCGCTCGCTCGACGCCCCGCGCGCCGACCGCCCCGCACCGCATCACGAACGGTCCATCCCGCGCTCCCGCGTCGTCGTCCGAGTCGCTCTCGTTATCGGACTCGAGTCCACGCTTCGCCCGCTCGCCGCTGACGCGCAACCGCAGCGTTTTCACGCCCGCGCGTCGCAGTCGCGCGCCGAACGACGACGCCGCCGCATCCGCCGGTCGTTGCGTCATCACCGTCTCGCGGCGTCACGCGCGCGTCGAACGACGCGCGTCTCGCGTCGAGACGTCGAGCGTGCGCGCGCGCGCGCGTTCACGCTCGCTCGCGGCGTCGAGCCGCGGCGTCGCGCGGTGCGGCGCGTCGACGCGCGCCGCGCTCGACCCCATCGGGTACGTTGAGTCGTGTACCGTCGTATATGGGTAAACAGTGAAGAGTCAAAAAAGATAACGGCGCGCGGCGTATCTCGCGCCGAACGTCACAGCGCGCGCGCCGCGCGGGCATCGCTCGCGAGTCGCTTCGATCGGTGACGACGCGCGCGATGACGCCCGACGCGACGGTGGCGCGCGGCGCCGCGCGCGCGACGACGCGCGCGACGACGCGCGCGCGCAAGATGCAGCGCGCGACCGCGCGGATAACGAGCGCGACGAGGAAAGACGCGCGCGGGCGACGAACGGTGACGCGCGCGAGCGCGCTGGACGACGCGAGCGAAACGCACGACGTCGTGGTGATCGGAAGCGGGATCGGTGGGTTGTCGTGCGCCGCGCTGTTGGCGAAGTACGGATACGAGGTGAAGGTGTTTGAGAGTCACTATCTCGCGGGCGGGTGCTGTCACATGTTCGATCATCGAGCGCCGGATGGGGCGTTGTATAAGTTTGAGGTCGGACCGAGCATTTGGGAGGGGTTGGATCGACCGACGGGGAACCCGCTGAGGATGGTGCTGGACGCGCTCGGGGAGACGGTGCCGGTGAAGACGTACGACGGGATTTCGATGTGGACGCCGGAGGGGCACTGGAGGTTTCAAACCGGGGACGATGACGCCCCGGGTGGGTTCTGCGATTTGTTGCGCGAGAAGGCGACGGATCCGGAGTTGGCGATCAAGGAGTGGAAGGCGCTGAAGGGGCGGTTGGAACCGTTGTACGACGCGCTGGACGCGTGTCCGCTCACGGCGCTTCGCCAGGACGCCGGGTTGTTGGTGTCCACGGTGATTGCGATTCCGTTTTACCTCACCCATCCGAACGTGATGTTGGATATTCCTTATATTTTGGACTCATTTCATAAGTTATCGCGACAGTACGTCACCGAACCGTTCTTGAAGCAGTGGATCGACATGCTGGCGTTTTTCAGCGGGTTCCCGGCGGAGGGCACGATGGGGGCGACAATGATTTATAGTATTCCAGGATTCCATCGTCCCGGGGCGTCGTTGTGCGCGCCCGAGGGCGGTACGCAGGCAGTTGTGGATAAGCTTCAATACTGCTTGGAAAAGTATGGTGGTGAATTGCAGCTCAAGTCGCACGTGGAGGAAATCATCGTCGAAGACGGAGAAGCCAAGGGTGTGCGTCTTCGAAACGGTAAAGTCATCAAGGCGAACGTCGCGGTCGTTTCGAACGCGACTATCTGGGACACTGTGCCGATGTTGCCCCAGACAGACGAATTAATAGCACAAGGTCTCGACAGGGCGGTGGAGTGGAAGGACGAAATGTCGGAAATCCCCGCCCTCGGAAGCATCATGCACTTGTTCCTCGGCATCGACGCCACGGGCTTACCCGATCTGGATCCGTCGCATCTGTGCGTTTTGGACTGGGACCGACCTCTCGGTGATCCCCAAAACGTCATCACAATCTTCATTCCCACCGTGCTCGATCCTGAAGTCGCACCCGAAGGTAAGCACATCATTCACGTGTACACAGCCGGAAGCGAACCGTACGACATTTGGGAAGGCAAGGATCGAGGGAGTCAAGAGTACAAGGATTTCAAGCGCGAACGCGCTGAAATCCTGTGGAATGCCATCGAACGCATCATACCGGACATTCGTAGCCGCGTCGAAGTTGAAGTGTACGCGTCTCCGCAGACGCATCAACGGTTCCTCCGACGGCACCGCGGCACGTACGGCCCGGCGCTCCCAGCCGGCGGCAGCCTCTTCGGCTTCTTACCTCTGCCCGAAGTTCCGCAACCGGGCGTATTATCCCCTATCCCCAAGTTATTACGTTGCGGCGACTCCGTGTTCCCGGGCGTCGGCGTTCCCGCGGTCGCCGCCTCTGGCGCCATCGCCGCGAGCACGCTCGCCCCGCTCCCCAAGCACCTCGGTCTCATGTGGGACGTTTCCCAAACTCAAAACACCTTTTGGCGCGAGTGCGGAGGCAAGGAAAAGTGGCTCGCGTCCGCGCCCGCGCCTTTCCGACCCGCCGCGGGCGGCGGCGCCGAATTCATGACCCCAGACCAATACTACAAGCCCAAGCCCGAGGCCGAAAAGTCCTTCGCCGAAATCGGCAAGCGCGGCGTCGTCGCTCAGTCCCGCGAGCGCGGCGTTGCGGATCGCGAGTCGCGGTGACGTCATTGGTAAATAAATACGCGAGAGCCACCCTCCGGCCGAGCGTCGCCGACGCGCGCGATAGCGTAGTGTATTCTATGAAGACCGAGCGTATTGTACGCCGTGCTCGCGAAAAGCGCCCGCGACCGTTGGATCGTCGTCACTTCGCGCGGCGGCGGCGCGCGGCGGCATGCCCGCGCCCCGCCCGACGATGGTCGCCCGCGTCGGCGCGTGCGGTGACCGCGACGTCACCCTCGACGACCTCCACGCCCGTCGTCGCGAGTACGTCGTCGCGCCGACGTCCGCGCTCGTCAAACGCATGCGACCGATGGTGCGGGACGCGCGGGATTTACCGCTCGTGTACGCGCTCATAAACGTCGCGAGCACGGTGCCGGCGATGGCGATGACGGTCGTGATGTCTCCGCCGTCGCACGCGCTCGGGTTGGCGTACGCGGTGACGATATATGGGTTGTATTGGCGACGGTTCGTCACGGCGGCGCACTACTCGAGCCACGCGCCGGCGTTTCGAGGCGACGGGACGGCGGGAACGGTGTTGAATAACGTCGCGAGTTGCGCGCTCGGACCGTTTTTCGGGATGCCGTGTGGGCTGTACGCGATGCGGCACGAGTTGATGCATCACGATGGGGACGAGGGGTCGAAGGCGAGCGGAGGGCGAGGGCGAGGGATGAATTCGACGGCGACGTACGCGAGAGACGGGGCGTTTGCGTTTTTGAGGTATTGGGTACGGTTCGGCGCGTGGTGCTTCGTGGAGTTGCTCGTCGGGGCGGTGAAGAGGAAGGCGTACGTCGACGCGATGCGGTGCGTCTTAGGACTCGCGGCGACGTATGGAGTGTATTCGTACGCGGCGGCGATGAACGCGACGGCGGCGTTTTGGATCTTTGTCGTGCCGTACGTCGCGGGATCGTTCGCGGCGGCGTTCGGAAGCTGGTCGCAGCAAATCTTTGTTGATCCAGATAAACCGCAGTGTCATTATCGTTCGTCGTACTGCGCGATCAATCATCCGAATAATCAGTTGACGTTCAACGATGGGTATTACACCGTGCATCGCGTCGACGCCGACGCGCACTGGTCCGACTTGCCAGAAAAATTTATCGAGTCTTTGGACGAGTTCGCGAGGAACGACGGTCTGATTTTTGACGGCGTCACGCGACGCCGCGTCGGGCTCGCGGTGTTGTGTGGCAGGTTAGGATGGTTAGCAGATAGATACGTCAACGTTGGACAGCCGGCGAGGACAAAGGAAGAAATAGTGGCGATGTTACGCCAACGCTTGCGACCCGTCGGAAAGAATAAAAGCGCGTAGTAACGGTAATAATATAACATAGCAGCTATCGTGGACGATCATCTGACTTTCGCGATCGTTTCGAGCAACGTCGCGTGCAGTTCTGGCGAAGACGTGGCCACGATGCCGATGTCGATGTCCAAAAATCGTCCCTTTGAAAAATCGAGTGGATTCCCGGCGCCATCGGTGATGACCCCTCCCGCCTCCTGAACCACGATCGCGCCCGCGGCGTGATCCCAAACTTTTTCTCTATAACTCGCGGGCGGAAACCTGAGATACATATTCGTGTCTCCACGGGCGAGCGCACCGTACTTTGCCATGCTATCGATGCGCACGGGCGGCGCCGTTACGCCCATCGCCGCGCTCAAAGAATTCGTAAACCCATGATCGGCGACGATGGAGTCCCCCCACGATTCCATGTACGTCGCTTCGCTCGAACTGGCCACTTTATTCGTCGTTATTTTCGCGCCATCTCGCAGAGGATGCTCCGCGTCGAACGCCCCCACAGTCGTCCCGCGCCCCTTGTACGCGACGAAAATTACTCCCGGCGCCGCCGTCGGAATTTCCGTCGCTCCTCGCGGTATCTTCTCGCTCGGCATGTTCGGACACCCGAGAACACCACCCGTAACTTCGCCGTCCTCCATGAGCGCCAAAGCGATGGCGTACTGCCGACCATTAATGAATCCTTTCGTGCCGTCGATTGGATCGAGAATCCAAAACGACCCCGACGCGCCGCCGTCCGTCGCCCCGCGATCGATCGCGTCCATGACCTCCTCCTCGCTCAGTCTGCGCTCCACCACGCCTTCGAGCGCATCGTTCACCACCGCCGTCACTCTCGCTCGCAATTTCGCGCCCGCTGGTTCCCGCATACTCCGCGCGTCTTCCTCCGCCACCAGCCCGACGTCCGGCCTCGCGACGCCCAGGACGTGCGACACCACCGCCTGCGCCGCGAAATCCGCCACCGTCACCGGCGAGTCGTCCGATTTCGACACTTTTTCGTTCGTTCGCAGCTCGAACTGCATCTTCCGGCACAGCGCGCCCGCGAGCCGCACCGCGCGCGCGGCGTCCGCCATGACTGATGGATAATCATCCGTCGCTCGAGACGCGCGTGCGCTCGCGCGCGGCGCGTTCGAGCGACGCGACGCGCGAGACGTCGACCGGGGCGCGAGCGCGCGCGCGCGGGTCGCGATCGCGCGCATGTCTTCGCGTCGCTCGCGTCGCGAAGTCGCGCGAAATCGCGTCGCGACGGCGACGAGAGGCGACGAGACGGCGTCGGTACGACGATGAATGAATGTGGAAACAACGCGCGCGCGCGCGAATCAATCGATCGCCTCGACGACGGAAGAATCGTTTCGAATCTCGACGTCGTCGTCCTCGACGTCGTCGCGCTCGCGAGGCGTCAACGCGAACGGCGCCACGACGACGTCGACGATTCGCCGCGACTCTTGGAAAACGCACGTGTACTTCCCAGACATGCTCCCTCGCTCGCGTTTCAGCACGCACGCCGACGCGTAACGAAACGTCTCCCCCTTCGCGAGCGTCGGCTGCTCGCCGACGACGCCGTTCCCCGAGATGGTCTCCTCGAAGCCGCTCTCGTCCCGCACGCGCCACTCTCTCGACACCACCTGCACCGCCTCGTCGTTCCCCTCGTTCGCGATCTCCACCTCGTACGCGTACGCGAACCGCCCGATCGCCGGCACCGTCTGATCGGGCATCAGTCTCGCCCGCACCTTGACCCGCACGCCCTCCGTCGCGCGCTCGCTCGTCGCGCGCGTCGGCGTCTCGCCCAACCACCTCGCGCGTCGCCGCAGCGTCCCCAGCGCCGTCAGCGCCGCGTCCACGCGCGCGTCGTCGTCCTCGCCGCTCGCGCGCGCTCGAAACGCGTCCCGAACGACGTCCGTCGTCGTCGTCGCGCCTCCGCGCGTCCGCGCGCGCCGCATCGCGCGCGCCCCGAGCGCGCCCTCGAGCGTCGACAGTTCGCGCTCGGTGCACAGCTCTAGCGCCGTCTTCGCGCGCGCGCGGACGCGCTCGCGCTCGAGCGCGCGCGCGACGCGCACGAGCGCGCGATACGCGGCGCGCGCGACGCGCGGAGGCGCCATGCGCCGCGGCGTCGCGGCGCGGTGTCGCGCGCGCCGTCGCGCGGCCGACGACCCTCCTTCTTAGAATTAATCAGCTTTACAATACGTCTATGTGCGCGTACAGAGACACGCGCGACGCCGATGATTGGATGGCGACCGACCGGTTTTTCCACAGTTTCAAAGTTGCTGACGAGGACGGTCGCCCCCCACTGAGCATGGCACGCGTGGCTCTTTTCTCACCGCGCGTGGCGCGCGGGGAGGCGCGCGGTCGGGGTGAAGACGACGTCAATCTCGATGCGCGTGCGCGGCGGTTTCGAGCCGCGCGCGGCGTCAAACGCCGGCAGCCGCGTGACGCATCTCGGACGCATTTCAGCCACAGCGGACGATATCGGCGCACACGCGCGCGCAATAGCGCGACGGTCGTCGATCGCCCATTGTTTTTCGAGAAATACCCGCGCCAAACGACGCTTTTCCATCGCGCGCTCCGCTTCGGCGAGCTCTGCATTCGCCGCCGCCTCGCGTTCCGCGTCCACGCGACGTCTCTCAATATCTTCCGCGCGTCCAACCGCGGTCAGGCGCGGCCAAACTTTCGAAACCTTTTTAACGCAGTGAAAAATCACCTCGCGCGCGGTGCGCTCGATCGTCATCGTGCGCGTCTCGACGTCGTCGTATAAATCCGCGCGCCACGAGTACGGCGGCGCCGACAGCGCGAGACGCGCCGACGTCCCTGCGCTCGTCATCGCAGATCTCGTCAGTCGACGACGCGAGCGCGATCAAACGCGCGCGAGCGCCCGCGCGCGTCGCGCCGAGCGCACCTCGCGCGTCCCATCGCTCGGCGCGGTCCATCGCGAGCGACCGCACGGGTGCGACTTTGACCGTCACGGTCGTCTCGTCCTGCCGCCACGCGCACCCCGTCGCGTCGTCCGCGCGCCAGTTTTCATCGCACATTTTTCCGTCGCCTCGCGACGGGCTCGCGCGCGGACGCGCGCTCGAGAGGGCCGCGCGCGACGCGCAGTGACGCGGCTCGACGCGAATCGGCGTTTCGCGTCATTTCGCGACGCTCGCGTCGATCGAGCGCGCGCCCGCGCCCGCGCGCGCCGCGATCGCGTGACGCGCGCGAAGTAGACGCTTCCGTTCGCGCCGCGCGATGACGACGACGATGGAGGCGAACGCGGAGGCGCTGTTTAAAAACAGGACGTTAGACGAGATCAGAGAAGTCGAAGCCCGGACGCGTCGCGAAGCGCGAGAAAAGGCCGAGGCGCTGCGGTGCGTGCGCACGCGACGCGATCGACGTCCTGGACTGACCGACGCGCTCCGAACGCGCAGGAAATTGCTCGGGGAGTCGTATAAAGATGCGATCGCGACGGTGGAGGCGCTGGAAATCATCGAAGAAACGTCACGGAGCGTGGCGCAGACGTCGAGGGAGATCGAGCGCGCGCTGCGGGAGATGAATGAAAGCGTGGATAGATCGAGTGAGCGGGAGATCGGGGAGGAGGACGCGCGAAGGGCGGCGGCGGTGGAGCGAGGGAGTCGAGTAAAATTTTTGTTGGACACGCCAGAGAAAATGTGGGGGCTGTTGGAGGATTGCGCGTACGAGGAAGCGGCGATACGGTTGATGGCGTCGGTGGAGATGTTAGATGAGATGACCCGCGGGAAAGGGCGGGCGGAGGCGCTGTACACGACTTTTCCGGTGGCGCGACAACAGGCGACTGCGCTGAATAGCTTCAAGGCGCGCGTTTCTAAACGCGCTCGAGCGGGACTGGAGCGTTCTGGATTGCGCGTGTCAGAGGTTGTGAGCGCGCTGAAAGCGCTCGTGATGATGGAGAATTTGAGCGCGACGCAGGCGTTGACACTGCTGTTGCAAACGCGTCAAGCATGGGTACGCGCGTGCCTTCGCGACATCGCGGGCTCCACGGTGACGCAAGAGTCGTTGAATAAGCGTCTGATGGCACTTATGGCGGATATCAAGCACGTGTTGCAGCTTTGCTTCGAAATTTTTGCGGGAGAGAAGGCTTTGATCGCTTCGAATACGGCTAAATCGCTCACTGTGGATGACTTGTTCCAAGGCGTCTTCGAACCGCACGTCGAATGGGAGCAGTTTCAGGCGTCCACGAAGCAAAGGAGGGAAAAGTTAGAAACTTTGAGCAGTAGTGTGGTGAGTGATGCGTGTTTGGCGTGGTTGGATCGATTGGGGCGCGATATCTCGCTGAGGGGTGTCGCGGTATTTGGGAAGATGTCAAGCTGCGCCGAACTTGCCGCGCTCGAAGCCACGTGCGCGAGCGATGAGAAGGAGTGGGAAGAATCCTGCGCCACGCTTTTCAACCGCAAAATCAATCTTTGGCCTACATTATTCGAGCAACCTTGGCTTCAGCAAGCATTTGCTCTGTTCAAGAAGTCGTTGTCGTTCGCCGTCATCAAACCGCAAGTCGACGCGGCGCTCGTGGACGCGCTCAAAAAGAATTCCACTGATTCTCGCAAAGAATCTTCGATGTGGTCGAGCTCGAGCGCGTCAAAGGATGAAATCGTCAGTGTTCCTGATGATATCAAATGTGCGCGCGCCGTGGCGCGAAGCATGAATAAGATTATGCTTACGGTGAGGAAAGACGCTTTGAAGCTGCACGGCATTCACATCGGCGGCAACGCCGACGTTGAAGGTCGACTCGCGAAATTAGCCGAGCACATTCATGCGTGCGCGCACAAGGGTTTGGTAGATTTAGCTCAGTACCTTTTGTCCAAAATCAGTACGCAGCCTACGGAGGTGAACGGGGCGTTGATGATAGGACATCTCGCGGCCGCCGTTATGGATGTCGTCAAAGAGACAACCGTGCTTTTGAAACCAGCGAACGTGTGGCCAAAGTACGACGAATCCGCGGAGTTGATCATCAAACCCGCGCGAACACTACGAGGGTTGAAGAAACCAAAAGAATCTGAAAGTGCGAAAATCGAGGGCGTCAAGACAGAGTTTGAGAACGCGATGAACGCTGGATATGAGGTGTGGGTGAACAACTGCGCCGCCGACACCGTTCGCACATTCAGAGCGGCGTTGAGTTCGGATGACTCGTTGGCGTCTGACACGACGCCTTCGTGTTGGGAAGAAGTGACGGATAAGAACAGCGAAGGATTGCAGCTTCGGCTTCCAGCGACGCCGTCGTCCTACGTGCTCACGTCTCTGCACGGCGCGTTACAGGAAGCACAGCGCGTTGGCGGACACCTCCTACCAAGATCTGCTATTCGCATGCTCGCTACTTCTCTCGCCGATGGTCTTTTGCAAGCGTACATTGATGCGCTCGCTCGACCTCTTCGTTCGGAAAAGGGTACGTTACAGCTGCTTTTGGATGTCAAATTTGCCATGGACGTGCTCGCGATGAAGGATACGTCTCGAGTCAACGACGTGCAAAATCGCCTCACGAGTGCGCTCGACCCGATCGATTGGGCGACGTATGAGCCTTATATTTTGGACAATGAACGTCGCGCCTACAGACGATGCGCTGTTTTGCTCGGCGGTTTCGTTCAACTGTCCAACTTGTATCAAGACACGTCCATCAAGCCCGCGACTGGGGCGAGCGCCGCCTCGGCAAAGCCAGTCGCGCGCTTCACCTATCTCCCCGTCAGTTTACCCACTCTTCGTGCGTTGAACTCTGACAGAGGTAAAGGAAAAATAGACTGGGGCGAGATCAAAGTCGATACGTTCGAAGACGAAGAGCAGGAAGGGATTTTTTCATCCATTATGCAGCAAAGTCGAAAAGGTCTGGGCAACCTCCTGCGCGAGTTAGCATAAAACTACTCTACCGGTCATCAATATTTAAAATGCAGCAACAGAATCAATCTAATATACAATTGTTTCAAACTCGCGCCGCGCTTCCTCCAGTTCGGCCGCGTCCGGCATGTTCGCGTCGCGATACTTTTCGGGATGCGCTCGCTTGTTTTGTCCGGTCGCCTTGTACATTCGAGCTCGCCAGCTCGCGTGCACTTCCACCCCAGCCAAGCTCGCGATGCGATCGTTGTACGCGAACTGCGCGTCACCGAACATGTGCGCGTGTCTTCGCGGAATTTCGCCGTGAGGCTCGAGCTTCGCATCGAGTTCAGCCGCACCTCGAGCGCACTCTTCACGCGTCGGCATCGGCACGACTCCGGAGAGCATGCGCGCTATCCACTCACTCTGTAGTTCGAACATTGGAAATGGCACGACTTTCCACGGCAAACCGACGAACGACATGGACGGTGCATTGACCGAAATGCAATGCTCGTACAACGGCGCGACGTAGTTATCTTCCACCGAGACCAAATCCTGCGGCAGAAATTCAAAACGATACTTGTAACCTGTACAAAACACGCACACGTCGCAGTCTGCCGCAACCGTGTCATCTTCGAAAACCACCGAACCATCGGACTCGAATCGTTTCACGTTTGGTTTACGGAAAATATTCCCGCGGGCGCCGATGCCCTCGGTGGATTTGGCCCATTCGGGATTTTGCCACGTGCGCGCCGACAAGTACACCGTCGAAGCGACTTCGGCGATTTCCCGCGAGATATCTTCTCCGCTCGCCATCGCGCCTATGAGCAACACCTTCTTCCCGACGAAGCGTGTGTCATTGGGAATCCTGTACTCGTGACTGTGCATTCGTTCCCCCGGCCACGTCTGCGCACCGTCGAATTCCGGCACTCGTGGCTCGTTGTAGTGCCCGTTCGCGACGACTACGGCGTCGAACATTTCCCGCCGCGTCTCATCGTCTTTTCCGCTCTTCCACACCACTTCCCAAGCGCTCGACCACCGCGCCTCCTCTTCCGCGCTCTCCCGCACCGCGCGCACCACCGACGTCACCCGCGCGTCGTACTCCACGAATCTTTCGAGCCCAAACGTCTCCGCGTACCTCTGCAAATACCTTCGCACCTCCTCGCGTCCGCAAAACCGTCGCATATCGCCACCGCGCTCGCCCGTCGCGTCGAACGGAAATTCTCGAAATCCCATCACCTCTCGCGGCAGATTCGTTCGCAACGACGCGTACATCGGCGTCGGCGCCTTTGATTTCGACGCCGTCGCCTCGTCGCCGTCGTACCGCCACGTCCCTCCCAGCGAATCCGCAACCTCGAACGCGCGCGCGTCGTGACCTTGGCGTCGCATCGCGCGCAGCGCGCTCAGTCCCGCGGCGCCCGCGCCGACGATCGCGACGCGCGCGCGTCGTCGCGTCGTCGTCGTCGTCGTCGTCGTCGTCGTCGTCTGTTCGGCGTCGGCGTCATCATCTTTCACGCGCGCCGCGCGCATCGCGACCGCGACGCGACGCGCGCGACGCGCGACGACGCCACCGACGCCACCGACGCGCGTCGTCGTCGTCGTCCCGCGCGCGTCGCGCGTCCCGACCCGCGCGGCGCGCATGCGGCGCGCCAGTGTGTGACGCGATGCCGACGACGACGACGACGACGACGACGACGACGGCGGCGACGCGTCGAGCGCCCGCGACGACGCGCGCGCGACGACGCGCGTGCGCGACGCGAGCCGCGAGCGAACCGCGGTCGCGCGCGCTGTTCGCGAGCGACGACCGCGGAATCGTGCTGTACGACGGCGTGTGCAATCTGTGCAACGGGGCGGTGAACTTCGCGCTGCGGCACGATCGAGACCGCGCGAGGGGGTCGGTGCGGTTCGCCGCGCTGCAATCGTCCGTCGGGCGCGCGCTGTTGGTGGAGGCGGGACGGGACGCGGACGACATCAGCAGCATCGTGTACGTGGAGGCGAGCGGGACGGCGTACGCGAAGTCGGAGGCGATACTGCGCATAGGGAGAGATTTGTTGGGGGCGCCGTTCGGGGGGGCGGCGCGAGTGGCGATGTGGGCGGTGCCTCGGGTGGTGGGGGATTGGGTGTACGATCGCGTGGCGGATAATCGGTACTCGATCTTGGGACGCAGGGACGAGTGTCGATTCGGCGACGACGAAGACGACGATCGATTTCTCGCGTAGGGGTGGTAGGTTCTCTAGTCTAGTTTTGGATATTAACACGGACGATTCGTCATCGACGACCGCCGCGACCGCCGCCGCGACCGCCGCCGCGACCGCCGCCGCGACCTTTGACGTATAAACCGCCCGTCTTGCCGCTTCTGATGTCCTTATCGAACGAAGAAGGCTTGTAGTCGGACATGTCGTTCGCGCTGAATTTATCGTTTCGTTTCGCCGTCTACGATGATGAAAAATGATGAGCGCGGCCGTCAGTCGAATGTTTGAGCGAAGAAAGTTCTCCGCCGAGGACGCGAACGCGAGCGAGCGAGGCTCTGTGATAACAGGCCCATGGTCTGTCCCGTGACGTAATTGCGACGACGTCGCGCCCGCCTAGGCAATGGAATATGGTCCTGCTCTTTCGGGAGGCGTCTTCGTGAGAAGAGCCTACGACCGAAGAGTCTATATACGGTGTTTACGTAGAGATATACGTCGTGGAGTTTCGACGCCTCGTCGCGTTGACATCCTGGGATGCGGGCAGCACCCCAGGGTCCACCGAAATGAGAAAAAAACGAAAAATTGACGGAAATACTAACATCTTCGCGCGCGTTTCGACGAGAGCATCGCACGTACCTTTTTACGTCCACCGAAGCCGTATTTGGAATCCCGATCCTCGCGCTTGCGCTTGGCGTCGCCACCCGCGCCCTCGAACGGCGCCTTGCCGTCGTCCGCGAACCCACTCTTCTGGCGCTGCTTCCTCCACTTATCCAAACTTTTAATTTGCGATTTCTTGTCGAGCGTTCGTTGCTTGATCTTCTCGGCTTGCACTTGTTTACCGTACTTTTTCGATTCGCGCGCTTTCCTGCGCTCCTCGCGAATCTCCAACTGTTGTTGCTCGAACAATAACTCACTTCGCACGCGCTTCATGTGCTCATCGCTCTTCACCATTTCAGCGTAGTAATCATCCGGTCTTCGCACGGGAACTCCGAGATCTTTCAACCGTCGCACGCACTCGTTCGCGCTCTCCAACGCTCGCTCGTAAAAAAACGTTTCCCTCGTCAAGTCGTCGTTCACATCCACCACGCGCTCCGCATTCGTCCCCGTGATCGTCATGTGATCGATCCATTTCGCCTTATGCGTCCATTTAAAATCTACGCCGCACCGCGCGGTTCCATCACCGTCGTCGTCAGTCTTCGCGTTCGGTCTCGACAACCCCGCGCGCGCCTCCGTCCCGTTCCCGTCCCATCCCATCCTTCCCTCATCCGCCGCGCGTCGCGTCGCGTCGCACCTTCCAGGCTCGCCTCCAACCCCTTTTCATTGTTCGCGTAACTCTTCCTCGCCGTCGCGCCGTCCCGCGCGCCCGCGCGCTCGCGTTTCACCGATTCCAGCGCCGCCATCTCGCGCTCGAGTTCGTCGTCCGAATCCATCCCGCGTTCGCCGTCGTCGTCGTCGTCGGTCGACGCGTCGTCGTCGTCGTCGCGATCGACGTCATCATCGCGCGCGTCCTCGTCGTCGCCGTCGTCGCCGTCGCGTCGTCGTCGCGCGCGCATCGTCGCCGTGTGCCGTCGACGCGCCGCCGTCCGACGGTTCCGACTGTTTACCCATACGACGGTGCGAGACTCGGCATGTAGCGCTAAACTCGGACCTCGTGACGGTTGCGATGGCTGGCGCGTGTCGGCGCACGATGCGCGCGCGAACGGCGACGACGGGCGTCACGCGTCGACGCGCGCGATGCCGTGCGCGCGTGCGAACTCGTCTCCGACGATCGCGCGTCCGTCGACGCCGCGACGCGCGCGAAAGACGTCGCGAGGACGCGCGGATGGACGTCGACGCGCGCGCGCGCGCGGGACATCGCGAGACGGCGAGGGGGCGCGAAGCGGCGCGACGACGCGCGAGGACGGCGTGAGCAGGCGAGGAGCGCTGGGGAGAGGGATCGCGCTCGTGGGCGCGGTCGGGGCGGGCGAGATCGGCGCGGCGCCGGCGCGGGCGTTCATAGATTTACCGAGTCGGCTCCACAACAGATACTTCTTCGTGAGGCACGGAGAATCGGTGCTGGACGTGCGGAACGGGGGGATGATTTTGAGTAACCCGAGCTTCAAGTACGACACCACGTTCGGGCTGACGGCGAGAGGCCGAGCGCAGATGCAAGAGGCGGCGAAGACTATTTTAAGGGATTTCGACGGCGCGCCGGCGTGGTTGTACACGTCGAATTTTCAGCGGTCGTTTCAAAGCGCGTTGGTGCTCAGGGAAGAGATCGGGCTGTTGTTTTCGCAGATGCGCACCGAGTTTAGCGGGTTATTAGATCCGAGAAAGATGGGTGCGTTGGATTTCGGCTCGCAAGAGGCGTGGGTTGACGTTTGGAAGAACGATTTCGACGACCCCTCCTCGACGCCGCCTCCGGTGCCGAGTTCGTTGCAACCGTCGGCGAGCGTGGAGTCGTGCTTAGACATTTATCGACGCGCCCTCGAGGCGTTCACGCGTCTCGAAGCCACGTATTACGGCGAAGACATCATCATCGTCTCCCATCAGGACACCCTCAGCGTCTTCGCCGCCGCGTTGAACGGCACCGACCTCTCCCGCCACCACCTCGACTACCCGTTCGAGCTCGGGCAGGTTCGATGCGTCGACCTGACCGTGCCCCCTCGCGACGGTTCGATCGCCCCGACTGATCTTCGCGGCGATTACGCCGTCGGCGACAGCGCGATTAATTATTCCTCGTCGTCGACCGCGGCGTAGCGCAGACGGACGGATGCGAAATCAAAAATCCAAAAATGCACGAAATCACACCTCGCGCGGCGCCAGCGCAGCGCGCCAACCGGGATACCGGGATACGCGCGCGCGCGCCGCGTCACACGCCGTCGCGCACGCCCGCGCGCGCGCCCGGTCGACGCGCGGTCGCCCGAAGACGCCTCCGCTCGGGATAGCCGACGCGCGACGCGCGACGACGCGACGCGCGCGCGCGTTTCGCGTCGCGCGCGTCGCGATCGTGGATAGCGTATCCAAACGAATCGAGCGAACGCATTCGCGTCGTGCGACGCGCGCGGACGAGCGAACGGGGACGAGGGACGGTGAAGATGCGCGCGATGCGAGCGCCGACGTCGACGGGCGCGCGCGCGGGAGAAAGGGCGCGAAGAGAGAGGGTCGGGCGAGGGAGAGACGACGGGAAGGTACGGACGCGATCGACGGCGAGGACGACGCGGACGCGAGCGGTGACGGATTCGAACGATACGCGCGTCGTCGCGGATGAGAGATTCGTGGTGAAGACGGAAGTGGAGAGCGTCGCGACGAGCGCGGCGGCGGTGAGTCGAAAGGTGCGACCGGGGATGCGTCGGGTGTTTTGCGACGAGAGCTCGTTGGAGACGCCGCGGGAGGAGAGTAAGATTCGGGAGTTTTGGTATCCGGTGATGTTTGAGAGCAAGTTTAAGGAAATCGACGAAGAAGTCGAGGTTGTTTTGCTAGATGAGACGTGGGTGGTGCGCAAGGTTGCGGAAGGGCAGTACGAATGCGAGAGTAAGAAGAGTCCGCGTACGATGCTGGCGACGGGGACGAGGGACGGGCTCGTCATGGTGTGGCCTTCGATGAATTGTGGACCCACGGAGGAGCTTCCGTCGCACTTTGCGGCGCCAGAAGGGTACACCATTCACGCAGAACTCATCATCGAGGACGTTCCCGTCGAACACGGGTTGTTGATGGAGAACTTGCTCGATTTGGCGCACGCGCCGTTTACGCACACCGGCACCTTTGCCAAGGGTTGGGGCGTGCCAAACATGGTCAAGTTTGCGTCTCGCAAATTAAGAAAAGACGGCGACGGGTGGCACGATATGGGTAACTTTCTCGCCAACGGTCGCAGCGAAGGGAGCTGGAAACCGTACCCCATCGACATGAAGTTTTTGGCGCCGTGCATGGTTGACAGCCACATTGGCTTGGCGCAAGCGGGCGCAGTGGGTAAGGGTGCGCAGTTTAAGGAAGGTGTCAGCGCGTTGGAGTGCGAGAAGCACTTGCATCAGCTCCACGTGTGCTTGCCTAGCACTCCAGGTCACACGCGTTTGCTCTACCGTATGTCCCTCGATTTTGCCTCGTGGGCCCAATACGTCCCGGGCATCGAATACATCTGGACCGAGATGGCGAACCAAGTTCTCGGCGAGGATTTACGTCTAGTCACGGGTCAACAAGACCGCATGCAGCGTGGTGCCCGAGTTTGGGCCCATCCCGTAGCTTATGATAAGCTCGGTTTACATTATCGCCGGTGGCGCAACGTTATCGACGGGAAAGACGCCGACGGTTGCGCCATCGAGTAAACGCGCTCGACCGGCTCTTACCGTTTCACACACCACCCATCACCACAACATTGTAAACTATTTCATTTACCACCAGCGCCAGCGCCAAGGCAACCTCTCTCTTCTCCCTCTTCGCTCGCCCTCTGGGTTCGCGCAGATCCATCCCACCCCGCGCTCAGATTCGATCGAAGCGACGTTTTTGGCGGGAGAAACGAATTACGAACTCTTCACAACTTTGCGCGTCAAACGCTCACGAACTCGCGCGATGGCCACTATGATTTCACAAAAAAACGCCCTGTTATTCACCGCCGCCACGGGCTTCGGCTACGGGCTGCAGTTCATGCCCGAACTTCCGAGTGCGTCGACGGACCGCGCGAATGCGTTCGGAGAATTGACTGAATTACCGTTGCGCGGTGTGAACTGACGGAGTATACGCGATTTTAAATGCCACAGCGTTCGCGCAGCCGATGATGAAGTACTACGGTCTTAAGAGCACCGTTATCTCTGACTTTATGATGCACGCGACCGGAATCATGCTCTTAACGTCCATGGTCGCCCTCGTGTACGTCGCGAGGACGCAATCCGAGCCGACGCTGCACCGATTCACATTCGCGCAGATGATCGGATGCTTCTCTCGCATCACCGTTATGTCGTGCCACGGCGCCAAGTCGCGCATCGGTGGTCTTCAAGTGACCAAGGAGCTCGCGATGGGATCCAAGGTGGGCTTGCTCACGTTTATCTTGCTCGCCGAGTCGCAACGCGGTACGACGCGTCTTACTCCGATGCGCAACTTTATCACGGATTCCAAGACTGTCAAGCAAAAGATCATCGCCGCCTCTTTGCTTATGGAGTTGTACTACATGCTCATGCTTCACTTCGGCGACGCCACCGTCGCGGGCTGGTTCTCGTCCAAGATCAAAGCCACCGATTATATCGCAATCCACTGGACCGCCACCATCGGCTTTCTTCGCTGGATGGGCACAATGAAGATGTTCACCATCCTTCCCGAGGAATCTCTCGGCACCGTGGCCAAGTTCCACGCCGTGGACAACTTGATGAACCTTTACATGATGCGTAAGCACGCCGCCGCCTTCAAGGCTGCCGAGTTCACGAAGCACTTCACCATGGGCGTCGCCCGACTCGGCGCCACGCTCTTCGCCGCCATGTGAGCAAACCGCGAAACCGAAGTCTCTCAATCGCCCGTCGATCTTGGACGAGAAATGAATAAGCAACTTAACCGCATTTAGAATCGTGTAATTTAAACTCTTTCACGCACTTTCACGCGCTTCATGACTTCGCCGCTCGCGCGCGTTCGCGAACGACTGCTCAGAGCGAAAAGCGCGACACAACCGCCGCCGTCACTGTCCCTCGCGTCATGTCGCCGTCATCCTCCGTGCTCGAACCCGAGGACGGCGAACCGTTCGCGCGCGTCCATCGAGCGCACTACCGCGGTTTCGTCGTGGACGCGCCCTCGGTGCTTCCCGCGTCGCTTCACGACGACGTCGAACGCGCGTTCGACGACATGCGCAGCCGAGGCGAATTCACGCACGACGTCGTTTCCGCCGGAAATAAAGTGTCCACGACGTACGTGCGGCGCTGCCTGCTCGGTGAGGACGGAATGACGTATCATTATCAGAAGTTACGCCTGTTTGCGCAACCGTGGCGCGGACGGGAGGCGTACGAAGTGGTGAGACGGTTGAACGAGACGCTGACGAGGAGCGCGCGAGAGCGATGCGAAAAGCTCGGCGGAGCGTTCGCGGAGAGTGAGTGCGAATACAACGTGACGCTGATTAATTACATGGAAACAGAGGGTGAGAGCGAAATAGAGCTACGGAATGAGGAGAAGTTCGATCTCGGGACGACGTCGGTGAGTTGGCACAGCGATTCGTCGTTGCGAGAAAACTCCACCGTGGCGGTGTATCACACATACGAGGCGCCAGAGAGAAAAGACTGGCGAGTGGCGCTGAGGGCGTTGAACGCGGAGTGCGAGGTGCTTTGCGTGCCTTTGGAGGATAAAGCGACGTATTACATGTGTGGTGAGTTCAACGCCACTCACCATCACGCCGTGCTCACCGGCTCGAGTGCGAGATATTCTTCGACACATCGAGTCGCCGTGGTGGCCAAGGATACGTTCCAGTACATCAAAAGGCGGTGTATCGATGCGCTCGCAATTGTACCAGACTTAGAGCGCGAGAATAAACCTTTGGATGCGAAACAGATACAGTTCTTAGCCGACGTCCATCGCGAGGTTGAATTTCAATGGATTAGAATGTTTCACCTGCAAGGCGAAGCACACGCGGCGTGGCACGATACGTATTGGACGAGAAAAATCGCCGAGCTCACCGAGGCGTGGGATCGCATGGAGGCTTGCTTTCGAGTGATTTTGTCCAAGCTCAAGCGTTCATCTCGCTCGCCCGAGTCGCCGCCTCGAGCGTACGCGATGCTGCTTTACGCGCTGAAAACCGTCAAGGAGTTGCGAGACGAGTACACGAAGCGAACCAAGGCGTCGGCGTACGCGTCGCTACCGCCGTCGCAACGTCCAGTTGATCTGCCCGCGTACGACAATACTTCTCCCCTTCCGTTCGAGCTCAAACCCGTGATTTACTTTCTCGAGGAGGAGCAAAACAAAGTGTGAATCTATCGATCCGTCGCGTAGAGTTTAGAAATTGTAGTTCAGACATTGCATCGTGTGCATAGAAATTGTGCTTGTCTCTTGTTTACAACAAAATTGGAGGGTGATGTCGACGATTTCGGCGTTCTTGCGCGCCCTGTGAATCATCGAGCGTCGGCGTAGTCTACATACAAGCGCGTGCTGCGCTAATTATTCGTCGTTGTGGTCGACGGCGAGCGTAATTTGTCGCGTCTCTTCTTCTTCGCTGGAAGAAATTCGCTTGGCGCGATTCTCGAGGTTTTCACTCGCGCTATGCTCGGCACTTCCACCGTCACTTCCCTGGCCGCTTCCCTGGCCGCTTCCACTGTTGGTTTTACCTTTTTCTTCGCGATCTTTCCTCTTACGTCCCGCGCGGACGTCGCTTCTCTTCGCGTCTGTCGCGTCTCCCGACGCCCGGGTCGATTCAGAGCTATCCTGCGCTCGTTTGAGCGTCAGACGATACTTCTGCAAATGCGAAGCGACGTTTTCACGCGTCAACCCTTTGACATTCATTATTTTCATAATCGCCTTCGGCACCGCCGTCTTAACCCCGAGCTTTTGCACCGCCGCGATGAATTGCGCGTGCAGTTGCGGCGTCCACACCAACCGCTGTCGCTTGCTCAGCTCCACCTCGCGCTCGACGCCGATATCGCGCTCAGCCGCCGCCGAACCGGTGGCGGCGAGAAGATCCATCATCGTTCCACCCCCACGACTCCCCGACGCGAACGCCGCGTGCTGCGCCGCCGCCGCGTGTTGCAAATAATTCCACTGCCGCGTAAACGTAAACGCGCTCGCGTACGCCCGCTCCTGAATCTGTCTCGAAAACGAATCCCCCGGCACCGCCACCGCGCGCGCCGCGCCCGCGTACGCGTCGTACGTCATCGGCGACATCGCTCGCATCGCATCGTACGCCCCGTACACCGCCGGATACACCGTCATCGCCGCATACGGCGGTCTCGCCGCGTTCGCGTTCGCGTTCGCGTTCGCGTTCGCGTTCGCGTTCGCGTCGCCCCGCGCGTCCGCCCTCGCGTCGTCGTCCCGCGCCCTCGTCCTCGCCTCCGCCGCCCGCGCCGTCGCGTCGCTCCCCGTCCCCCTCCCCATCGTCGACGATCGTCGTCGATCGCTCGTCGCCGCGCGTCGCGCGCGCCCTCGAATCCGCGTCGCGCCCGCGCGATCGTCGATCGGCGGCGGCGCCCAACGAACTCCGATCCGAGCCGCTCGACGCGCGCCGAACGCGTCGACGCGTCGCGACGCGCGCGCGTCGAGCGTCGAGCGTCGAGCGTCGACTCTTCGCGTCGCGTCGCGTCGCGCGGCGTCGTCGCCGTCGCGCGGCGTCGTCGCCGCCGTCGTCGCGCGGCGCGAAACGGCGACCGAAAGACGTCGGGCGCGTGTCGAGATCGGCGAGTCGCGGAAAATACCATCTAGTGTAAAGTGAATGTTAAATACGTAACATCGTTTGGTCCGCTGTCGCGGTGTTTCGGGTCCGCCCGCGGTGGTGTGTTTCGCCCCCGAGGGCCGTTCGACCGATCGCGCGTCGAACGGGCGATCGGTCGATCGTCGATCGACGCGAACGAGCGATCGACGAATGTGCGATGGAGACGGCGCGGGCGACCGATCGCGGCGGCATCGCGCGACGCGAGCGACGCGCGCGCGGGGGGGCGCGGGCGAGGGGGCGGGCGGGCGTCGCGGATCGGTTCGGTTCGGCGCGGTTCGGCGCGGTTCGGCGCGGTTCGGCGCGGTTCGGCGCGGTTCGGCGCGGTTCGGTTCGACCGCGCGACGGATTGATTGATTGGTTCGCGACGATGGCGACGACGCGGACGCGCGGACGCGGACGCGAACGACGCGGACGATGGTGGATGGTGCTCGTGGGCGCGATCGCGGTCGTCGCGGTGGCGTCGAGCGTCGGCGCGCGGGGCGCGGGGGTGGCGACGGGCGAAGGGGAAGGCGAAGGCGAGACGCGCTCGCGCGACGCGGTGCGAGGCGCGGTCGGGGACGCGTCGTGCGACGTGGAGGACGTCGAGGGCGCGAACGAGGCGCAGTTACACTCTATTCTCAGTGAGTTGACGAATACGACGTATTTTAGGTTGTTTCAAGTGGATTTGAAACGGACGTGTAAGTTTTGGAAGGCGACGGAAGGCGCGGAGACGAAGACGGAGACGGAGCCGTCGTGCGAGGCGCCGTCCGGTGCGACCGCGGCGTTCGGTGACGGTGGTCACGGCGGTGGTGGTTTTTCTTCCGCCCCGTTCGCGTCGTCGTCGTCGGCGTCGCCGCCGAAGACGATGTGCTCGCTAGATTTGGAACATAAGGATGGCTCGGAACCGACGCTGCGGAGCCCGGTGACGGATAGCGTTGATCGAACCATCAGTACGCCCGAGGCGGAGGCGTTGACGTCCATCGACGTCCCGGAAACGGAATGCTCGGATGAGGATTTGCCGACGTTTTGGACGGACATGTGCCACAAGTTTGCGCCCGAGGAGCAAACAGAGTACGTAAACTTGCAGCTGAATCCAGAGCGATGGACTGGATACAACGGATCGCACGTTTGGCGGGCCATTTACGAAGAGAATTGCTTAAAGTCGGCGTCGAGCGTGGATGAAATGTGCTACGAAGAGCGGGTGCTGTATCGCCTTTTGTCCGGCATGCATTCGAGCATCAACATCCACATCGCGCTTCACTCCAAGCCTCCGAAACGCGCGCTCGGGGAAACGGAGTGGGGAAGCGATCCCAAAAAGTTCGTGGAAATATTCGCCAAGCACCCAGAACGTCTGAAAAACTTGCACTTTTCTTTCGTCGTCCTCTTGAGAGCGCTTCGTAAGGCGGCCCCGGCGCTGTCGAAGATGGACGTTCGCATCGGTCAAGACGCCGAAGAGGACGAGCGAACGCACGCTTTGATGAGTCGCTTGCTGGAAAGCCACATTTTGTCGTCTTGTCGCGATGTCTTCGGTGCTTTCGATGAAAAGTCTCTTTTTCGCGATGTGCAGTCGACGTTGAGTGCGAACTCGGGAATGATCAGCGGAGTGGGAGAAGAGCTTCTCGCGCCGGTGTCGCTGAAGAGCCAGTTCAAAGACATCTTCTTGAACATTAGCGAAGTCATGGACTGCATTTCGTGTCAAAAGTGCAAGCTTCACGGTAAACTTCAACTCTTGGGTCTTGGTTCGGCGTTGAAAGTCTTGCTCTTGCCCGAAGATCTCTTGGAGTCTTCTTTGAACAAGCAAGAGGTGGTGGCTCTTGTGAACACCATTGCAAAGTTTAGTCACGCCATTCGCAAAGTGCCCGAACTCATGAATGCGGCGAGGCAGGACGCGTTGAAGAGCTCAGTAGATTTGGAAAGCGTTGGTTTACATCTGCGCGAAACTGAAGGCGGTCAAAAGGTGGAGCAGAGCCCACTGGAGGCGGCGATTGCAGCTACCGCGACGTACGTGAAATCTGGCGCGTTGACGCCAGAATCAGAGGCAGCCATCGTGAGCGCAATGCTCGAGGATAATCCAAAAGTTGTCGTCTTAGCAAAGTACTACGCTGAGAGCATGCCGTGGAGATTCATCGAACACGCGCTTCGCGCACTCGGCGTACCCCTACCCAAAGGCGGCATTGAAGATGACCCCCCGGTTGACTTGGTCGTCGTCGGCGGCGGTTTAGCGGGCTTGACGGCTTCACTCACCGTGCTCGATCGTGGCGGTAGGGTGACGTTGGTAGAGAAAGAGGCATATGTTGGTGGTAATTCTCAGTGGGCGTCTTCGGGGATCAACGGAGTGATCAAGACTTCGTTTGAAGATAATCCCGACAGCGTCGAAGCGTATTCAGACGACTGCGAAAAATCCTCCTACGGAAACGGCAACGGTCGCGAAAATCTCGATCCCGAAACCGTCGAACATATCCCGACGCTCACTAGCCAGGCTGGTGCCACGATTGAATGGCTTCGTCGACGCGTTGGCGCCGATTTAAGCCTACTTTCGAGGCTTGGAGGGCACAGCTACGCTCGTACGTACAGACCGAACGAAGGTATGGCGGGATCGTCTCTCGTTTTCGCACTCAAAGGGAAATGCGAAGACTACATTCAATCTGGGCGATTTAAAGTGGTGAAAAAGGCTAGGGTGAGTGAAATAATCACTGCTGAAGATGGCGCGATCAATGCCGTGCGTTGGACGCCATCCGATGGTTCGAATGGTAGTAATGTAGGCGGCGAAGTCAGAGCACGCCACGTGCTGCTCGCCACCGGGGGATACTCGAATGACAAGCAAGGAGAAGACGCATTACTGAGCAAGTACGCGCCTCAGCTCACAAAGTTCGCCACGACAAACACGAAAGGCACGACCGGTGATGGACACAAGCTCGCTTTTGGATTAGGCGCTGGTGCTGTTGACATGCAACGCGTTCAAGTACATCCCACGGGCTTCATCAATCCTGAAGACGAGGGCGCCGACACGAAAACGCTTGCCGCAGAATTACTCCGAGGTGCGGGTGGTATTCTATTGAATCGTTCGGGTAAACGATTTGCCAACGAGCTTGGCACGCGTGATTACGTCAGCGCTCGCATGCAAGAAGAAGACGCAGAAAAGCTCGACTTCGTGTTACTGCTTGATGAAAAAGGCGCGAGCGAAGCGAACAAGCATGTGCCGCTTTACGTGAAGAAGAACCTGATGACCAAGTTCGACACACTCGCGGATTTGACGAAGTGGATGTCCGTCCGTGGAAACACGACGGAGTCTCAGCTTCGTGCGACGTTGGAGCAGTACAACGACCAAGCCAATGCGGGTCTCGATGAATTCAACAAGACATACTTTGCTAACGCGCCTTTCAAAGTTTCTGGGCCGTTTTACGCCGGGCGAGTCACGCCAGTGGTACATTACACCATGGGTGGTGTCAAGGTTGATAGCTATGGACGAGTCGTGCGAGCTGATGGAACGCCCGTCGCTGGATTATTTGCCGCTGGGGAAATCATCGGTGGTGTGCACGGCAAGAATCGTCTAGGTGGAAATGCGCTCACTGAGTGCGCGGTGTTCGGGCGGCTCGTCGGCACGAACGTGAACATTGTCTCAAACACGGATGCGCCATCTGCCGCGACGGAGGTACCGAAACTGAAGATACCGAAACGAGATCGCATTATCACGCATGAGGAACTCGCTAAACACGCCTCCGCGGATGACTGCTGGGTGGCTTTGTACGGCCGTGTTTACGACTTTACCGATTTCTTGGATGACCATCCCGCCGGCGCCGACGCAATTTTGCGATACGGCGGAGGCGACGGTACGAAAATCTTCGAAGCCGTGCATTCGCGTAACATGCTGAATGACTTCGAAGCAATAGGCACGCTCTCATAGGATTAATAAAAAATTGTTTCATTGTTTTTTACAGTCATACTACTTTGCGCGCCCGCGTCGGCCAAACATCATTTCCACGTCCTCCAAGTTTGAGGACGCTCGATTGGACTTCTTTTTCCTTCGACTTCGCGACTTGTCGTTCGACACCGTAGCGACCGCGAACCCATCTCTCCACCGTTTTGACGCGGGAACTGCGCTAAGCCCGGCCAATTCTTCTTCGACCAAGTCGCTGATTTGCTTCGAGACGCCGACGCCCTTGTTGTATTGCTGCACGTGCGCATTGATGTTCTCCTCCTTGTACCCGAGGCACCGTCCTATCAGCGTTTGATAGTACGCTGAACCCGCCACGATGGCTGCTTGGGCGCCGAAAGAGGCGAGCAGCTTCGCGCGCTCTTTATACGGCGACTTTCGAGGATACAACAGCGCGGTGATTCCGAGCTTTTCTGATGCCCCTGGAGGCGCGACGGTGATGACACCAATTTCATCGTCTTCGGTGATTTCCTTCAGCAATCGGGCGACAAAAGGCATGTCAATGCTTTGTCGTCGACCCAAATCGTCTTCCCAACCAGTCCACAGCTGCACCATGCACATCGGTCTGCATCCACACTGAAACGCCAAAATCTCCCCGGCGTTGAGCGTTGCGTGCTCGTCCGCGGACAAGCCTTGGAAATCTTTCGGACTTCCGTCGGCCCAAAAGCTCGCATCTTCCGAAACTCGCGCGCGTAACTCTTCCAAACTACAAAGTCTCGACACCTCTTCGCACTCGATCGCGCCCGAAAACCCAGGCGCCGGATATTCTCCCGACCTTCGCAGCGTCTCCAGCGTCGTCGTCAAACCGTCGTACGAGCGCGTAAACCTTTCCCGCAACAATCGCGTTGACTTCCTCTTCCCATCCTTTCCAAAGTTCCCATCGACAATTTCACTCAACAACACTCTATTCGTCTCTTCGCACACCTCGAGCACCGCATCGACGCCTCGAAACGCTCCGCGCGCGCGGTTCGCGCTCGTCGCCTCCACCTCTAGATAACTCGCTCGAGTCTCCCCGGGCAATCGCACCCGCAGCGCGTCCCCCACGGCGCACTCGCGAACGGCGTCCGTCGATGATGATGACTTTCTTTCATCCACCGCGATCGCGCGCGTCGTCGCCGCGTCGTCGCCGCGTCGCGCGACGCCTTCGCGTCGCGCACTTCCGGGTGGGTTAGCGCGCACGATGGTCGCGTTGCGCGCGCCCTCTCGCGCTCTCGTCCACCCGCGCGCGCGCGCCGCGGTTCGCGACGGGATCGCGGTCGTCTGCATCGCGTCGGGGGCGTCGTCGACGCGCCCGACGTCGCGATGTCGCGCCGCACCCCGAGGGCGCGGTCGAGGGGACGACTCGGCGCTGGCAATCAGTGAACGCGTGGTTTGGGAAATCTCAGCGATGTGTTGCGTATTCGAGGTCGTTTTTCATAGATCACCGGACGGTTTCGACGGAAACCCGATATGTCTCAACCCGAGTGTGCGGGCATGTTGTCGTCAGATTAATCAGAAAGCGGGCAAGCGGCTACGCGGGCGCGGTCCGGGTGGCTTGGCTAGGCGTCGGTGTCGGTGTCGGTGTCGGTGTCGACGTTGTCGCGGCGCACGGCGGGCGACGCGGATTCCAGGGCGCGAATTCTATCGCCGAGTCGCTCGACGACGGCTTCGAGCTCGCGCTCGTACGATTCGGCTCGAGACCTTTCCTCGATCGCGCGCGCGAGGGACGAGCGACAGTCGTCGAGCTCATTTTCGATGCGTTCTCGCGAAGTGCGCTCTTTCTCGGCCGCTGACTTCCATCGTCGCGCGGTGCCGAGGGCCTCTTCGAGCGCGGCCTCCGTCTCGGCGACGAGTGCGACGTCGTCTTCCATCGCCGAAGAAGTCGAGTTTCTGAGCGTGCTCGCACCATCTGCACTATTCGCGTGTTGAACGCGTTCGAGCGCTTGCAATCGCGCCTTGGCGTCGCGCATCGCGTCGGCCACGCGTCTCGCCGCCACCGTCGCGGCGTCGCGCTCGCCCAACTCCTCCCCCAACGCGTCGCCCAATATCCTTTTAACCTCCGTGCTCGATGCCTCCAACGACGTTGCCCGCCGCCGCGCATCCGCCAACTCGGCTCTAATTGCGCTCATCGCCGCGTCTTTCTCTCGTCGCGCTCTGTCAATCTCTCTTTTAAAATTCTTTGCCTCGCTCGCCGCCGATTTCCCGCGCGCGGCGTCCACCTGCATCGCCCCTAATTCCCGCGTCGAAGCCTCCAGTGCCTGTCTGAGGCTCTCACATTCCGTTTTATACATCACGCACTCCTCTCGCTCGCGCCTCGCCGCGCGTTCGGTCTCCTCCACTCGCCGCGCCAACGCCTCGTATCGTCGCGCCAGGCGTTCGGCGCCGTCCCTCCGCGTTCGCTCCTTCGTCTCCATCTCGCTCGTCGCTTCCTCCAGCGCGTCTTCGGCGCGCGCCAACGCGCGTTCGAGCTCTCGCGCGCGCTCTTCGTGCGCCGCCATCGCGCGCGCCGTCGTCGCGCGTTCTATTTCACTCGAGCTGAGCTCTCGCTGCAGCGTCGCGATCGTCTCCGCGTCGCGCGTCGACCGCGTCAGCGCGCGATCATCGCGCGTCGTCATCACCAACGACTTCGTCGCCATCGCGCGCGCGAAGAGCGCCGCGATCGCGATCGCGACGTCGCGTATTGACGCGTCGACGCGATTTGAATTTCAAACACGTCAAAACGAGACGTTCGGGAGCTCGCGCGCGCGCGCATCGAGCGCGTGAACGCGCGCGGGCGCAGTCGCCGCGCGCGTGGGGATCGCTCGCGTCGATGTCGTCCGCGCGCGCGCCCGTTGACGCTCGCGCGGGCGTGGAAACGTCGAAAGATGATGCGCACGTCTCGGCTGTCGTGCGAACGGATGACGACGACGATGGGTTCCGTGACGACGCCGTGACGCCCGCGGTGACGCAGGCGCGCGCGGCGCATCACGGTCGTGCGCTGCGCACGGCGAGCGCGAACGGAAGAACGTGGACGACGGGACGGAAACGACGACGGAGCGAACTCGGGCCGTTGGGGACGATGGGAGACCTGAAGACGACGCCGATGCAAACGCCGAGAGTAGAGAGCGACGATGTCGGGCTGGGAGGGTTCAACATCGCGAAACGTCGGTCTATGAGCGCGTGTAAGAGCGTGGACGTCGCGGGTGGGAGCGCGGGGGGGTCGATTGGGAGGGAACGCCGGCGGCGGACGCGGCGGGATTCGAGTTCGGCGCGCGCGTCAGGAGGGAAGCGAGGGACTGTGGATGATGACGATGGCGACGGGAATGAAACGCCGGGGTTCGAGGAAGACACGCCGAGGAGTGAGTGGGGAGGGATGTCGCCGGGAGAGTACGGAGGGTCGCAGTACGTCATATCGCCGGCGCGCGAATTTTCGCAGTGCGATAGCGACGAAGATCGGACGGCGAGAGCGAGGGCGGAGAAGATTCGCGATGATGAGTGTAAGAGGGATGCTGCAGCAGCACGCGTTCAGGCGGAAAAGGATCGGCAGCTCAAGTTATATCCAATCTTTCGCACGGGTCAGAAGAAGGTGCACTTGGTTCGTCACGGCCAGAGTACGTGGAACGCCGCGAATTCGGGCCCGGGGTCCTGGGACGAGCCAAAGATGTTCGACGCCGCGCTGACCGAGCTGGGAAGGAAGCAAGCGAAGGCTTTAGGCATGGCTCTTTCGAAGATGCCGAAAAATGCGCTTTGGATCACGTCACCTTTGACGAGGGCGATAGAGACGTGCATCATCGGACGCAAGGCGGCGCTCGAGGCGAAAGCGGCGGAACTGAACAAGGCTCAGCGCGGCGGAGCGAACGTCGCGGACGATGCCTCACCGGACGAGAATGTCGACGACTTAAATACACCGTTGAGTACTTCGTCAAAGAAGGCTTTCAACCCCGAGCGGGAATTTGAAGAGTGGACAAGCCGACTCATGATTCGCGAAGAATTGACTGAGAAACTCAGCTGCTCGGGAGACGTCGGTCGTCCCAGACGCTGCCTTGAGGCGGAATTTCCGGAATTAGAATTAGCACTATCTAGAATCCCTGAAGATCGCTGGTGGTGGGAGGGTTGCGAACATAGGCCCAACGACGCACAGTCAGAACAGTTCAAGTCTCTCGAGCCGCAGACGAACTTCAAGCGCCGCGTCGCGCGTTTCCGCGACTGGCTCCTCAAGCGACCGGAGGAAACGTTTGTGGTCTTCGGACACTCCACATTCTTCAAGGAGTTTTCCAAGTCAGAGCGAAGCATGAAGAATTGCGAGATTCACGAGATGCGCTTGTAGGCCGGAAAACGTTGTAAGCAGAACTGCCGTCGCGCCATTGCGCGCCGGCGAGTCAATCAAACTCGCATTCACGACGTCCCACGCGCCATGCGCGCTTCGTATAGCGCGACACCGATCATCGCGTCGTCTTCGCGCTGCGTTCGCGCCGACGCGCGCCCCGAACGTGGACAAAACCAAACGCGACGGTTCAAAGCACCGACCGATGACGTCCCGAGCACTTCCGGGACGACGACGACGCGCCGAAGCGCCGTCATCGGCGCGTTCTGTTGCTCGTTGCGCGCAAACTCCCGCGCGTTTGCATCTGAGAGCATCGACGAATTACAGCGCGCGTTGGTAGAGGCGTACGACGTGCAAGACTTTAGCCGCGCTCTCGACGCGCTGGACGCCCTGCGCCGAGCCGAGCCGAACGAGCTGCGGTGGATCGAGGCCAAGGCCACGGTGAGCGTGGACGCGAAACAGTTTGACGATGCGTTGAAAGCGTACGATGAGGCCGTGGCGATGTGCGAAGGCGATGCGAGCGCTTCGGCGCGCGTTCTCGCGGGAAGGGCGTTAGCTCTGGAGGGAGTGTACCGCTTCCGGGACGCCCTGCGCGACTATGACGAGGTGTTGCGGTTGTGTGAAGTCTCGGGATTCGCGCCGGATCCGTACGTTTTGAACTCTAGAGGTAACGTCCACGGCTCGCTCGGAAATTGGGACAAGGCAAAGGATGACTACGAAAGCGCGGCGAATCTTTTCCAAGGCGCGCGCGGCTTCAAAGTCGGCGCCTCGACGACGCAACGCCTGGACGGCGCTATTTACGCCTTCTCCAACCTTGCCCTCGCCGAAGCTCAGCTTGGAAACGAAGATAAAGCGCTGAAACAGCTCGAATCTCTCGTCCGCCGCGCGCCGAACAGCGCCGACGTGCGCGCGGCGTGCGCCGCTTTATATTATTCAGCGGCCCGCTTCGAAGACGCCGAAGATGCGTGGGAACGAGCGTGTTCGCGCGAGAGTGGTTGCGCCAAATATCGCGATATCGATTACGTCACGCGCATACGTCGTTGGCCTCCCGTGATGGTGGCCAAACTCGAGAAATTTCTCGCCGTGCGTTGATTCGTAGCCAACATTCATTCCATAACAACGGTCCATCACGATCCTCTGCGCCCCTACGTCGCGCCTCGTTCACGGCGCCTTGGCCACTTTCACGCTCAGCGCGTGTATCTTTCCCATCACGCTCCCCAGCGCGTCGTGAATCGCGCGATGACTCTCAATCCGACTCTTGTCTCGAAACGATTCGCTCACCACGCGCACTTCGAACGCGCTCCCGCACTCCCCGCTCACGTCCACGACGTCCAGCTCCGCGCACGGCGCGAACGCGCGCTCGAGCAGCTCGCGCACCTCGCGCGTCGAGCTCATGCGCGCGCGACGACGTGTGCGTCCTCGGCGAATCCAATTGTTTCGCCGTCTGTGCTCGCGACGTCGTCACACGCATGCGCGCGCGCGCGCCGTCGTCGTCGCGCCTCGCGACCGCGCGCGCGCGCATGCCCATCGTCGCCCGCGCGCGACGCGCCGAGGCGTGCGTGCCGCAGCGCCTGCTCGTGGCCGACGACGTCGACGGTCTGCGCGAGTGGCTCGACGCGCGACCCGAGGGCGACGACGAATTGCTCGCGCGACGCGCGGCGAGGTCCGGGAAGGCGCCGCTGCACCTCGCGGCGTGGCGAGGGTCGCTCGACGTGGTGAAGTGCGTGCTGGAGAGGGGAGGGGCGATCGATCAGATCAGCACGGGGCGACACAACTACGGAAAGACGGCGGTGTTTTACGCGACGACGCGATGTCGCGACGACGTCGTGCTGTACCTGCTGCAGCGCGGGGCAAAGGTGAAAATAGTGAATAATAAGGGACAAAGCGTGCGATCGTTAGCGCTGTCGCACTGCGAAAGGGCGACGATCGAGGCGATCGAGGAAGCCGAGCGGCGAGAGACGACGTGGTGGAATTTTCGAGCGTCGCACTCGGACGGCTTAAAGTACGGCGACCTGGATGAGCGATTTTTTCCGGATGAGGTGGCGAACGAACCGGCTCGGGGGGTGTCGACGAGGGAATCTCGTCGAGGCAATTTTAGTCGATTGAATAAAGGAGTGTCGTGGGATAATCCCGACGGTATTGATCGTTCGCTGGAGCGAAAAGCGGCGGCGAAGCAGAAGCGAGAAAAAGACGCGGAGACGGCGTGGGAGGAGTTTGGGACGTTGTTGCGGGACCAAAGATTGTCGAAAGACGTCGAAAGTGACGCCATGGTTGAGTTAGTGGCGAAGATATTGCGTGCTGAGACAGCCATTGCGGTGAGCGGGGAGAAGCCGGATGTTTCTTCGCGCGCCGCGGAGACACTCGCGGGCGTCGCCGACGACGATGGCAATTTATCGATATTGCGAGCTTTGGTGGGTGTGCGACTCCGTGACTGTGGAATATCCGATCGTGTGCGCGTTCGCGAAGAGAAGGCGCGTAGAACTGCGTGTAGGATTTTAGCCTCCGCCGTCGCGAGCGCGATGGACAACGGCGCGTGGAGTTCAGTGACGTCGCGACAAATGTTTGACATTTGCGGATCGGTTTCAACATTCGTCACGACGATGAAGGATCGCGAGATGATGTTTACGGAAGATCAAATTGTATCTGCCATCGTGCGTGCGTGCGAAGAGACCAACTGCCGTGAGTTGAATGATATCGCGGCGCTTCTCGAAATAACAGACGCCAAGACGATGACGACAACGTCTCGAGCGCTTGAGAGCGTCACGGATTTTGCGCAACGCATGTGCAGCGCCATCGATGCGAGCGATCCCACCTCAGTCGCACATACAGCGGTAAGTTTAGCTGATCTTGGAGGACGCGTCGAGTCGTGGAGGCAACCAATTTTCGCGGGATTGGACGAAGCCATTGCCACATTGGATTCAAAGACCGTGTCAAAAGTGGCGCGACGTTTGGTGGACACGTGGGAAAACGACATCACGACGATTGCCAGCAATGCGATCGTGGAGTGCATGGAAATATCAGTTTTGGACGATCTAATGGATCGAGGCGACTGGTTGGAGGCAAAGGCGTACGCTTTGACGCGCGAAACGTTGCGCGAAACATTTGATCTTCGCGCGCCGGACGAGTTTCTCGACGTCGACGCAAACCTTCAAAGTATGACAATTTCTTCTGAACTTCCCCTCCTGGTGCCGAAGAAGAGAATCATCGTCGTGGAAGACGAGTGCGGATTAGAGCGAATCAAAGAAGTTCTTGCGTCGCCACATTGTGACGCCTTCGCATTTGATTGCGAATGGCGTGATCCGCGACCGATTTCAACGCTCCAAATTTCTCCAGTGCACAATTGCGAAACATTCGTCATCGATTGTTTACGAATCGAACGGACGCGGATGTCTACATTCATCGCAGACGTGTTCGGTGAATCGGGTATGAAAAAGATTGCGTTTGCCCCAGAGCAAGACTGGAAACGACTTCGTGTCGCGAGCAAGTCATATCCGTCGTCGTCCTCGAGCCCTCTACCCGGCTGTTTTCAGGACGCCAACGTCATCGACTTGCAAGGCGATGTCATGAACTCGTTGGCTTCCATCGTTTCCGAAACGCTCGGATACGCGCTCGATAAGCGCTGTCAGCGAAGCAACTGGGATGCCAGACCACTCGCGCAAGCCCAGATCACTTACGCTGCGCTCGATGCGGAAGTTCTGCTAGATATTGCGAGTAGATTGGGAATTATCGCCGGAGTGTCTCATCGTTCGAATCTCTATCCCGATGCACATCTCTATGCGAGCGATTCGGCGCTTTTTCGCGACGGAACACCACGTTTTGGCGCCGACTTGACCGCGACGGATTCGAATCTATTTGCCGCTGACGCGCGACAATTCGGAGCGAATCTTTGGGAGAGCGACCGACTTTTGTACACTACTGCTGAAGACGTCGAGCGTGATCGCAGAGACACGACGTTACGAGAGATCGCAAAGCGCGCGTACGTCGCTGACAAAGACGTGGAATGTACTACGTGCGCCATTTGCTTGAACGAATGTCGAACGAATGAAAAATTGATTCGCACAGACTGCTCGCACATATTCCACGCCTCGTGCTTACTCTGTTCTCTTCGAAATGCATTACGATGCCCGACGTGTCGAGCATCCATAGACGTGTTGACCTAGCATACCTAGCTTCTAGAAATACACAACGCACTTGCTATAGTTGTCTACTTTTCGGAATGGACGTCGTGAGAATCTCGAGCAACCCGTTTGGATTGTCGGTGTGCACCCAATGACCAGCATTTGCTAGCACTTGGAAATTCGCCGGCGACCTTTTCAACCTCTCGACGCATGCCGTACTCCAGCGCGTACTATTTTCCGCCTTCACGACGTAAATGCCAGAAGCCTCGTCCTCGATGGCGTGCCAACTGTCTGTCTTTTGATATGAATCGTAAAGCTGCATGACGGTATCGAGGTTGAAAACTAACTCTAATTCACTCCCACCATCGCACACGTTTTTCAAATTACTCCCTATCCAATCCACCAACTCAGTGGAGAACTGTGGTAGCGCCTGCGCGAGCCACTTGCGGCTGGGTATGCGCCTCGGCAGCGCTCGAATCGCCGACAACACCTCCGCGACGCCGTGGGGATCCGCCTCCACTCTCCCCGGCACCGAATCCAAGGACCACGTCTGCTTTGGCGCCGTTGTCGCCAATTTTGAATACTCCAGCGCGACTTTCCCTCCCAAGCTGTGTCCCACGACCACGCTCGGCGCCGTCCCGATCATCTTCGCCAGGGCGTCGACGTCCCGAGCCGCCTCCACCACGCCGCACGCCGGCGTCCGCTGCCCGATGCTCGCGCTCGCGCCGTGTCCGCGCAGATCCACCAAAACCACGCGCCAATCTTGTTCGCCGAGGCGCTGCCGCAACTGTTTCGCAAAACTGCGCCAGTTTCGGCCCGCGCCCAAGAGCCCGTGTAAGATGAAGATGGTTGACGACGCATCGGCATCGACTTTTGAACCGAACGGTGCGCCGTGGACTTCGTGGGCGAGGACGCGCGCGTGATCGGAAAACGCGCGCGTGAGAGCGCGACGTCGATGATTGACGACGCGGCGCACGGCGGCGGTGAAAAAAGACATGCGTTTAAATCTGCGGTGGTGCGATGGTTTTACAATCTAATCTATCTGTGCGTCAACGCGCTTGTCGTTGTATCGTGCGCCACTTGTCCTTCAAATGCACGCCGGTGCGAGACGTGTGAAAGCCGTTGGTGAGCGTCGGATCGTTCAAAATCTTCGCCCAATTCCCAATGCCGTACTTTTGCACGCCGAGGTGCAAACACGTGACTTCGGCGTCCGTCCACTTCACCTTCACGTGAAGCTTCTTGCGCGTCGACGGCGATTTCAGCGCAGCCCTGGGCGCCGGCGAAATGGCGGGTAGATTCGCGCGTGGCGTGCGGTATCCGACCTCTTCCCAAGATAAATTGGTTAATGGTGATGGCTTTGCGCGAGGGGTTTGCTGTGTGGGCGCGATATCTTCGTGTTCATCTTTGTCTTCTTCTTCTTTGTCGTTGTCGTCTGGTTGGTCGTTTTGCGAATCCCACTCCACGGTTCGCGCGTTCTTTTTTCGTTGAGCCGCTATGTGTACGCGCTTCGGCGGCGAGGAAAAGCTTTCCGGCACGGCGGTTAGAGCACCTAACGGCGGTTCTTGTCGGTGTCTCGTCGCCTCCGCCCTGAGCTTTCGACCCAATCCCTCGAGGTGCGGCTCGAGTCCAATCGAATCCGTCATCGCGCCCGATTGCCGCGCCACGCGCCCGTCTCCTCTCACCTGCACCTTGTACCTCCCGCTCGAGATATCGTTCCTCACGACGCTCAAGAAACTCATCAATTCACCGCTTTCGCACAGATCTGTGAACAACGTTTGTAAATCTTGCGCTATATCCTCCGCCGTGGGCACGCGACTCTCCCAGTCGCTCGGCAACCGCATATCGCTCTCCGCGCGCTCGACCATGTCGTACGTCCTCTTCGCCTTCGTTCCCAACGCGCTCCCATCGCCCAGCCCTCCGTCACCGATCGTCAGCGTTCGCCACCGCATCCAAAAATTCTCCATCGCTTTCCATCCTCGCACCGGGCTCGTCCCTCCCTCGTTCCGCGTCTCTCTCGCCGCCGCGAAGCACCACTCGCCGCGCAGCGCCTCGACGACGTCTTTCCCTCTCCTTTTCAGCGTTTCCGGCGCGTCGCGTCGCGTCGTCACCGCGTGCAGCGCGTCCGCGCACGCGCGCGCGCTGTTTCCTCGCATCGCGCCCTCACCGGCGATCAACGCATCGCGCGCGCGGGATAAAACGTCAAACAATCGCACGACGAGCGAATCGCACGACGCCAGCGTCTCGTCGTCGAGCGACGCCGCGCACGCGTTTTTCACCTCCACCTTGACGTCGAGCGGGATTTCGGGGCTCGACAGCGCGTGTTCTAACGACCACAACGCGCGCTCGCGTCGCTGCATCGCGTCGGACGCCGCGCGGGCGCGGTTCGGCGCCGCGCGCGACGCGATCTCGCGACGCGAAGACAGCTCGAACGAAGTTCAAAGTTTTTTTGTTGCGCGCGTCTTCGCGAGGCTAGAAGTAGAAGTCTATGGCTAGAAGCTAGGCGGTGGGTGGGATCGGGAGTAAATCCGCGCGACCGATGGCGGTGAGGTAGGCTTTACGCTCGCTGAAATGCCCGGTGCCGAGGAGGGTTTCGATGGTCGAGGAAGGCCGGAGCGCGCGCTCGAACCAGTCGCGCTCGGCGGAGCGCGCGCGGGCAAAGGAAAACTCGGCGCCGGCGTCTTCGTGGGCGTGGGCGGGATCGTGGCCGTCGAGGTGACCAGCCATGGGTTCGTCGTCGATGGCGTCTTCGACGATGTACATGTTGAAGATGGAGTGCGCGTCGGCGCCTATTTTGCGAAACTCGGCGAGCATGTGTTGGCCGACGGTGTCCTCGATGAAGCCCCCGACGGGCAAATTTGTCCAACGGCGCTGTCCAAACACGCGACCGAGGTAGAAGGATGTGCGCGCGACGTGCATGGAATCGTAGTGTTGAACCAAAGGTACGAGTTCGACGTCGCGAAACTGCTTTCGTGACATTCGCAGCTGTCCATATTCGCTCGTGAATACTCGCCCTACGCACTTGACGTCGTAGTTTTGAGTCGTCTTCGTAGGGAAGCCGACGTAGTTGATCTGTGGGTCCGCGTCCATTGCGTCGAGGACCGCACTCATGGGAACGACGCGTGTAAATAAGCGGTCGTGCTGGGCCACGAGCACGTACTCCGTCGTCACGCGCATCATCGCTCGCTTCAAAGCGTGACCGAACCCGTGGCGCTGTTTTAACCGAATCAACTCCGCGCCGCGCAGCGCGCCGTCGCTCTGTTCGCTCAACCACACTAATCTGGACAGATACGTCTCATAATTCTTCAACCCTTCCTCGTTGACGGCGCCGGCGCGGAATTTATTCGATTCTCGCACTTTGTACCCATCGCACACGACCAACAGTCGCGTCCCCGTCGCCGTCGCGAGGCCGCTTCGCCCGGCGATGCTCGCGGCGACTTCTTCGATCAGCCACGTGCTCGGATGCGCGCGACACGGAGAGGTGGTGATGATGATCGTGACGCGTTCTTTCGCATCGCGCACGCTCACCACACCGTCGCCATCGCGCATGGACGCCGCGGTCTGCGGCCGCATGGACCCAAAGCTCAAACCCTACGCGCGCGCGCGCGCCAGGGTTGATGGCGCTTGTTTGTTAACGCTTGTCCGCGCGCCTCGAAAGGCGGCGTTTACGCCACCTTTTTGAAGACATAAAATCGCTGACCTGGATTCCAACTCACCGGCGCGCGCAAGGAATCTTTTGAGACGAGCGCAAACTTGTCTTTTTGCGCGAGATTTCCCCGGTAATCGATCACAAACGCACCCGCTCGGAGCTCTTCGGCGAGTTTTTCGAGCACGGCGTCGTACACGGCGTCGTCCCAACACATGGAGGTGAGAACGATGATACCGACGTCGCACAGCGATGACGAAAGCATGTCAGCGTTGCAAAAATTCACATTGAACTTTTTGCATGCTTTTTTTTCGGCGCCCTCCAACACGTGCGAAGCAGTTGCGTGGAGAGTCTCGAGAATTTCAAATCCTTCGCATCGCGCGCCGCGAAACGTCGTCGCGGCATAGAACACCAACCACCCAGCAGAGCTTCCGAAAACGACGTACTTTAAGTCATCTTCCTCTAGCGTTTTCGCGCGTTCGCGCAATTCATCGCATTGCACGAATACCGCGACCCACGACGCGAACGGCGTCGATCCGTAAGAGAAATTCTCCGAACTCCATCCGCGCGCGCGAGCTTGGTTTTCCACCTCCCCTAACAACGCCCCTCGCCACGCGTAATCACTCTCGCGCGCGCGTAATTCATCGCACATCGTGTCCAGTATCGATGCATCATCGTCTTTAACGTCTTTTTCGAGCACCTTACGCATCAAATCGATCGTCGTTTCATCGCTCGAGCGCGTCTCGCAGTCGTCGTCGACGACGAATGGCAAATCTTCCATCACGTCATGTTCTCGCAAATACCACTCAAAATCTCGTAACGCTCGCGTCACTTCCTCTCCCATCGCGCTCAACGATTTTTTATCGACATCACCTCGCACGATTCGTTCGAGATCAACCTCGATCGCTCGCGCCGTCGTCGCCCATCGCTCGAGCGCCGCCAGCGCGCTCGTCTCGGCGCGGCGAGCGAGTCTCCCCTTTATCTCCGAGCTCGAGCACGTCCGCGATCGAACCGCGTCGCGCAGACGCACACACTTCGCGCGCAACGTCTCGCCGTGTCGCGGGGCGTGCAAGCGCGCGCGCAGCGACGCCACCGCGCGTGCGTCGTCGTCGTCGTCGTCCTGATTCGAGGTCGTTGGGGCACACGAAACGGCGCCGACGACGCGCATCGACTCGACGCGCGCGCGCGCCCCGAGCGTCGCCGAGAGCGCCTCGCGCGCGCCCGTCGCTCGACGCGCGCGCGTCGGAGGTCGTCCGAGTCGACGCGGCGACGAGTGACGCGACCGGTGGCATCAGTGCGCGACGCGTCATGGCGGACGACGCCGACGCCGACGGCGCGCTCGACGTCAGCGGGGCGGCGGACGCGACGACGATCATTCGTCACGCGGTCGTCGAGCGCGATCGACGCGCGAGAGCGCCGACAGAGGCGACGTTTGATGAATTGTTTGCCGAGCTGGAGCGTTGGCGCAGCGCGGTGATGGACCGCGACGACGCGCTGTGTAAAGCGATGCGCGCGCTTGAGGTGGCGGAGACGCGAACAATGCGTGCCGAGCGCGAGTTGGCGCTCGCGCGCGCGCGGGGGGGGGAAGAGGGCGACGACAGCGACGATGCGGCGACGCGGGCGCGCGTCGAGCTGACGGAGGCGTACGGAAGACGCGACGAAGCGAGTCGAGAAGCGATTCAGGCGAAAGAGGCGCTGGTTCGCGAGGAAATGGCGCGTTTAGACTCTGAACGCGTCGTGGAGACGTTGACGGCGGATAAAGAGCGATTGGAACGACGAGTGAGGGACGCGGAGGAGGCTTCGAGCGCGGCGCGGCGGGCAGAATCGCAGGCGTTGGACGAGGCAGAATCCCAATCGGCGATGAAGAACGCGGTGTTGGGGAAGGTAGAAAAGTTAGAAAAGGAGAATGCAGAGCTTGTGGAGCGACTGATGGAGATGAAGACGAAGGAGGCGGAGAAGATGAATGAAATTAACGATTTGTACGCTGATTTGTTGCGACAAAAGAAGAGCGTAGAATTGAATGCGAGGGCGGAGAGTCTCGCTGAGGCCTCGGCGGCGAGTATGAAGGCGCTTTCGATGTCTACCGTCATGAGCAACGTCGTGCCTTCGAAGAAGAGACATATTTTACAAAGTAACAAGGGTGGGACGCACCGTGTCGCCCTCTCGCACGATGGTTTCACCGTAGCAAGCGCCGGAGAGGACAAGGTAATCGCTATGTTCGACACGAATACGGGCGCACGAACCAGCGAATTGACTGGTTTGCTCGGTGCAGCATTAGATGTTACATTTAGCGCCGACGACTCGCTCGTCCTCGGGACCTCGACCGATTGCTCGCTCCAGCTTTGGGACGCGCTCACCGGTCGCGTACGGCACCGACTCACTGGGCACGCGCAAAAGGTGACGTCGGCGCGAATCAGCCAGATTGATGCTAAGCGCGCGATTTCGTGCTCTCAGGACCGGAACGTGAAGCTTTGGGATCTCAATCGTGGACACGTAACGTCATCCATGTTGACTTCAAGCGGCGTGTACTCGGTCGTCTTCGACGCAAACGAACAGCAAGCGTATTCCGGTCACTTTGATGGCGCGATTCGCGCGTGGGATCTTCGCGCGGGGAACGTAGCGCGCGAAACGAAGGTGCATAATGGTTTAATCACCGCCGTCTTCGATACGCCAAATCAAAACGAAATTCTGACAAACAGTCGCGACAACACGTTGAAACTCGTCGATATTCGAACAATGGACGTCGTGCAAACGTTCTCCGCGCCAAAATATCGCGTCGGCACTGATTGGAGTAATCCTTGCGTGTCACCGGATGGACAACATATCGCATCTGGCGGGGCAGACGGGGCGTTATTCATCTGGCGTGTACAGGGCGGACGCTTGATGACGACGTTGCACGGTCACGACGCCGTCGTCGCGACGTGCGCGTGGAACGCGGCGGGCGTGCTCGCGTCGGCGTGCAAAAATGGCGTGTGTCTGCTGTGGGAATAGTGCATTCAAAGTTGTAGTTTATAGATAGGTTCGTTGTATTGATGAACATTCAATCGACTAGAGAGTTAGTTTGCCGACAACGTCTTTTGAAGCGCGGCGATCTTGCCTCGCCACTGCGTTATGCGCGAGCTCAACTCTTGCCACTCGGCACCAGTGAATACGCGGTCGGTGCATCTAGTGAAAACAACGCGTTGCTTCATTTGATCCATCTTCGCGTCGACCACACCCGCGCCAACTGCGCGCACGACCCATTCCTCAACCTCACCGTCGTCGCACTGCATCGCCTCCTTGATTTCAGAGTACGACGCGTCGCCCTTCTTACCGAGCGCCGCCAGCGCCATCATGCGCATCTTTGCCACGCAGTCATCGGCGTCTAAGCCGAGACCGGAGACGATCGACCCGTTCGCCTTGACCAAGGCGTTGTAGTCGGCCACGGAGCCCGTGAGCATGGTGGACAAGAGCTTGAGCGCGTTGGCGTCGGCGGATTGCAAATGTTGCATCCCCTTGAGCGCTAAGAAATCCCCGTGGAACATCGTCGGCGAGCTGATGAATATGCGCGCGGTTTCCTTGGCGATATCCGCCGCCTCCGCGACGGCTCCACTGTCGTTTTCAAACGTCGCTAAATACTTGATCATGCACGAGAACAACTCCTCCTCGCGACCCTCCAACTCTCGGAGCAAATCGACGCACAACTTCAACACTCTGCGCTGCGTCTTGACCTCGCCGCCCCACGCCTTGGCCTCGCTCGCGTGCGCGACGAGCATGGGTAACACTTGCTTTTGTTTCGCCGCGACGCAATACGCCGCAATCTTTTCAAACAATTCAAGCTTTGTCTCCCCATCCTTCGCGTCGGCGTCGTTGTACAACGCAATCGCGCACCGCACCCGCAGACTCACTCGTTCGCTCACGCTCGCCGTCACGCACTCCATCACGCGTTTCATCGCCCCCCCATCGTCTCCCGCCAGATTCGCCATCACCGCCACGACGCCGCTCACCTCCTTATCCCCCCCGTCGCCGAACAGCGTCTCCGCGTGTCCCGTCAGCGCCTCCAAAACCTCCCCTCGCGGTTTCGCGCTCAGCGCCCTCGCGAACTTCTCCGCCTCTCCATCCTCGACGTCGCTCGCGCCCTCCTTCGCCGTCTCCCGCGCCTCGCTCGCGTCGTCCTCGTCCGCGCGCTCCGTCGCGCGTCGCTCCGTCTCGCCGTGGATCAAAACCCCGAGCGTCTCGCACGCCGCGACGAGCGCCGGCGACGCGCCGCCGTCGCTCGCGCGCTCGACGAGCGGCATCGGCGCGTTCGCGGGCCGTCGGTCGCGGCGTTCGAGCGGTTCGCGCGTTCGAGCGCGCGTCGCGATGTGTCGCCGTCGGTCGCGTCGCGTCGTCGTCGGCGGTCGATCGATCGGCGCCGCCGGGAGTCCCTTTTATTGACGGTTCATGACTCAAGAGTACTGGTTTGTGTATGGGTAAACAGTGCGAACGTCCGAGGCGCGTCGACGCGACGTCGCGTCGACCGCGCGACCGCGGCACCGCGCGACGCGCGCGCGCCGCGCCGGCGGTCGCGCGATCGGCGACGATCGGTGACGCGCGCGCGCGCCTCGACGGATGGAGGCGGACGACGCGAGGGCGCGCGAGACGGCGCGCGCGCGACGGGCGCTGGCGAAAAATCGCGCGCTCGCGGACGCGCTGTGCGGCGACGACGACGGAAACGGGCGCGACGGGGACGGGACGGGCGGTGGGGGAGCGCGACGACGGTCGATGGGGCGCGGCGGGGCGGAGGCGCGACGACGGGCGATCGTGGAGGAGATTTATAACGAGACGTGCGCGAACGCGGTGAACGGCTCGGACGTCGAGCGACAGTTGAGCTTGTTGGAGATCTTACCCACGGGATGCGACGCGATCGATGAGCTGTTGGGGGGGGGATTACGACAAGGGCAGTTGATCGAGATCACGGGGCCGAGCGCGAGCGGGAAGACGCAGTTGTGTCTGAGCGCGGCGGCGAGTTTCGCGGCGCTCGATAATCGAGTCGTGTACGTGGACACCACCGGCGGGTTTTCGGCGACCCGAATCAAGCAGTTACATCGTGGGTTCTTCGCCGAGGACGCGGAAAAGGCGGTGGTGGAGGAGCACTTGGACAAGACGCTGAATTTGATCGCCGTTCACAAGTGTCACGACGTGTTTTCGTTGTTAACTTTACTGTCGCAACTCGGCGAAGAGGCGAGCGAGGACGATAACAATCCGGAGCGCGCCACCATGGGATTACTCGTGATAGATTCGCTTTCCGCGTTGCTGTCACCCTTGCTGACGAAGGCGCATCATCAAGGGTACACCATCATGGCCACGGTGGCCGCCATGCTTCGCGGCCTGGCGACGACGCGAAAGACGGCGGCGCTCTACACCAACCACACGGTGAGCGCCGGTCAAGATTCACTCGCGGACGATCACGGGAGTAACTTGAAGCCCGCTCTCGGGACGCGTTGGACGGCCGTGCCGCACCGTCGGATACGGTTATCCAAGATTCCAGGCACTGGTTGGCACAGCGCCTCCATCGTGTACGGCGTCTCCGCCAAGCCCGTCAAATATCGCATAGGATCAAACAACATCCACGGCGCCCCGACGCAGTGATTCCGACGCGCGACCAACGCCCACCGACGAACGAAACGTCAAAAACGTAAAAATAGAATTAGCGCACGCGAACGATGAAAACGATAGAGCGATGTTAGTCGAAATTAGAACCTCAAACGCGTTCGCGCCGACGCGCTCCAAACGACGAATCCTCCTCGAATCCTCCTCGTGGAAAATCAGTCTTTCGTCACATACGCGCGCGCGTCAAACCGCGCGTGACCGCTCGACGAGGTCGCACGCATCTAACGCGAACGATCTCGTTCCACCGCACGCGTCGCTTCGCGCACGACGATGCTCGCGCGAGGCTTCGCCGCCGCCGTCCCAGCGCCAGGGCTCACGGCTCGAAGATGTTCGCGTCGCCCGTCGACGTCGAGTCGAACGACGACAAATGAACGCGCCAGACGCACGCGCACGAATGTGTTCGCGCCGCTGGTGCGCCCCGCCCCGTTCGTGGGGGAGTTACCGCTCGTCGATCCAGAGGATTTGATTTTGCTCGACGGGGAAATCGGGCCGGTGATGCGGCCAGAGGCAAAAGATTCGGACGTGGCGCGAGAGGCGTGGTACGTGCGAGCGATTTTGACCGCTGATGTGTACGATGTCGCGATCGAGTCCCCGCTTGAGCTCGCCCCGCGATTGAGCGATCGGGTCGGGGCGCAAATTTATCTCAAACGAGAAGACTTGCAGCCGGTGTTTTCGTTTAAGATTCGAGGGGCGTACAATAAGATGAAGCAATTGACGGAAGAAGAGCGAGCGAGAGGGGTCATTACGTCCAGTGCGGGGAACCACGCGCAGGGGGTGGCGCTTTCAGGGCAAAAGCTGAACTGTAAGGCGATCATCGCCATGCCGGTGACGACGCCCGCCATCAAAGTGGAGGCGGTTCGTCGACTCGGTGGGACGGTGGAATTGGTCGGGGAAAACTACGACGCCACCCAGGCGTACGCGAAAGAGCGCGCCGCGGCGGAAGGCCTGACATATATTCCCCCGTTTGATGATCCTTACGTCATAGCGGGTCAGGGCACCGTGGGCGTAGAGGTTATGCGTCAGTTGCCCTCGGCGGAAATCATCTTTGTGCCCATCGGCGGCGGCGGGCTCGCGGCGGGCATGGTGGCGTACATCAAGGCTATTCGACCCGAAATTCGCGTGATTGGTGTTGAACCAGCGGGCGCAAACGCGATGACTTTATCTTTGGCTCGCGGTGAGATTGTGAAGTTGTCGAAAGTGGACGGCTTTGCCGACGGCGTCGCAGTTCGTGAGCCAGGGCGCGATTGCTTTGAGATTATTCAAACCATGATTGACGGTATCATCACCGTGAAAACGGATCAAATCGCTTCCGCGATCAAAGACGTATTCGGTGACACTCGTTCGATCCTCGAACCAGCGGGTGCAGTCGCAGTGGCTGGCGCCAAGGCGTATTGCCAAGCGCACGGCGTCACCGGTAAAGTCATCGCCGTGACATCGGGGGCGAACATGAACTTTGATCGTCTTCGCGTGATTTCTGAGATCGCAGATCAAGGGGGTAAGGAAGAAGCCACACTTTTGAGTATCATTCCCGAGAAGAATGGCGAATTCAAGCGATTTGTGGAGACCGTCGGGGATATCAATATTTCAGAATTTAAATATCGCGTGCAAGGGGCGGACGCGCGCGTGCTGTACTCGATCGAGGTTTCCGATTTAAAGGACGTTCAGAACACGATGCAGCGGATGGAAGCGTTAGGTTTCAAGACGGTCGACTTGTCTAACGATGCGACGACGCAATTTCACCTTCGCCACATGACTGGTGGGCAAGGCAGAGTTGAAAACGAAAGGTTGTACAAGGTTGAAATTCCCGAACGCGCGGGCGCGCTCGGAAACTTCCTCGAGTTCATCAGTCCTAAGTGGTCGATCTCAATGACGCATTACCGCAACGACGGTGGTCGCGTCGGTCAGGTTCTTTTCGGCGTGCAAGTCGCTGAAGAAGAACGCGAGGTGTTTGAGGAGTGCTTAGACGGCTGCGGGTACAAGTACGACGACATGAGTTCGAACATCGCCTTCAAAACTCTCTTCGGGTGAGTTCTGAAGCAACTCGTAGCCTTAGTCGCGCACGCGAACCGCGAAAAATTGTAACCTATGCTTACGCATCACATATGGTCGAGATCAATCTTCAACTCTAAACGCGGAACGCTGACGTGGTACGATCCCACGTCGACGTCAAACGTGAACTTCTCCCCCGATCCAACCTTTCCCTCAACTTCCGGCGCCGCGCTCGACACATCCCAACGCATGCACCCTCGCACGCGCTCCGTGAGCTTCACTTCCGCCGAACGCAATCGTTTCTTTTCCTTGTGAAACGTCTGCAGCTGCCACCGCAGTCCCCACTCGCTTCGTTCGACGTCGTACTCTCCGACCCCTCGAAGCGACAGCGGCCCGCACGACAATCGCTGCGTGAACACTTCCACTCTTTTCTCCTCCGGATCGAACACGATCTTCTTCATCGCCTTCCAAAACATCGGCCTCGCTCGCGCCGTCGCCTCGTCCTCGTCCTCGTCTTCGTCTTCGTCTTCGTCTTTACCTCCCCTCACCGCGTGTTTCACCGCCACCCTGTACCTTCGCGCGTGGGCGTCGTACGTCATCCCCACCCTCGTCGCTCGTCCGATCGTCTTTCCCATCTTCAGCCTGTACTCCGGGCACAGCTCGAACGTGTACTTATCGTTCACCTCGTTCAATCGCTCCTCGCATCGCGCGAGCGTCCCCGCGAGCGCCTCGAGGAGGCCGACGCGTCGCGCGCGTCCCGCACCGGCGTCGCTCGTCGGTGGCGCGTCGCTCATCGCCGTCGCGCTCGGGTCGTCGGCGTCGTCGGCGTCGCGATGTCGCGATCGGCGGCGTCGTCGCGTCGTCGCGCGTTCGGCGCGTTCGGTCGCGACATCGCGACGACGCGACGTCGCGACGCGCGACGATGCGAGCGATGGCGACGGCGCGCGCGGTGATGACGCGCGCGCGATGCGGCGACGTCGTCGCGCGACGACGGCTCGCGACGCGCGCGCGCGCGACGACGACGACGACGACGACGACGACGATGTGGCGGCCGGCGACGACGCGCGCGCGCGCGCGCGGGCGCGGGATCGGGATCGAGGGCGCGATCGAGGGCGCGAGGCGAGGGTGGGGCGCGCGGACGCTCGCGGCGAAGTCGAACAATCGAGGGAGGACGGCGGCGGACGAGGACGAGGACGAGGACGACGAGGAGGCGCTGGACGAAGACTTCGACGTCGAGGAGGAGGTGGCGGCGGATGAGGAATTGGAGGTGGGAGGCGAAGCGATCGATGCGGGGGGGACGGATTACGGAGAGATGGCGCTCGAGGCGCTCAGGGACGCGCTGGCGAGCGATGCGTTCGCGGGAGAGTATGATATTTTTTCATTTAAAGTGAACGCGTCGCGGCGACGCGTGTTGGCGAGCGTGGACAAGTTGAACGACAAGTACGGATCACCGACGTTGGATGAATTGACGACGATCGTCCGCGCGCATAACGCGATACTAGATGAACGTGGATTTCCGGAAGACGTCGCCGTGGAGTTGGCGAGTCCGGGGGCGATGAGGAGTTTGCGCGTGCCGCGGGAACTGGAACGATTTCGCGACCTCGTCATGGACGTGACGTACAAGGAAGCGATCGAGAACCCCGAGTCGACCTCAAACGTGACGAAGACGATGGAAGTCACCGATATATCGGACACGGAGGTCGAATGGAAGCTCGCAGATGTGCCGGCGAATCGTCCAGCGAAGAAAGGACAAGGGATGAACAAAAAATCGCGCGAGTGGCGTCTGCGCATGCCGCTCGACGCCGTCGTCAGGGCTAATTTGTTCATCGACATTTGAGTATCTATCGTCTACCACTAACATTATAATACCGATTTTCCTAGAAATTAACGCTGAAAGATGTCCGTCCCCCCCAAAGCGCGAGAGACGAAATCAAACATGCTCCACGTGATGGCTTGCTGAAACGTTCTGCGCGTTACGCGAGGGAGCGAACCGACCCACAGCGCGCGAACACCCTCTTCCCTGAGAATTTTCGCCAGTGATACGGCTGGCATTTTGCTACCGCTTTGTTGCGTCATTATTCGCCCGAGCTGAACTCGGGTACGAATGACATCGGGAGGGTGCGTGAGAAACGTAGCCCCCGCCCCCGCGAGCGCGCCGGCGATGAACGTGTCCGCCGCTCCGGCTTCGCGGTTCTGCATGCGCGCGACTTCGTGCATCAAATGCCGAGTCTGGGTGAAGAGCAACAAATTGAGCCCTGAGAAAGGCGCATCTCGAGCGACCGTGCTTCCGAGCCCCGAAAACAACCCCCCGGCGCCCTCTTTCCGCGCCACGCTCGCAAACGTAGCCACCATGCCTTGCCGCACCCCCGCGTTCGCCCCTGCGTATTCCATCCGCGTCTTCACCACGGTTATAGGGTTCAGCAGCACCGCCGCGACCATTCTCGCCGAGCACCCAGCGCCGAACGTCATCGCAGAGCGTTCGAACGGCGTCGCTTTCTCCTTGTTAAAACTCGCCGCGAGCTCCCTCGTCACGCGCTCGAGCAAGAAGAAGTACAACCCAGCCCCCGCGGTGGTTCGCACGCACGACGCGCTGACGCCGCTCCAGAGCCCTTTCATCCCGTTCGTTTTGACCACGTCCGCGGCGACGTTCACCATCCCGCGCGCGCCTCGCAGCTTTTCGGCTTGCATCTTCGTCTTCACCACCTCGAACGGCTGCAACAGCGCGCTGGACACTAAACCAGCGCTCGCGCCGCCGATGAAGCTCGCCGCGGGGTTCTTCTTCTTCTCCGCGCTCGCGCGCGCCGATCGCGGCTCCCCGGGCGCCGTCTTCGCGGCTTGACCTCGGGCGTCGCGCCCCATGGGACGAGACGGGACGACGACGCGTCAGAGTGTGGCGCCGCGTCGTCGTCCCGATCGCGCGACGATGCCACCGATCGCGCACGAGGGCGCGATAAAGCTTTGGAACGGCGGGGATCGAGAACAGTGGCGAGCGCACGCGGCGGCGTACGACGAGCGCTTGCGAGCGTTGAATCTAGGCGAGCGGTTATCCAAGTTGGATGCGTTCGTGCGCAAAGAACTTCCGAAAACCATCGCGCAAAGACGCGCGACGAGCGCGACGAGCGATGATTGGGGATACATAAAAAAGGATGAGTACGTGCGCGTGGTGGAGTGGAAGCTGGCGCGAGGGAAAACGAGACCTGGGTTGATGAAGTACGCGCAAGCGTTGTCGGAACGCGACGTGGAGAGCGCGAGTCGAGAGGCGTATCGACTCGCACACGCGAGCGAAGGGGGCAAAAGAAATAGTAAGGGTAAAATCGTCGATGCTATGGCACCATTCATCGCGCTGAAAGGATGCGGACCAGCCACGGCGTCGATTCTCATGGCGGTCGGCGACGAGCGGTTTCCATTCTTTAGCGACGAGGCGCTTGCCGTCGTCGTCGGAAACGGGGGAAATGATAGATACTCCGCAGCGCGGTATCACGAGTTTATGAAAGCTCTGCACCGTAAATGCGACGATCTCGGCGCAGATGACCTCACACCAGCCAAGCTCGAGAGCGCACTGTGGAGTGCCGCGGCGCTGACGATGCCGAAGAAGATGGCGAAAACGAAACAATAAAAATGCTCGCGCTTTCATTGTACATTACATTTTAATAAATCAGATTCTCTCGTCTTTTGAAACTGGATCTTCGACGAAGAGCTCAGGTAGCGTCTTGCGAATGACATCTGTCAACTTCCGCACGTTCAGTGGTTTGAGGACGAAGTCATTCATCCCGACGTCGCGGCACTCTTTTTCACTCATTCCTTCAACACCAGAAGACACGCCCACGATGGGTACCACAGATTTGGCGGAGTCGAGTTCGCGAATGCGCGTCGTCGCTTCCAAACCATCCATCACAGGCATTTGACAATCCATGAGAATCAAGTCAAAGTTAGAGTTCATAGATTTATGCGCATCCAATGCCTTTTTCCCGTCGGCGGCGATCGTTACGTCGACGTCGCCAAGTTTCCTCAAAAAGGCTTTGACAATCATCTGCGTCGGCATGCTATCCTCGGCGTACAGCACACTGATCCTCCGAGTCGGATTAAAAGGATGCGCTTCTTCGCTCCTGTCCGAGTCATTGCTCGTTCTAGAGGTTCTCATGTTGAGCTGCAGGCGAACCTCCTCGTTTTGGTCGAGTTTGAAACTCGCACTGCGCACGAGGCGTACTCGAGAAAGTTCGTCCTTACCGAGCGCCGTCAACATGTCTTGGACGGTTACAGCGAGGCACTCAACCGGCCCCTTCGCCCTGACTGTCGCTGTGCGATAGCCGTGCACGTGCGACTTCTCTCGGATCCCTTGCATCGCTTTAAGGAACGCAATTTCCCCCACAATCTCTCCAGCCTCTCGCACGACCAAAACGTCCGTCTCGCGTTCTCGATCGATGGTGTCTAAATCAACTCCGATCGCGTCCATCAACACCTCACAGTGACCTTTGTTGATGAAATACATCACTTCACCGATAGCACCTTTGTGCATAAGAATATCGCCATCGTTGAACTCCACCAAGTTGAAGGAAGGCTGCAATAAAGCGGCAAGCGGATCGGTTCTGATGGCGCTCGCGATTTCTTCCTCGGTGAGCTCCACGATGGCGTGCGGCAGCTCGGTGAGAGGTCGCGCGAGAGGCTCTTCCCCATCGCGCGTGATCCAAAGATGCTGCATCACGCCAGCAATATCCAGCCGTTTCGCGGGGTCAACGCACATCATGTTGCGCAAAAGATCCTTGAAATTTTCTGAGAGCGGCGCGTCTTCGTCGAATACTAATTCGTTTGCGCGCGCTTTTGCGACGATTTGGTACACCGTCTTGCCTGGGAACGGCAGTTTGCCCATAGCCATATTGTAGAAACACACCCCCAGGGACCATATATCTGCCTTGAATGGGTCGTAACCGTCTTCCGAAAGAACTTCGGGCGCTAAAAACGCCGGCGTACCCACAAGTCGTTTCTCAACGCCGTCGGACGAAACCAAGTCGTGTATGAAACTCACGCCAAAGTCTGCGAGCTTGACTTCGCCATCGGTGCACAGAAGCATATTTTCTGGTTTAAGATCCATGTGCGCGATGTGCAGCGAATGCAAGTAATCCAATCCGAGCACGATGTCGCGAGCGTATCCTAGTAAAACCTTTTCGTCCACCGCCACCGTGCTGAAACGCGTGAAAATGGGTCCCGTTTGGCAATACTCCAAGACTAAGATGAGTTCCTTTTTGAACTCGTCATCGATGACCTCGTGTAAAGTACGAATGTTTGGATGATGCAACTTCTTCAGCACGGCAATCTCCTTGCGAACGGCTTTCCAGGAGTTCACTCGAGAGTCCGTCCACTTCACCGCGTAGAGCTGATTATCCTGTTGATTCATCGCCAACTTCACCTTTGAATGCGATCCTCGTCCGAGATCCTTGATCAATATGTACTGATTCAGCGAATCAAAACTCTGAGCACCGAATTTCACCTCCTTTGTCGTCATTTTCGACGTCAACTTCGTCGGCAGCACCCCCGTCGGCGTCCCGCTCGACGCCCCCGCGCCGCTCGCGGACCCGCTCGTCGTCGTCTGCAGCCCGTCTCCGCTCGCGCTCGGATCGCCCGACTTTCTCGAGCTCGTGCTCGACGTGCTCGAGTGTACGTTCAAGTGCATCAGTCTCTGATGCAACTCAGCCGTGTTCCAAATCCCATCGCGCGCGTCGTCGTCGTCGTCCCGTCCGGGCGTCCCCGGGCGTTCGGAATCCCCCCCCCGCGCGTCGCTTTCGCGCGATTCCGCCGCCTCCGCGTCGCGCGCGGCGTCGCGCGCCGTCATGTCGCTCCCACGACGCACCGTCGCCGCGCGCGCGCCTCGGACTGTCGGTCGGGCGCGCGTCATCATCGGACCCACGCGTTTCATTCATTCTCATTCACGTCCTTCATCCTCGCCCGCCACGTCACGTTCGGCTAAAATTTCGCGGTTCGCGACCCTCGGGCGAGTCCCTCGCGGGGCGGTGCCGACGGGCGAGACGGCGGACGACGGACCGACGGATGCGACGCGCGCGACGGGATGCGACGCGCGCGACGCGCGCGCGGCCGTCGCGTCGGCACGGCGTCGCGCGCGGTGCGGCCGTCATGGACGTGGACGGTGAAGTCGACGCCCTCGTCGACGCCGTGCGACGACTCGGCGACGTCGACGCGGGCGGGACGTGCAAGGCGCGCGCGACGACGAACGGCGCGACGCGCGCGCGCGAAACGACTCTTTGCGTCGCGCGCGACTGACGGCGCGATGTCGCGCGATCGCGCGACGCAGGTGAAGTTCGGCGCGCTCGTGCGCGACGATGAGGTGGCGAACACGTTCGAGGCGCTGAACGGGACGCTGCGAGCGGCGAAGAAGCGAGGAAAGTTGACGTTCGCGGGGGAGCTGTTGTTGCAGGGGGCGCACGACGACGTCGACGTCGTCGTCGTCGAGAGCGCGGGCGCGACCTGAGGCGCCGCGCGCGCGCGCGCGCGCGCGTGGTTTGGAATTTAGTCGATTGTGTACGATACAGCGAGCTTCATCATATACATACAGCGTCTAGTGTCGCGTCCTAAAGCGCGGCGACCCAATCGGTCAACGCGTCGTTGACGAGTTTTGGATTGTCGTCTTGCACGCAGTGTCCTTCGCCTTCAAACTGTATGAAGTCCGTTCGCGACGTCTGTCGTGTTTTCGGAAGGTTGAGAAAGTATTGACCGAGCGGGAAATCGAGCGGGGTGATGGTGTCTTTGCTTCCCCACAAGATGAGCATCGGACACGCGACGCGAGGCATGAGTTCCTCGGGACGCGGCCCGGCGGGACCCGTTAAGATGTTCACGAACGCCTTGAACGCGCCTTCTCTGTTCGCCGCGCCGCAAATAGAGTTCACCAACCCGTCATCGACGCGACTGGGATTCATGTACACATTTGCGAGCGCGCCGCGCACATTTTCTTCGCCTCTCACGCTTTCAAAGAGCGGTTTCGCGATCGGCTCCACCTTCAACACCGCGTCTATGATGGCCAACACGACGCTGAAAATGGGTACCACGGCCTTGTATTGCCACCCATATCCATCAAAATCTCCATCTAAGCGTTTGACTTTGTTATTCATCCCCCCCGCGCAGTTGATGAGGGCGATGCCCGCCGTCGTCTTCGGCGACTCGGCCGCCACGTGCACCGCCGCGAGCGAGCCGATGCTGTTCCCCACCAGCACCGCCGGCTCGCCCACGACGTTTTCCACGAAGTCGATCACTTGATCTCTCCAAAATTCCATCGCGTACGGTACGTCTGGTTGATCACTCGTTCCGAATCCCACTAAATCCAACGCGTACACTCGATGGCGTTCGCCGAGCGCGCGCACGTTATCTCTAAACTGAAAGCTCGACACCCCGAACCCGTGAATGAGGACGATCGCCCGCCCTTCATCGCCGCTCGCGCGATACCCCACGCGATGGCCTCGCCACGTGTGATATTTCACCTCCTCATCGCTCGTCGACGCCTCCGCGGTCGCGCGCGTTCGCCTCCGCGTCGGCATCGCGCGCGCGCGACGTCGTCGTCCCGCGGACGCGCGCTCGCGCCGCGCCGCGCCGCGCGACGTCGTCGCCGCGCGACGAAGCATCATCGTCGGGTTCCCGACGCCGCGACGCCGTCTGCACCGCGACCGTCGTCGCAAAGTGGGTCGTCGTCGTCCGCGACGGCCGCACCCGCACCCGGGCCCGGGCACGCCGGTTCGACTTTTCGACTGTTCGATGTTTCGACTTTTCGATTGTTCGACTTTTCGACTGTTCGATGTTTCGACTTTTCGATTGTTCGACTTTTCGATGTTTCGACTGTTCGATTGTTCGACTTTTCGACTGTTCGATTGTTCGATTTTTCCCGATTTCGGCAATCGCGCCGGGACGTTCGATTCGGGGCGCCCGGACGGGGGTTTACGAACTTCGACGTCACACCCGCGACGACGACGACGACGACGATGTGGCGAGCGCTGGTGCGACCGGCGGTGACGGCGGGGGTGAATCACGCGGCGCGCGCGCGCGGTGCGTGCGCGCGGACCGCGCGAGCGACCGCGCGCGCGACGCGAACGTTCGCGAGCGGGGGGGAGGGCAATAACATCACGAGCGCGCTCGTGGAACAGATGCGAGGGAAAATCGCGGAAGGCTTAGAGGCTGACGCGGTGGACGTGCGAGACGAGAGCGGGAACGCGCGACACGTGTCGATCAAAGTCGTGTCCAAGGCGTTCGAGGGGAAGAGTTCGGTGAATAGACAACGCATGGTGTACAAGTGCATTTGGATGGAACTGCAAGACCAAGTGCACGCGGTGAACGAAATGGTGACGCTGACGCCGGAGGAAGCGTCGAAGTGACGTTCGAGCGCGTCGAAGATTGTGTTATTTGCGCCGCCTTAGCTGCTTGTTTTTATCAACGTACTCTAACTAGTGACTATTAACCGAGCACCCAACCCGCTTGATTGGATTGCGCCTTGTCGTCGGCGCGCTTTTCCTTCTTTTGTCGCATCCCCCACGCGCGTCCGGTGGCCTTGCACTCTTTCACGCGCTTGATGATTTCTTTAGCGGCGTTAAACGTGCCTCCAGTCTCTTTGTCGCACGTGAAACACGTCGTTTGCTTGGCGTTGTGTTGCAACGCGCAGCGCTCGCAAAAAAAGTGTCCGCACGCCGTCGCGACTGGAAACTTCGCTTCGAGCCAGGAGGTGTCGCAAATCGCGCAAGATTCGGGGATGTCGTTGACATACTCTTCATCGGACTCTTCCGCGACGCCATCTTCGCCGAGCTTGGCCATGCGAGCTTCGGCCGCTTTGCGCGCCTGTTCTTTTTGCTCCCAATCCTTGTCGAGCTGCCAGCCTTGTTTGTAATCTCCTCTATCGTGTAAAAACTTGCACGCGTCGCCCCATCCACAGAAACCGGTTTGCTTGTAGTCTTTGCAAATGTCTGGTTTGTAGTCCATGACGAAAGTCGACCGAATATTCGTCGCCGCTCGCATCGGACCGTGCGCCCCTCGGCCCTTCTCGCTCGAAATCGTCTGCTCGCGACGGAACCCGGCTCGATAGTCCACGTACGCATTCGTCCCGCGATACTTCTTGTCGTCCTCGAATCCATCGGCGCGGTCGATGGCTTGTTTCAGCACCTGTTCTCGCATCGCTCGTCCATCCATCTCCTTGCTCGTATCGATCTCTAGTTCCGCCGTCGCCCCCATGTCTCCGCGCGCCCGCACCGTCTTCGAACCTTCAAATGCGAACCTCTCGTACTTGCCTTTACCATCGCGCGAGGATGCCACGATGCCTTGACTCCGCTTCTTACGCCCGACGTTCTGTTCGTCTTCGCCGTCATCGAACCCACCACCACCGCCGTCGTCGTCGTCCGAACTCGACGCCGCCGCGCGCTTTCGCGCGTTCGCGCGCGCGTTCGCGCCGCGTTTCTTGAACCCACCGCCGCCGAACGACGCCTTCTTCGTCGCCGCGGCGTCGGTCGGGACGATTGCGTCGCCTTCGTCGCCCATCGTTCCCGACCGCGCGTCTCGCGCCGCGCACTGCGGCGCGGACGCGCGCGGTGACGCCGAATCGCAATCAGTCGCGCGCCAAACGCGCCGGCGACCCGGGCGGCTGGATGCGAACATCGGGGCGCGTCACCGGACTCGCGCGCGCGCGTCGAGATCGGTGGCGATGACGAAAAAGGTGGTGCTCGTGACCGGTGGAAGCGGTCTCGTCGGAAGCGCCATCCGCGAAGTCATCGCGGGCGAACGACCGGAGAACGAGGAGTGGATATTCGCCTCGTCCAAAGTGCGTGACGTGCGGCGCGAAGAGCGAGCGTCTCGTCGCTCGAAGACGTGCACGAGCGATCGACGCGGCGAAGGACGAGAGAAATGACTGACGGAACGATGCCGTTTCCACGCATAGGATGCGGATTTATGCGACCCGGCGTCCACGGCGGCGATGTTTGAAAAGTACAAGCCGACGCACGTGATCCACCTCGCGGCGCAGGTGGGAGGGCTGTTCGCGAATATGGTGCGTAACACGCGCGCTCGACGACGAAAAATACGCTCGTTGTGATTGAAATCTCGCCAGCGATCGAGGACTGACCGATGCACGCTCATCACGACAGAAATACAAGGTGGAATTTTGGAGAAACAACATAGCGATGAATGACAACATCTTCCAAGAGTGTCATAAGCGAGGTACGCGTCCCGTTTGACGGCATTTGTTGAGTTTCGACTGACGTCCGATATTCTTTACTCGATGAAAAGGGGTCGAAAAGCTCGTCTCTTGCCTTTCGACGTGCATCTTTCCGGACAAGACGACGTTTCCGATTGACGAAACCATGATTCACGACGGGCCGCCGCACTTCTCGAACGAAGGTTACGCGTACGCCAAGCGCATGGTGGACGTCCAAAACCGCATGTACAAGGCCCAGCACGGCTGTAACTTCACCGCGGTCATTCCGACGAATATTTTTGGCAAGCATGACAACTTTCATCTCGATAACAGCCATGTTATTCCCGGACTCATCCACCGAGGCTACTTGTGCAAGCAAAAGGGTGAGCCCTTCACCATCTGGGGATCGGGCACGCCGCTGCGACAATTCATCTACTCCAACGATCTCGCGCGTTTGATGATCTGGACGATGCGTGAATACCAAGAGGCGGACCCTATCATTCTTTCAGGTGCGAAGAGACGCCCGGGTGATGCGTTGCGCTCTTCGACGACGCGAATATTTATTTATTTGCTGCCCTGCGAATAATTTCTTGACTGACCTCGGCGATCATTCTTCCCTTCTTAGTTGGTGAGGAAGACGAAATTAGCATCGCAGACGTCGCGCGCTCTGTCGCTAAGGCGCTCGACTTCCAAGGTGAAGTCAACTTTGACACCACGAAGGTACGTTTTATGCGGCGAATAAATTCAATTAAATCACTCACGAACTCACGCGAAATAGGCTGACGGTCAATTCAAGAAGACCGCGAACAATGCGAAACTCCGCAAATACCTTCCCGATTTCAAGTTTACGCCGTTTGACGAAGCCATGGCGAGCACAGTGAAGTGGTTCATGGAGAATTACGAAACACCTGGTGCGGTCAGAAAATAATTAAATAAATATCGAAAGTAATTGCTTTACTCCTTCGCCCGTTTCCGTCATTTCCGTTAAGTTTTTTGCGCTATCGTCGCTGACGTGCGTTCGTGGGCGTCTGCATCGAGATTTGACGTGCGATTCTCGATAACACGAAGATCGGAATTACTTTTTTAATTAATGTTCGTCAGGTGAGAATAATTAACAACTCGATCGCTCATATCGACGCCTCAATGCACGACGACGCGGAGAATCAGCGTTACAAGCGTCAGTCTGACAATACGAGGAGAAGTTCGCCTCCGTGGCTTCATTGAGATCTCTTTCGGCGACTTATTCGCCGATAGCTGTTGAATTAAATTATTTATTTTGACCATCGCCCAAACTTTAATTTGTATTTGTACCTTGGCACGATGCGTTTTGCTCTTGATTTCGATCGAAAATACGGGATAAAATGTATACAAGAGTTTATTGTTGCGATCCTGTCGAACTTCCGCGATGATGCGCGTATCGATCGAAAATGAGTGCTACTAATAATACATCTAAATTAAATCAGATATCTATCTATTCCTTGCAGTCAGCGAGTACATCCTGCAGCGTGCTATTCTCTCCCAAACCAGTCCAATTATTACCCCACATGTTCCATGAAACGAGTTCTTCGAGCGAGCTCGTCGGTAAATCGCCTGATGGCAGCTCACACGATGTGCCTGAACCGAGTGAATTTTGTCTGTCAGCCCACAACGTATCCGCATCCCAAGACCCTCGTTTCGTCGCGACTGTGTGAGCGGCGAAAATGGCCATATTCCACAAGGACGCCATACGTGCATCCGATCGGCTTGATTCCGTCGCCTGCGCGCTCGTTCTATCTTGCGTAGAGTTGTACAGGATGGCTCTTTCTCTGTTGTCGGCAATTTGCGGCATGCGGTGCAGCGACATTGCTCGCCGGCAACTCGTCAACGCTTTCTCGCAGTAAATGTCGCGCATATATCCTCCGAAACTAATGAGTAGACACAATATGCATGCCTTCAACATCACGCATTCGTAGGAGAACGGTGCCAATTCAACGGCACGCTCGGAGCTGGATAACGCACACCGCAAGTAGAGCTTTCTAAATTCAACCAAGTCGCTACGCTGATGTGTCGGTCCGAAGCCCCTGTACTTCAAATAAAATTTACGTGGAAACTTTTTGCTATCCCAGGCCTTCTCCGAGTAAAGATTTGAAAGCCGCACGTGCATCTTTGCCCGCCAAAGATGCACTGCAGCGAGGGCAAGTTTCTCTTCCTGCTCTCCACTGATCGTGGCCGCGGTTTCAGCGGACAGAGTCCTATTCGCTCGCTGCACTCGACGCGCAATGGCTTGTATGTCAACCGAGCGAACGTTGTCGCCCTCGGACTCCGACGACACCAGTTCCTCAACGAGGAGCTGTTCAGAAATCGTTTCAGCGGCGCCGGCGCGGCGTTCGTTAGAGCTCGCCTCCAGCGTCGTCATCGCAGCGTGAGGCTAAGGACTGTGCGAGACCGACTCTTTCGTCTTTATCGAGTCACACACGCGGCGCTAGCGCTTCGCCGCCCCTCACACTGTGACGTCTGTTGCTTTGGTGCTAGGCAATCTTTGTCTCGAGCGGGTCGCTGCGACGTGCACGACGAATCTCCCTCGTGCAGGGGTCAAAATCTTCTAAGTTTCGAGAATTCATCACATTATGGTTTGCTAGCTTCTAGTAGTAATGATTTACCCGAGGTCGACCAATGCTTGAAACGTCAGTATCGCTATGAGTGCGGCGACGCCGAGTCCAGCAGTCCTTCTTGAACCCGCCATCTCGTACAGAAAGTCACCACAATCTTTGATGTACGTCGGTATACACGCATCTGTCACTAGAGCTTTGTTGTACTTGTTGGGCGCCGTCTCATCATAACCGCATTCTGGGGCGGGAACAACTGTGCCATTCACGTCGAGATTGGCAGGAAATCGAGCGTCGCCGACTCGAGTAACCACCATGCTTTCAGTGAACCCAGGATAGCAGTTACACACGCCTTCTACACAAATACCGTTGCCCGAGCACTCTGCAGAACTTGGAACAGAAGGATTCTTCGGGCAAACCAACACCAAACCACAGTCCAAGCCCTCCGGGGGTTCTTCACCGTTGTCTTCGTAACACTCGCATGTCGTACACAAACCAACTTTAATTTCGCAATAGGTGCCACTCGACGGGTAAGCGCAGTTCACGCACACACCGTTACTACACTCACCTCGGCCACTGCAGTGATTACACACCATTTTACGTCCAACGCTATCAAATGTGCAATTTGACTGAGGACACTCTGGCAACGAGCAATCGTTGCCGTAATACCCTTTTGAGCACATGCACGTGTTGAAGCTACACGTACCAGATCGACTGCAATCGTTCGGGCATTCATCTGGAAGATACTGCCAAAGATCACTGAGTTCTTCAGTACAAACCGTCTCACCATAGCTCGTGACTGTTTGCACTTGTGTTGTTCCATCTTCAACAGCCAAAAATGTAGGATCGCTGGCGTCTTCCATCGTCACGCCGTTTATCACAAGCTTACCCGTCGTAGTTACACTATACTTGCTTTGCCAGTCCACAGTCACCCCAGAAAGATCGTCCACATATGTTCTACCGACCGTACCCGTACTTGCAGCGGCTGCAGCGGCCACAGCTTCAGCATATGTCTTGCCTTTCAGACAACCATGACCTCCGAATATCAACGCGCGACCAGCCTGACGTGATGAACCAGATCTAAATGTCGAAGTCTGACCAACAGAGACCATTGTCGATCCTTCTCGTCGTGAGGGATAATCACCTTCTGGAACGATCTCAGTCCACACGTTGGATGAAATGTTATACTGCCACATATCTCCGATTTCGTCTTCCCACGTGCGACCTCCCTGAATGAGCATCACCGCGACAGAATCTTTCAACACAACTGTGGCAGAATGTCCGTGCCTCCGCTCAGGTTTCGCAGTGTAATTTGTTCTCGGCATTAACTCAGTCCAAGAGTTTGTCAAAATGTCGTACCGCCAAAGGTCGTTAAGAAAATACTTACTCTCCAGCGATGGGTACAGCAACTGACGGATCGTTTCATTCTTGGGTACGGGATACAGCTCTTTGAAGTTTGATTCACCTCCATAGGAGTAGCCGCCAAAAAGGTACAAAGAGTCTTCATAGCTCACCAGGCTTGCACCAGTTCGGCCACGAGGGCCGTATAAATCTCGGTCCGCCGTACCGTCACTCTCTGTCGTGGTACTAGAACACGTCGTGCATGAAGGCTCGAGGTACTCCCACTGGCGATTCGTAGCGTTGTAAACCCAAAGATCTTCCATGAATAACGGCCTAGTGCCGTCATAAACGACATCAGTGTCGTAATAAAACGATGTATCGTTGGTCTGGTTCGCCGCATTCGCAGTCGTCGAGAGTAATCTTTGCGAGTGTCCTCCAAATAAGAAGACAGCGTCGTAGTAATCCGTCATGGCGTGCTTCCATCGTCTCACGGGTCGCTGTTCCTGTCCGGTGAAGGATCTTTTGCTCCATAGATTGTTCGGAATATTGTAGTGCCAAACATCGTCGCAGTAATCAGTGCAATCGATGCTCTCGCCTCCATACATGATGATGGTATCCCGAATCCCAGTCTCGCGGTTGAGCGTGAGCGCCATCCCGTGATGGATTCGCCCGCTCGGTATCGAACGCTCCTTCCTATTTTTCCCTTCCTTCAGCGTCGGCTCGCTATAAGGTCGCAATCCCGTCCAATCGTAACACGTTGCTCCCGTGTCCTGACACGTTGAACACTGATCGCACAACAATTCGTTTGGCGTGTACGCCACCCACGAGCCCGTCTCCCAGTCGTACATCCAAAAGTCGTTCAAAAAATCCCCGTTCGTCGACTTCGCGCGTCCGCCGAAGATGAACATTTGCGAATCATCCGTCACCACCGCCTTGTGTCCGCTTCTTCCCGGCGGTCCCGGCACGCCGAGGAATCCCAAGTCCCCGACCGGCGTTTGCCTGGCGAACGCGTTCCCCGCGCGCGCTCCTCTCGGCGTCTCGAGCGCGCACGTCAGGGCGATTACCATCACCATCGCGCGCGACGCGCTTTGAAATCTTCGACTCCATCGTCGTTTCTCGCCCTCGCGCGTCTCGTCGCCGCGCTCGTTCGCCTCCGATCCCTCTCGACGTCCCCGCGGCTCGTCATCTTTAAACGACCGCGTCGCGCGTTCGACGCGCGACGACCGCGCGCGCGGCATCGCGTTCGACGCGCGACGGGCGCGACGCGCGAGACGCGCGTTTGACTCGCTCGCGCGCCTCGCTCGCGCGCTCGCCCGTCGCCCGTCGCCCGTCGCGCTCTGGGAACGCCGCGGCGTCGGACCGACAGACCGAACCGAACCGAACCGAACCGAACCGGAATCGAATCGAATCGAATCGAACGCGTCCCGACACACGCGCGCGCGACGCGCGCGAGGACGCGCGAGGTGGATGACGTCGATGTCGCTCGATGATCGCCTGCGCGCCATCACGCTCGAACACGATTCCGCGGCGCGTCAAAGGGCGTACGAAGCGTTGGCGCGAGAGGTGATGGCATCGGTCGAGACGACGTCGACCTCGATGGACGTCGAGGACGGATTCGAGGCGTTCATGGATCACAGTGCGTGCGATAACGACGCGACGACGCGATGACGCGACGCGACGCGACGCGATGCGACGCGACGGGACGCGACGGGACGGGACGCGAACGGAGACCGGAGACTGACGACGGCGCGTAACCAATCGATTGATTCTTCGACGAGTAGTCGTTTCGGATAGCGTACCGCTGGCGATATCGCGAGAGATCATAGCACAAGTGTCGAAAACTTTCATAAATTTAGATGCGACGACGCATAAGAGATTGGCGGCGGCGGTGTTGGCGAAGACGCAACCGCGACTGGTATCGTTTGAGGAGAGTGTGTGGCCGGTGCGTGAGGCGTTGGCGAGACGGTTAGCTGAGGCAAAGAATTGGTCCGAGGCCGCTGACGTGCTGGCGGGAATCGAAGTGCAACCCTCAAGTGCGGGTTCGGGTGAGTACAAGCTCAAGATAACGCTTGAAACCGCGAACATGTACTTGGAAGCGAATGAATTGGACAAGGCAGAGAAGCACGTAAACAAGACGCACGCGTTGCTCTCGCAGCTGCCGGCTGAGCTTCAAAAAAAGCCCGAGCTGCTGCATGAATACCATGCGTGCTGGGCAAAAGTTTCTGATAGAGTGGGCAAGTTTATGGATGCTGCGTTGCGCTATACCGAAATGTCTCGACTAGAAAATCAAAGCGACGCAGGAACGATGACGCGCGCAGTTGTGTGTGCGATTCTTTCCTCCTCTGTTCAGAGAGATCGTTTGCTTCGTTCGTTTCGGCTAGATACGAACGTGAGAGAATTACCCGTTTACCCGTTTCTTGAGAAGATTGAATTCAGACGCATCATCAGAGCAGATGAAGCGAAAGAATTCCAGACCTTCCTAAGTCCGCATCATGTCGAAGTTCGCGCCGACGGCGTGTCTGCGTTTGAGCAGGCTATTATGGAACACAATTTAGAGAGCATGAAGTATGCATACGAGAACATAAGTTTCGATCATCTTGGGGAAATTTTGGGTGTGAGTGATGCTGAGGCAGAGAAGTTGGCGGCGAAGTTGATCTACGATCAGCGTGTGCAAGGATACATAGACCAAGTTGATCGTTTTGTGTACTTTGACAACGTGTCGCCGTCTCACGACGATCCCGTCTCTGTCTGGAATGCAAACGTAATAAGCGTGTCGCACACACTCAACGAAGTAGTTGAGACGATAACAAAATTAGTCGAACGATAGCGAATATGTGAATTAAAACAACATTACAAACAAGCCTTAATTCCTGTACGGTCCCTCGATTTGCCAATCGATTGGTTCGCCGCCGTTCGATTCGATAAATTTGTTGCACTGAGAAAAGTGCTTTGAGCCGAAGAAACCTCTGTGCGCCGACAAACCAGACGGATGCGGACACTTGAGAATCAAATGATTGTTTTGCTTAGAGATCAACTTTTCCTTCTCTTGCGCATTCTTTCCCCACAGTAAAAATACCAAACCTTTTCTATTTTTCGCAATTTCGCGAATCGCCGCGTCTGTGAAATTTTCCCAACCCTTCTTGGAGTGACTGTTCGCTTGATGCGCTCGAACAGTGAGAGACACGTTTAACAAGAACACCCCTTGTTTCGCCCACTTATCCAAATCTCCGTGCATCGGGATCTTACAGTTCAAATCCGATTTCAACTCCTTATAAATATTGTGCAAACTCGACGGTACCTTGACGCCCCTCGGCACGGAAAAGCACAATCCCATCGCTTGTCCATCGTCGTGATAGGGATCTTGACCGATGATCACCACCTTAACGTCTTCCATCGCGCATGAATCGAACGCACGAAACACATGCTGCTTCGGTGGGAAAATCTTGGCGCGCGCCTTTTCTTCGCTCTCTAAAAATTTTTCCAGTTTATCCCAATACGGCTTGGTGAACTCTTGGGCGAGGACCTTTCGCCATTGTTCATCTTTGAGCAAACTCGCGTAGGCGTGCTGCGACGGTGATGACACCCCACTCGTCGTCATCGGCGTCTTGACGACGTCCGTGGGCGTCGCCGCGATCACCGGCATGTTTTCCTTCAACTTTTTCACATCTTGAGCCACGCCATCGGACGTGTTCTCGTCCGCCCCGCTCGCGCGCGCGTTGACGGGCTTGAAAAAGCTCGTGATTGGACGCTCTTTGCGCTTTAAGTCACTCATGACCGACGACGAGCGACGAGGGTGGATGAACGAGTAAGGCACGCGCAAACACCGCGCGTGCATGCGCTGGGTTGTGAAGAGTTTTGAATTTGCGCGCGGCTGTCGTTGTTTCGCGAACCGTGCGCTCGTGTCCGAACGCGCCGAGAGATCTCGAGGAAACGCGATTAAACGAAAGAAATGATTTTTTGCAGTTCTTTTTGCTAAACTCTAAACCTAATGCGACTAGGAATTTGTCAATAGCGTCGGCCTCCCCAGAGCGCCGTCGCGAGTTCTGCTTCATTGTCGCAGCCGTAACCAACTTCGAAAGCACGACCGAAGTAACCTTTTTCGAAGTAATGCTGGTCTTGCTCTGCAGCAGCTTGTGGATCTTCATCTTCGTCATCCGCGGCAACGGTGTCCAGGACTCGCCCAGAAACCTCGCATATCTCGGTACCGATTTCAGTATCCAAGTAGCGCTCTGAACATGTGTCATCGCACACGTGCACCTTACCCGTGCGTTCACAGACGAACACATTACTCGGTAATTCGGCGTATGAACAACCAGCGCGGCGACTGCACACGTGCGAGTCGGCGTCGGTGGCAAATTGTCTATGTGACTTCCATTCGCTCGCGGCGCGGTCCGTCGCTAGCTGTTCACACAAAGGTGCGAGGACTGCATTTTGGCGTGAACGCTTCGCCGCGCAAGCCTCGGCGCATATTTTCTCGAAGCCTGCGGGCGCTTTTGTACGTTCTCTATTGATTTCCATCGCGTCCGCCGCAAGATATAGCTTCTTCATCCCGTTTCCTTGCGCCTGCTTTGTGTTCCCGAACCTCTCCAAGTAGCACTGCCTCCATAGGAAGTCTTGATCGCAGCGCGCAGCGAAAAATTTACACGTCTGCGCGAGGGAAGTTAATTCGTTCGGTGCGAGGAAGCGCAGGATGAGCGACACGACGTCGTCGTGCAGCGTCGAAAAAGGCCCAGCCTCTGCCTCCTCGACCGCGCCTTCGTCGGCAGCACGACTGACTCTCGGTCGCTTCTTCGCGTTCTCGCCGTCATCGTCGCGTCGTTCTAGCATCATGCGCGTGATTTCGGCCTCCAAGTCGTCGTCATCGTCGCCGTCGCCGTCCGTCGCGCTCGTCTCCATCGCTCGCGACGCCACGTCGTCGCACGACCGCGAGTGGCGCTCCGCGAGCGCGGTCGTTACATCAGTACACGCCGACGCGCGATGGAACCGACGAAGTAACCGCGCCGCGCCGCGCCGCGCCGCGCCGCGAAAGTCCATGCAAATGACGATATCCACGTGGATTTCGGTGAAGCCGCGCGCGCGCGTCGTGCGCGTCCGCGGTGCGCGCGCCGATGGGTCGAGCGAAGAGCGACGGCGCTCGAGCGCGCAAAAGCTGTTGGATGCGCTCGCGCGAGGAACGAACGACATCGAGGGCGTGCGAAAGATTGTGCGTGTGCCTCCGGCGCCGTGCGCGATGGTACGTGCGCCCGGGGTATGGGGTGATGGGCTGCATTGGCGCCACCGCGCGGTGCCAAATGTCGAGAACGCGGCGAGTCGAGGGTGCGAGTTGACGCAAGAACGATACGGACGACGGATGCGCGATCGCAAGAGCAACGCTTACATGGTCGAATTATTTGAAACAGCGTCATCGTCTTCCTCGACGTCGCTAAATCGGTTCGATCTGTTTCATGCGCACGCGTTTGCTTGGCGGGCGACGAACGAGTCGTCTGTGGTTCGACTCGGAATCTTGTTTCACGCGAAAGAGTATCCGGCGAAGGACGATGAAAACTTCCCCATTGATCTAGGAAAATGCCAATGCGACTCCACATTGTGTTTGGACGAAAAAGGCATGAGCCAACGCAACGTGCTTTGGTTATCTCTGGACTCCTGCGCGTTGTTGGCTTGGTTGGACACTTCGAGCGAGTCCTTGCGAGAACTTCTTACTGTCCCAGAGCTTCACACGACGTTTGAAGGTGATTTTGGCGCGATACAAGGAGACGTGTATTACTTTCACTCGCTGAAGAATCGTAAACCGAGCGAAAGACTCTTCATCATTCCGCGTTAAACGTGCTGCTGCGGCGTTGGATTTATTTTTAGCGAAACCATCATGGTATCGTTCGATTGCGATCCTGCGGTGATTCTGGCGGCGAAAGAAAGACTAGAGCGCAACGCTAGCTCAGACCCTGCAGATTATTTGTGCCGAGTGTTCCTGTTTTGTCAGTCGATAGAGGACGATTCCGGGGAATCCGAGTCTCTCGAGGCGCGCGTCACAGACGTTTGTGGAAACACAGGATTGATGATTCGATACGAGTCTTCCACGTTGCTCGTGCTAGAAAATACATCGAAAAAAATTGACTGCGTGCTGAAGTCACTCAGGAGTTCTCACCGTTGGACGTCGTATGTGTGTTCTTCGGAAGAGGGCGTCGAAAGAGTATTCAGTGACCTGCAAACTGTCGTAGGCAGCGGCGAAGGAAAGAGCGCGAGCGATCTCGAAATCAAAGATTATGACGAAAGCGCAGTCGTCAACGCGATCGCGCGCATCACTTACGAGCTTCTCGAGAACGCAGAGCCGAATACGGTGAATATGGACAAATGTCTTACTCGCATCGTCGCAAATGCTAGGAAGTTTCTCTTCACGGTTCATGAATTTCTCGATGAGTTTGACATCAAAACTCACATCTGCCGCGCTATAGAAGCCGACGAGACACCGCAAATGGAAAATCTTATCATCGAAGACGATACGATCGCGGCACACCTCGTGAACTAGTGATAATGTGTGATCAATGTACCATCATCATTACAAAATGAAATTTTGTCGTAGCGCTATTATTTCTATGTGCATCGTTCAGCGTGCTAAATGTATCCGTTTGGACTCATGATTTGAGTTTAATCTCTCGAAGGCGTTGCTGCAAGTATTCATCAGAGCTAATGGGCTCTGGATAGCGATTGGGATACTGATCCGAAATGCACGACTCCAGCGTTTTGATGACGAAGTCTGGATTTGGATGTAAAAAGAATGGCATGGAATATCGAGGAATGTGCGCCCGTTCCGCGGGAGGATTCACGACACGGTGCGTCGTCGAAGGAAGCTTGTGATTCGACAGGCGTTGCAGCATGTCACCGATGTTGCACGTCACGCATCCGGGAGGCGGGTTGACTTCGAGCCACTCTCCATCCTTTCCCAAGAGTTGCAAACCACCCTCGTCGGCGCCGAGCAGGAGCGTGATGAGATTGATATCCTCGTGCGCACCAGCGCGCACGCGCCCCGCAGCATCAGGCGGAATTGGTGGATAGTGAATGATACGCAAAATACTGTTGCCTTCGTTCGTCTTATCTGCGAAATACTCGCGCGGTTGTTCCAGATGCACCGCCAGCGCCTCGAGCACGCAATTCCCGAGCTCATCTAGAGCGTTGAAGATTTGCTTATTCACTTCGCTAAACCCTTCGACTTCCACCACGTCATCCACATTCGGCGGCATCGTCGACTCGTACTTATGGCCCGCCGGCAAGTCTCGCCCGAGGTGCCAAAACTCTTTCAAATCTGCGCGCGCGAGAGGCGACGTTATCCTTCGCGTCAGTCAAACGAATCGCGTCGTCGAATCCATCACACGCGCTATAGCGCGACGCATCAAAACAAAAAAGTATCACTTTTCGCATCGCCTTCACGCACCAGGCGCGTTCGCTCCCTTCGCCGTCTCCACTCCGAACGCCGTGTACCCGCGCGCGCCGCCCAACCCGCGCAGCGTGTACTTCTTCTTACATTCCTCATCGCACGCAAAGAACGCCTTCGAGCGTTCCATCGCGCGTTCGATGAGTTCCAGATCGATCCCATGATTTTCCAAGATGACGAATCCGTATCGCTCGTACGCCTCTCCCAGGTCGTGGACAAACTTTTCGAAATCTTTCGCGTACAGTTCGAGCGACACCGTGGGGACTTTCTCGCGCGCGTCCTCGCGCGTCACCGCGGGCGTCATGTCGTCGATCGCGCGCTTTTACCGTCGGTCGTCGTCGTTTCTCGCGTCGTCGTCGCGCGTCGTCGTCGCGTCCGTCGTCGTCGTCCGCGCGCGGTCCTCTCGCGCGTCGCGCGCGCGGTCAACCATCAACCACCGGCGCGCCCGAAACCAACCGTCCGAATCGTCCGAATCGCCCGAACCCGACCTCGGGTTCGAGGACGGCGCGCGTCGGGGACGGCGACGGCTCGGGGTTTTGGCGCTCAGGGCGCGTCGGGCGACGGCGCCGCGACACTCGCGGACGCGCGCGCGCGATCGATCGCTCGCTCGATCGAACGCGCGACGACGCGCGGACGACATGATGGCGCGCGCGTCGCCGGCGACGAACGCGGCGTCGCGCGCGAACGCGCGCGCGAAAAACGCTCGGGACGGTGGACGAGCGCCGGCGCGCGGGACGACGACGACGCGGCGAGGGGTGCGAACGCGCGCGGTGGACATTCCGGAGTTTCTGGTGCAAAAACTCGAGGCGACGACGCGGACGCACGGCGAGATCAGCGAGCGCATGGCGGATCCGAGCGTGACGGGCGATCCGAAGGAGTTTCAAAAGCTGAGCAAGGCGCTCGGGGAGCTGACGAGCGTGGTGGAGCAGTACGCGCGGTACAAGGAGTGCATGAAAGAGATTAGCGAGGCGCGCGCGATGGCGAAGGATGCGGCTGGGGATGATGAGATGGTGGCGATGGCGAAGGAAGAGATCGATGCGCTGACGACGGAGAGTGATGCGCTGGTGGAGACCATGACGTTGGCGCTGCTGCCGAAGGACCCGCTCGACGAGAAGAACATCATGCTCGAGATTCGCGCCGGTACTGGCGGGGATGAGGCTGGTATTTGGGCTGGGGATTTATATCGAATGTATATGCGATTCGCCGAGCGCGAGGGATGGCAAACGTCGGTCGTGACGAACAACCCGGCGGACGCCGGCGGGTATAAGGAAATCGTCGTGGAGATAAAGGGCGACGACGTGTACAGCAGTCTCAAGTGGGAAGCCGGTGTGCATCGCGTGCAGCGCGTGCCGGCGACGGAAACTCAAGGACGCATTCAAACTTCCACGGCCACGGTCGCGGTGATGCCTGAAGTCGACGAAGTCGAGGTGAAGATTGACGACAATGACCTCGATATTTCCACCGCCAGAAGCGGCGGTGCGGGTGGGCAAAACGTCAACAAAGTCGAAACCGCTATCGACCTGATGCACAAGCCGACCGGCATTCGCGTGTTCTGCACGGAAGAACGTACACAAATGAAGAATCGCATTCGTGCCATGCAAATTCTTCGCGCGAAATTATTTGAGTTGCAGCTCGAAGAGCAGCGCAAAGCGGTATCGGACAAGCGTAAATCGCAAGTCGGCTCGGGGTCTCGGTCGGAAAAAATTAGAACGTACAACTGGAAAGATAGCCGCGTGTCGGACCATCGCATCGGCGCTAACTTCTCTCTTCAAAATTTCTTAGACGGCGACATCAAGGGTGCGATCGGGGGCATGCAGGCTTTGGAACAAGAAGAAAAGCTTGCTGAATTGAACGCAGAAATGTCGGGGAAGTGAGCGCCCGAGCCGACGTCGGTTATTTTGTAATACAAGCATAAATGATTCTGCACTCGACGACGCCGTACGTGGCGCAAAAGAAGTAGTGACAGCAAACGCGCGCGCGCACACACGATACACTCACGCGCGCGTACGGATCGCATCGCCCCGTGTGAGTCTTGAACAGAGTTTGCTCGCACCTCTCAAGTTATGGCTAAAAATAAGTCTCTCGAGCATGGTTGCCTGGCGTGCAGCTTTGGATTTGATTTCAAGCGACGGGGCAACTTGACTCGAGTACGCGATTCAGTCGTGGCGTACACTGTTGGAAATCTCTTGACCTTGCGAGACGTGAAAACACAAAGGCAGACGTACCTGCGGAGCGCGGAGGGGGGCAATATCGGCTTGGTCGCCGTGGATGGAGATGGCACGCACATTGCGATCGGCGAGAATGGTGCGGCGCCCCGAATATCAATATATAGTTACCCTTCACTTGAGCTCGTAAACACGATTCACGGCGGCGCCGCGGCGTGTTACTCGACTGGAAAATTTTCTCCAGACGGACAGCTTCTCGCGAGCGTGAGTGGGCTCCCAGACTATTGGCTCACTTTGTGGGACTGGAAGACAGCAAAGACAGTCCTTCGTGCCAAAGCGTATGGACAAGAAGTGTTTGACTTATCCTTCCTAGGCGCTAACTCGGAGCGAATGATCACTCACGGCGCTGGTCACATTCAGTTTTGGCAGATGGTCAAGACGTTTACTGGATTGAAGTTACAAGGTACTCTTGGAAAGTTCAACGGCGAACCTCTGTCCAATATCACGTGCGTGTTGGAGTTACCCTTTAATGATATGATTTTGACGAGCACAGAGTATGGCGCTCTACTAATCTGGGTCGATGGGCGCGTTCAGTACAAAATAATGCGAGCAAACGCGTCGAGCGACGATGAAGACTGCCACGGCGGTTCGATCGAGACGATGATTTATATCAACAACGGTTCAGTGATTCTCACGGCGGGCGATGATGGGTGGGTTCGAGAATGGAATATTGACGAGATTCGTCGCGTCATATCGTCGCAAAGCAAAGGGGTGGTTTGTATGAAACCCATCTCAGAGCGCTCAATCGATGGAGCCAATATCCGCCACATTTGCGCGCTTGAAAATAAGTTATTCATTCAAGACAGCGGGCGAGGGTTAGTGTGTTCTTTGGACGATGATGATATGGAGCGTCCTGTTGTTTCTGCGCACAGTGGTGTCATCACTGCATGCGAGACTTCGCTGAACAGTACTCACTTGATCACTTGCGACAATATCGGAGAAGTGCACTGCTATGATTATTTATCCCGTGCGTTTCTCTACAAAAGTCGGTTCAGCTGTTCGGCGACGGCACTTACTAACGTACCTTTGAATGTCAATGAAGATGGGAGATGTATCGTCGTTGGATTTGCCGATGGTGTCGTTCGCGTTCTCGTGAGAAACACGTCCTCTTGGCGCTTGGCTCTCGCGCTCAAGCCACACGCGCATGCCGTCGAGCAGTTCACATGGAGTTCTGATGGTGAGTATTTGGCAATCGCTGCTGCTAATAATACTGTGTTTATTTTCAGTTCATCTTCCTTCGCATCGACGTTGCAATTTGAGCCAATTGGTTTCATACGCCTGAGTGCTCGCCCGAAGAAGATATTTTGGGATGGTGAAAGTATTTTTGGTGCTCAAATCGAGGACGAGATGCACTGCTTTGCCGTCCATCGTGACTTGGGTGAGTCTCGTAAAGATTCGTACGAAATCGATGTCACTCCTCGTATTACCACCGATGTAGAAACCAAGAACGCCGTTGATGAATCTTTCAGCGCGATAACGTATGATAATTCTTACTGCGTTAAAATCTGTAAATCGGGATCTTTTGAAGTACACGCGTTAAGCGATGCTTCTCCATCAAACACACACTCTTCAATCGACGAGGCGCTGTGCATCTATCCAGAAGTCGAAGCGATCGACACACTCTCCGCACAGTGCGCGTCCATCGAAGAGGTACTGCAGCGAGAACGCGCGAAGGAATTGAGCGAGGAAGAAGCGGCAGCACTTATACGACTCTCGAGCTTGGTGGCGCTCTGTCGAGATGAATTCAATGTCATCATTGAAGAAAATGCAAAACTTCCTCGAGAGATGCGAATCTCTGGCGCAGAACTTCTCGTAGACGATACACAAATGCGCCGAATTCGCGAGGATTCAGTACACTGGTTAAAAGCGACTCACGACAAGCTTCAAAGCTCAGTTATGTGTGCTGAATCTGTCTCAAATCAACTGCAAAAAAGTTATTACGACAAAATAATGGCCCTTCCTCGTATGATTCATTCATCTAGCGAAGCTTTGACGTGCTCATCTTTTGCGTTGCGCGCTGGAAGCGAGGGTGATTGGCAGACAACTACGGTCGCAGAGGCGACAGTTCATGAATGCGAACAAGAGATGCGTGTCGTTCATGTGCAAAATACTTGCATAAGTGAAAATGCGCACGAAAGACAGAGCATCGAAGGCTCTGAAATGAGTTCAGAGGCTCGACGGCGCTTCGAAAGATTACGGAGGAACGAAGAGTTGAGAAAATTGGAGAAGGCAGAGCCTTTGAAAGACCAAACAGACGACAGCGAAGCGTTGAAACGCGACAATCTTGGCGATGGGTTTCCATTGCGTTGCGTTCCGGATTCACGTGTACCACCTGAAGACAAATTAACGACGGAGGGTAAACTTTCCGAATTGAGATATGTCGATGGTCAACTACGCGGCAACCAGAGCCGGTTCAATCGAGAGTTTGATTGCATCGATGCGAAGGACGCTGTCACCGATGAAGATCTTATCTCGCTATGCCATCTAAAAGCAGATATCATCGCGCGAAGTAAAGTCATTGAACTTTTTCGTATTGTAGTGCATCGCGAGCTGAGCGTCATGCCTGAATATGACGTGAAGAACACCGAAATGCAAAATGCTCAACGGCAAGCAAAGGAAGAGGTCGAAACCGCTCGTGCGGCGGTAGAAAATGCCCAGACGGCCGTAAACGATCAACAGACCAAATTAGAGGGGCAGAACGGAGTAAAAGCGGAAATCGAGGCGACATTTGACAAATTCATGATTCCAGGCGTCCCGCGAGCGGCATTGCTCAAAGTTTTCCACAAACGCGTCGTCAATAAAACCGAACAAAAGAGCGACAAAGGTGACTCCGATTCCGACTTAGACTCTGATTTTGACGATGATTCGTACTATTCGTCGTCAGACGAAGAAAATGGCGACACTTGCCCAAAAGGTTGCGACAGTGCTGTCTACGAGCGCGTGTGCGATCTTCGTTTGCAAAGAATCGAAGCCATGGACGCAATAACTGAAATACAACGGGCATTGGATGGGAAGAAAAAGATTCACGATGCCGCACTGAAAAAGTTGCGAAGTTTGGAGGAAAACGTACGGGTACTCGAGAGAGATGCGGATGCTTTTGAGAAGGTAAAGCAGCAAAGTTTGAACGGGCTCAGGACTGCATTCGTGTTGCCGGTGAGCTGCGTCGAGACGAGTCAAGGCGACATGGACGACATGATTATTTTCTCCAAGACTCGCTTAGCAGAACTTGAGAATAAAGTCGTAGAGTGGGATGCAGAAGTCTTAAAATTGAAACGTCAGCAGCAGGAGTTAAAGCGAGAGCACTCCTCGCTCATCGCGCAACGTTCCGCTAAGGCGAAAGAATTTCAGAGTCTGCAACGCAAATACTCTGAGACTCAGATCCGAAAGTTTGGAAAGCTCATCGTTCTGGAAGATTTAGACAAGGTTGTGAATAATGGTCAAGGCACAGAAGATTTACGCGACAAGCTCAAGGTACAAGAGCTGGAGAATGCGCGTGAGCTGCGAGAGATTAAAAAAGACATCTCAAATGTTGAAAGAGAAGTGTTGAATCTCACGGAAGCGCATACCACGTGTCTCAATGAACTTCTCGCGCTGCGCTCAGTCAAAGTCTAATCCACTACTATAGCATACAACAGCTCTAATGTCTATACAAAATCGCCAAATTCATCGTCATTGTCGGCGTTTTGCGGTGGCGATGGAGACTCCACGGCGATGTCGCCAAATCCAGCGAACGGATCCATACTCGGAGTCGACTCGGCGACTTTCGGTGCTGACTCGAGAGAAATCAAATCAAACTCTGCCAAGATTTCTCTCGGTGCTGCGTCATCCACGGACGTCTCTTCCTCGTCCTCCTCGGACGCAGACGCCTCCGCGCTCGCCTCGCGTTTGACGTTGTCTCTAAAGCGATCGAACGCCTCCTTCGTGAACCGTCCATCGCCTACGACCGCTGCCGTACCTAACCCGCCGAACGACTCCTTTTCGGCGCCGTCGTTCGTCGATCGAGCCTTCCCTCTCTTCAACAACCGCCGCGCCGCCTCGGCGAACTCGCCTTCGTTCGTCAAAGCAATCAAATCAAACTCCCCACCGCCCGTCGTCGTCGTCGGCGGCGGCGTCGGCGGCGGTTCGTCACGCATCACCGGCGTCGTGACCGTTTTCATCGTCGTCGCCGGCGTCGCGAAATCCCCGAAATCGTCGTCGTCGTCGTCGTCGTCGTCGTCGTCGTCGTCGTCGTTTTCCGTCGTCCCATCCGCGAACGCGCGCGCGGGCGTCGCGAACGCGCCGAACGACTCCCCGTCCGACGCGTCATCGTACTCGACCGTCGTCCTCGTCCCCGCCTCGACCTCGTTCTCGCCCCGTCGCGCGTCGTCCATGACGCGCGCGCGACACTGTCGCGCCGCACTCCCGCGCGCGCGACGCATCTCGCGCTCCGTCTCGCGTCCCTCGCGACCGCGCGCACGAGCCGCGCGATGACGGACACGTGGCATCTCAGCGCGGTGGCGAGCCTGGTGGAGAACCTGGACAAGCGCCTGCTCGTCGCGCTGCGCGACGGCTCGAACATCATCGGCACGCTGCGATCGTTCGACCAATTCGCAAACATCGTCCTCGAGAGCGCGGTCGAGCGCATCATCGTCGGAAAGATGTTCAGCGATATCCCACTCGGATTGTACATCGTGCGAGGCGAGAACGTCGTGCTCATGGGCGACGTCGGGGCGAACGGGGACTTGGACGGCACGGAAGGGTTGATTGAGGTGGACAACGCGGAGATCATACGGGCGAGGGAGGCGGATCAGACCGCGGAGGCGATGAAGGGAGACATCTTGAAACGAATGGACTTTTTAGATGAGTGATGATCGAACGCAAAGGGGGCGCATGGGACGACGAGAGGTGCGTGTGGAGATTGAAGACGCGACGATCGCTCGACGGCGACGACGAGGACGACGAAGACGGAACAGAGGCGATGATGACTTATAATCATGCTAATCCTGATTACCCATGATAAACGATCGATAGGACTGAGCCTTTCCTGATGTCGTCGTCATCGTCGTCGTTGAGATCGATCCAACGCGAGGAAGCGATGATGATTGCGCTCGTTTTCGCACTACTACGGTGAGAGCAAGCTCGGTGAAACTAGTAAATACCAATGGATCCTTCTGAGCTTCCTCGCGCGTGTGCCGCGAATGTGCTGGGAGAAATCACGCACCGATCTCACCAGCTTGACTGACGATTTGACGAACTGTAGGCGTTACGAGCTAAGGAAATAGAACAACCTAGAAGGAAATTTGCAAGAATCAAAGCGTAATTGTATCACAACATCGACGTATGGTATCGTTTTAGTTTACAGAATCGTATCGTACAAGTATGAAAATCGTATCGTCTTTGTAAAGTAGAAATCACGCGCTCTTCGTCGGGAAGGATGGTGCCGTCGTGATTCCGCACTGACCCGTTTCAGCGCTGATTCGTCGAGCCATGCGAATGAAACCACCTTCGCCCCACTGATTGCCCCACGAGTTCTTGACTTTCCAGAAGTGCCTGTGGTGGTTTTTGTGGTGATGGTGCGTCGCTTCCGTTGCGTTGGGATGATCGTCGTAGCCGTAACCGACGACGAGAACGCCGTGATCGACTTGAGAACCGCACTCTTTGGAATCGAAAACGCCGCCTTGGTAGAGCATAAACGCTTTTGTGTCGGCCTCGATGGCGATGCTAACAGGTTGTTGCGACACAGCTTTCTCGAGCTCTTTCTCATCTCCCGGAGGTACGTCCTCGAACCCGTCGATGGTGGCGACGTGGAGTTGAAGCTTGAATTTGTTGCACGAGAGCTTCTCCGCGGCGTAAGGGTACTGAAATTCAGAGTCAATTCCGCCGTTCTTTTGCACCCATTTGAACGCGTTATCCATGAGTCCACCGTTGCACGCCATGTTCTGGGTCGAACACGACACGAGCTCTTGTTCAGAGAGCGACACGAGCCTGCCAGTACGAATTTGATTGATGCCCTCGATCGCGCCCGTCGTCGAAAACGCCCAGCACGAGCCGCACTGTCCTTGGTTCTTCGGCGCCGTCACGGCGCCGCGTTCGACCCAATCGACGTTTTCCAGTGGCTCGACGCTGGCATACTTCCAGTTCGCCTTGTATTCGTCCGCATCGCGCGTGGCTCCGACGGTTTGCGTCGCGTCGCGCAACTCGGGCTTGTACCCGAGCATGCGCTTGAACTCCTCCCGCGTCGTCGCCGCGAGGGCGTTCAACGCCACCCAATGCGAAATCTCTCCCAAAACGTACTTGGCGTTGTGCTCCACCACAAACGCCGCGTTCTCCACGAAAATCGCCAATCGCTTCGCGTACTCCTCTCCGTCTCGCAGATATTCCTCCACTCCGTGTTCGACGCACCAGCGCTCAAACCGACGCGCGAGCGTCGCCGCGTCCGCCTCACCGACCTCTCGCGCCGTCGCCGTCGCCCGTGCCGCGCCGAACGCATCGCGCGGCGTCACCGTCGCGCTCTGCGTTCTCGGCGCCCACGCGCGTTCGATCGCGTTCGTCGCCACCGTCCAAAACGCATCGGCCATCGTCGAGGTCGTTTCGGTCGTTTCAAACGCGCCCGCGCGTCGCGCCGCGCGCGCCCCCGTCGCGACGAGTCCGAGCCCGAGGCCGAGCGCGCGCAGCGCGTCACCGCCTCGCACGCCGCCTCGTCGTCGTCGTCGTCCTCGCCCGCGTCGTCCGCGATCGTCGTCCATCGTCGTCGTCGTCGTCGTCGTCGTCGTCGCGTCGCGCGGTGCCGACGCCGCGTCGACCGACGCGCGGGTCGTCGATCGATCGACGATGCGGTCGATCGATCGACGCGTCGAGGTCGACGCGCCGCGCGCGATCGACGCGGCGACGATCGAGCGTCGCGCGCGCGATCGACGGATCGCGAGACCAAACACGAACCATCGGCCGCGCCGGCCTCGCGGGCGAGGCGCGACGCGCGCGAACCGCCTTTCCCACGCGCGCGCGCACGACGGACGTAGAGCGAAGACATGCCGCCTAAAGCCCCCGAATCGAAGGCCGCCAAGGCCGCCAAGGCCATGGCCGGCGGGAAGAAGAAGGCCAAGGTGCGCGCGCGCGACGGCGAGGCGCGATCCGCGGAGACCCTAAAGACGAACGGGACGCGCGCGTCGCGGGGCGTCGGCGCGGACGCGCCGGCGCGGCGATCGGCGGGCGAACGGACGGCGGTGGGATTTTAATGCGTCCGGGACCGGCGTCGCGCTCGATCGAGCGCGATCGAGGGCGACGCGCGCGGCGCGACGATGGCGCGGGGCGCGCGCGGGCGATCGACGCGAGGACGGAGGACTGACGACGACGACGAATCGTGTTCGCGAACGATAGAAATGGTCCAAGGGGAAGATGAAGGAGAAGGCCAATAACCAAGTGTTGTTCGAACAGGTGCGTGCGATCGACGGTGAAGCTCGGACGAAGGCGCGGGCGACGGCGGGACGGAGGACCAAGCCCTAGGCGCGGCGCGGCGCGCGCGCGGGACGTCTTTGAACGAGGGCGACGCGCGGTGACGACGAACGATGCGCGCTCAAAGGATCGCAATGAGGATGACGACGCGTTGACGCGGCGCGCGAACTCGTGACTGACTGATGCGTTCGCTTTAAATCTCGCAGTCCACGTACGACAAGCTCCTCGCCGAGGTGCCGAAGTACAAGATGATTACTATTTCCATCTTGTGCGATCGCCTTCGCATCACGTGCTCCCTCGCGCGCAAGGGTATCGCCATCCTTTTGGCGAAGGGTTTGATCAAGCCGCTCGTCCTTCACTCCAAGCAGCACATCTACACGACCGCTGTCGCGACGGAGGCGTAAGGTCGTTCAGTCGACTTTTGGGGCGTTTGGGACAGGCGTAGCGCCTCTCGGTTTAGAACCGCGATGGGCGACGTGCGTCGAGAGAACCGCGTAGTGAGTGGAATTAGTGCAAATGTGACAAATGGATATTTGTTTGGTTAAATCACCGCTCGTCGAAATGACTCGTCGCGTCGCGCGCGGTTCCGTCGACAGAGCGCGCCTCGCCGCCCCTCGACTGAGGAATGCGCGTCGCGTGCGATATGCGCTCGTGTGCGCGGACGACGACGACGACGACGACAAGTAATTCATCGTCATTCGTCGCCGCGAGACCACCGACGCGATCGCGTTTCGCGCGTAGGCGCCTCGAAAGTCGCGCCTCGGCGTTAGCTGAACCATCGGCGAGCGCACTCGAAACGTTCGATGGGGCGTGGCGCGGGCCCGATATGGCGCAGCGGTCGTACGAGTGGACGATTGAGCTTTCGCATGAACACGTGCGGGAGATTGACGACGCCTTAGCGCGCACCAAGGCGAACGGGGTGCGGGAAATCGTCGAACTCGGTCCAGAAAACTTTTCTCTGCCGACGCTCGGGCCGACGCTCGAAGACATGGGACGAGAGCTCGTCCACGGGCGAGGTTTTGCCCTGATGCGAAATTTTCCCGTGCATAGATATTCTAGTTGGGAGCGCTGCGCGGCGTTTTACGCCATGGGTCGGTACATGGGCACGTGCGTGCCGCAAAACAAACTGGGGCACGTCGTGGGCCACGTGAAAGACCTTGGGGGCGATCCGAACGATCCGCTCACGCGTTTATACACGACGAGTGCAGCGCAACCGTATCACACTGATTCTGCGGATATCGTGGGATTACTTTGTCTGAGTCAAGCGACGGAAGGGGGGCACAGTCAGGTGACGTCTTCGGTGGCGATTTGGAACGCTCTCGTCGAGCGCTTTCCAGAAAGCGCGGCCACGCTTCAAAAAGAGTTCGTCGTCTCGCGCAAAGGAGAAGTTCCGGTCGGCAAGGAAGCGACGTATAAAATACCTATTTTTCACGCGCACGAAGGCAGGTGCGCGGCAATATACGACCGTTCATTCATCAACTCCGCGGTGGCGCTGACGGGCGTTGAGTTGAGTAAAACGCAAACCGCGGCGCTCGATCATTTGGACGCGCTCGCGTGTTCGGACGAATTGCGTCTGGACATGACCCTTGAACCGGGTGATATTCAATGGCTTCATAATCACACCACTTTACACGCTCGAAGCGCCTTCAAAAACGAAGGCGCCGAGCCGAGGCACCTCGTCCGAATGTGGGTTTCCCCGAACGAGCGCGTCGGCGCCATGCCGCTTCCCGAAATATTCGCGGAACGCTTCGGCACCGTCGAGCCCGGACCGATGCGCGGCGGTATTCGCGTTACGGGTCAATCCAATCAATCTTTAAGCTGTCCTCTCGACGCCGAACCGATGCGTAGAACGTAGTAGTCTAGCGCTGTACTTGACAGAACGTACCGCGAGCCGTCGCCGCACATATCGACGCCTTCCCTCGACGCTGGACACCGAGAAGCGCTTTGAGGCGTCGAGGTCATCGCCACATCGACCTCGCGCGTCGCATCGCGTCGCGCGCGCCCCCACGCTCGCGTCATCGCAAAAGTTTGTGTCGCCAACGGTAATCCACCACCGTCGCCATGGCGTCCGAAGATTCGCGCGCCTTGAAGGTTGCGCTCGCGAGTGCCGCCGTCGCGAGCACTGGTCTCGCTCTCGCCCTCGCGAGCGCGTCGGTGTACGCGTCTTACTTTGCCCGAGACGCGCGCGGTGGATCGATGAAGAAGAAAAAGCTCGCGCACGAGACGTGGTACGCGGCGACGGACCAAGACGGACGCATCGCGTCGCTCGCGGAAGTGCGCAAAGGCGCGCTCGATGGAGGAATTCCGCACTCGTTGCGAGCGGAGGTGTGGCCGGTGTTGCTTGGGGTGCGGAAATGCTCGAACACGAGCGTGGAGCACGAGCAAGGGAAACGATCGAGACGCGAGCAATACGGCGAGTTTCTAAGGCGATGCGCAGAGCTGGAGGGGTGGCTTACAAAACCGGTCAAAGGATTGGCGAATTTGCCGAGCGATCTCGCATCGTTCACTGAGGCGTCGAGGATCATCGCTGCAGACGCGCCGCGGACGACGTTCACCTACGGTACGTTCGCGCGGGATTGGGAGAGCGGGATCCTGAGCGGCGACGACGAAGACGAATTGAAGATGGAATGGAGACTGGCGCAACGTCAACGCTTGACGAGAATTCTGGAGGCGTACGCTATTTTGGATCCAGTGATAGGCTATACGCAAGGAATGAACGATTTAGCCGCGGTATTTCTTCGCGATATTAGTAACGAGTCCGAGGCGTTTTGGTGCTTTGCGAAATTTATGGGAGGTTCGTATCGATGTCACTTTCTCATCAATCCGCACGAGAGCGCGCCGTCGGCGTCGAAAGGTCAAGAGGGCGTGAGCGATCGATTGCGAGTGCTGAGTGAGATAATTAGAATTGCAGATCCACCTCTGCATAAGCACTTGAAGTTTCTCAACGCGCAGGAGTGCATGTTTGCTTTTAGACCCGTCGTCGTGTTGATGTCGCGAGAACTCGCCGACGCCGAGATTGGTCTTTTGTGGGACATGTTGATTGCCGGCGGCGATCACGAACCCACATCCAGAGCCAACGGCACACTCGCAGGAGGTGGCGCGAGACTGTTCCTACACGTCGTCGCCGCGGCTTTGGTGAGCATGCGTTCGCAGGTCATGGCGTGCAAAAAGAACGACGACTTGATGCAGCTCGTCGCTCGAAAGCTTCCAGCCCGAAAATTTACCGCCCACGAGCTCGTGCGCAAAGCCATGGATCTGATGAAGACGACGAAAGGATTAGGCGAAGCCATCGAAGTGGCGTCGCGCGCGTCCATCGCCCTCGAAGGGTTGTAACTGTACATTTACACATTTTCGAGCCCGCGCCGGCGCGCCGGCGTCCGACTCGCCCGAAGCCCGGGCGCCAGACCGCCGCGCGTCGTCGTCTTCATGCGCGAGACGCTCGCCGACGTCGCGCGTCCTCGCGCGTGGCGCGCACGCGCGCGCGTCCAACGCGCGCATCACCGTCCTCGCGCAGCCGTCGCGCGCGTCGCCGTCCTCGACGACGTCGCCGCCTACGCCTTGGTGACAAAGTCGGCTGATGATTTACTCGACGACGTCCGACGCCTCAACCGGGACGCGTCGTCGTCGTCGCCGCGAACGACGAATGCAAACGTCGTGACGTACTCGCCCAAGGTGTTCGTTCCGCTCACGCGCGCGTGTCGGGACTCGTGCGGATACTGCGCGTTCGTCGACTACGAACCGAGCGCGGCTGGAAAGCGCGTGTACATGACGCTCGAGGAAATCGTCGACGTGGCGCGACGAGGCGCGGCGGCGGGGGCGACGGAGTGTTTGTTGACGTTTGGTGATCGACCCGAGGCGACGCGGGAGGATGCGCGAGAGGGATTGAGGGAGTTGGGATGCGCGAGCACGGCGGAGTACGCGGCAAAGGCGTGCGAGGCGGTGTTGCGAGAGACGGGGTTGTTGCCGCACGTAAACGCGGGTGTGTTGACGAGAGACGAGTTGAGGATGCTACGACGCGTGAGCGCGTCGCAAGGGTTGATGTTGGAGACGACGAGCGAGCGGTTATTGGGGCCGGGAATGGCGCACGACGGGTGTGAGACAAAGCGACCGAAGACGCGCCTGCGGTGCATCGAGCTCGCGGGAGAGGAGCGCATCCCGTTCACGTCTGGATTATTGATTGGGATCGGCGAGACTCGCGAAGAGCGTATCGATGCACTTCTGGCGCTTCGCGATGTACATGCCAAGCACGGACACATTCAAGAGCTCATCATACAGAATTTCTTATCGAAACCCGGCACCGCGATGGCTGATTTTCCAAATCCTCCGCTGGAAGAGTTGACGTGGACGGTGAGCGCAGCTCGCCTAATTTTTGGCGCAGACATGATTATACAGGCGCCACCGAATCTTACACCAGGCGAAGAGGCTGGCTGGCGCGCCCTTTTGCGCGCCGGTGCGAATGATTGGGGAGGAATCTCGCCGGGCGTCACGCCGGACCACGTCAACGCCGAGGCGCCATGGCCGCACATAGAAGAGCTCGCCACCGTGTGCGCCGATGAAGGTTTCGCGCTCGTCCCGAGACTGCCAGTGCACCCTAAGTACTTGAGGGTAGACGATGATCGAGTGAGCGTCGGGGGATCCGCAGTTTGGCTTGACGACAAAGTTTCGCCGTATCTTCGCAAACTCGCCGACAGCGAGTTTCTCGTTCGCGGTACGACATGGTCGCCAGGACGTCCGGATGATGAAAAGAAAGAGTTTGTGGATATCGTCGGCGTGAATGGCTCTGTTCCTTGTCGTGGTACCAAGAGGCGTATATCGAGCGAAGTTCTGGCCGCCATAGCCGCCATAGTGGACGGAAACTATGAGTTGGACGACATCGTGACGTGCTTACAAGCGAGAGGCGCCGATTTCGACAAGGTGTGCGAGGCCGCGAATACTTTGCGAGAGCAGCAGTGTGGTGATACCGTTACGTTTGTGAACAATAGAAACATTAACTATACGAATATCTGCACGTTGGCGTGCACGTTTTGTTCGTTTTCCAAGGGAAAGGCTGCAGAAGAACTTCGCGGTTCGCCGTACCTGCTCGACTTGGACGAAGTCGCAAGGCGAACGGCCGAGGCTTGGGAGCGTGGTGCGAGCGAAGTCTGCATGCAAGGCGGCATTCATCCCTCGTTCACAGGCGAAGATTATATGGCTTTTATCGGAGCTGCGAAACGAGGGGCACCGGACATACACATTCACGCCTTTTCACCGCTCGAAATCGCTCACGGAGCGCAGACTCTCGGTCTGAGCGCTCGCGAATACTTGCGTAAACTCAAGGATGCAGGGCTGGGATCGCTCCCAGGTACTGCTGCCGAGGTTTTGGACGACCAAGTTCGCGAAACACTCTGTCCAGATAAACTCACCGCGAAAGAATGGCTCGATGTCGTCGAAGACGCTCACTTTGTGGGCGTGCCAACGACGAGCACCATCATGTTCGGTCACATTGACGCCGACGGCCCGCGCGCGTGGGCGCGACATCTCGTCTCCATTCGCGATTTGCATCTCAAGACGGGTGGATTCACGGAGTTCGTACCACTACCTTTCGTGCATTTCGAGGCGCCGACGTATCGTTTCGGCGCGTCTCGGAAAGGTCCAACGCTGCGCGAGTGCATCCTGATGCACGCCGTCGCGCGTCTCGTGCTGGGACCGGCGGGAATCACGAACATTCAGGCGAGCTGGGTAAAAATGGGTCCCGAGCTCGCCTCACTTCTCCTGCACGCTGGATGCAACGATATGGGCGGTACACTCATGAATGAATCCATCACTCGCGCCGCTGGTGCGACGTTTGGGCAAGAAATCGACGCGCGCGAAATGCGTCGAATCATCGAAGCCGCCGGCCGCGTTCCGCTTCAACGCACCACCTTGTACGCTCACGCACCCCAACATCGCGTCGAGCACCCATCGATCGCGTAGGACGCGATCGTCGTAGATTGTATGTAGAGTCACTAGCTAATCAATTCACAACTCCTAATCAAGTCTAATCCGCGGCGTCCGTCGAACGCGCGTTTACGACGCCCTCGGCTTTCCACTCCAACAACTCCTCCAGCAGCGCCTTCGCCTCGTCCCCCCCTCCGGGTATCTGCACCCGGTGTTTCGCCAACACCGCCATGAGCGCCGTCTTCTCGGTTCCCAACTCATCCTCCAGCCACGATTTCAGCGCCTGCGCGCGTCGTCGTCGAAGTTCTTCCTCATCCTGTTTGGGCATGTCTTCGTCGACGACGGGCGCGGCGCCTTCGGGCATGGGGCGCATCGCGCGCGCGGGATCGTCTGAGGACGATGACGATGCGAGCGCACGATCGAGCGGCCTGCGCGCGGGTCCGGCGCGGAGGATCGCGCGAGACGCGAGGCGTTGGAGGACGGCGCGCATGGCGAGGCGACGTGTGGCGGGCGTCGCGTCAAACAACGTCAATCATCAATCACATATCTATCGCTAGGACGAGCGCCGCGTAAACATCGCTCGCTGAATGCTTGGCGCGCGTTTCTTTCTATTTCGTCGAGAACACTCGAGACGTCATCCCCTTGATTCTCTCGGAAAGTTTTTCATTCGCGTCGTTGAGCTTCGCCTTGGCCTGGCCCGGGGATTCGTCGTCGGCGGCGCTCCGTTCCTCTTCCCCGTTTTGCTTCGCTCGCGATCGTTCCGCTCGTTTCAAAAGGTTGGCGTTACCATACTTGGGACGGGTCGTTCCGCTCGTCCAATCAGCGCTCGGAGAAGGCGCACGCGCGCGCGTGTGTCGCCCGATTTTGTACGACGGGCCCGCGAAGGGTTCGAATGGCTTCTCGTCGCGAGTCTCCTCGCGCACGGGTTCTTTCTCTCTCGCCTTGTTCCAGTGGGATCCCGAGAATATCTGCGTCTGCCTAGTCTTCGTCGGCTGTTTCTTCACCCTGACTTCGCGAGAAATCTCAAAGTCTACATCCTTGGCGTCGGAGGCTTTGGTTTTGGCGTCGTCGTCGTCAGAGAGGTCTTGCGGCTCGAGCTTGCGTCTTCGCTCCGCTTCCATGGCTTCCATTCTCTTCTTACGGTCACGCTCAGCCTTTGAAACCGCTTGTTTCGTTCGCCACTGCCGATGCTCATAGTCTTTCATTTGCTCTTCATTTGCCGCGTTGAGAATGAGCTTTGACGCGTCGTTTTCCGCGAGCGAAGCCTGAATGCGCTGGATGACGAGGAGACTCAACTTGGCGCGCAATTCGTCCACGAACTCGTTGGGAAACCAGTTCTTTCGTAGAAACTTGCCCGCATCGTCCATTCCAAACGAGCGCTTTTGCGCCGCGCGTTGAACATCGCTCTTCTTCAAAATCTCGGGTTGTTCGGTTAAAAACTTTTCGAGAAAGGCCAAAATGAAAACGCCGCAGTCGCAACCATTGTTTTGTCTCGGAACATTGACGCGATACGTTGGCATGTATCGAGCGTCGAATTTTGATTCAGTGTCGTCGCCCTTTTGCGTTTTCCATTCTTTGCTCAGGTAACGCCGGACCGTCTTCGACACGACTTCTGAGTTGTGCCCGCCATGTTGCGTCATGCTGTCGAGATGGAGCATCATCGGTTGGCGCTCATCAGTACCGTTTGGATAGCAAACGATGACTAAAGACCAATGCAAATTGCTGTGCACGGGAATCATGAGAAAGCTTTTCGTAAAGATATCCACACCCTTGGTCCAATTCTTCACGCGTGCGTGCGATGCCGTCGCGGCGTCGACGTTGCTTCGATCTCTATCGTGCTTTTGCGCGAGCTTTTGATAGAAAAAGCTGTTAAAAATGTGCACCTTGTCTAATATCTCAAACGCGTTCGCGCCCAACATTTCCACTTGAATGTACTTCAAATAAAAGTCCACGCACTGATCGTTCAGCATCTCGCCGTCTCTGAGGTGCTCCAAGTCGCCGAGAGTGATTTGCACCGACCCCTTCGTCTTCGAGTCTGGGTAATCCGTCGCCAAGTTGCCGACGGTGTTCTGCAGCGAGCGATACCTACTCGAGCGCGTCGATCGGCGAATTTCACCATTCTCGCTCGTAAGACTCACTGGATCCAAGCTTTGCACCCCTCTTGACTCGTTCTCCAACGGGTTCTCCTCGTCGCTCGTCTCCAGAAGATCCACCACCATGGGAGACGCCGGGTCGCCGCGCGTCGACTTCGCTCGACGCTTGGGCGGCGGCGGCGACATCGGCAGACGCTCGCGACTCTTGTCGGTCGCAGCAGCGGCGAAATCGTCCACAGCGGCGGTCGTCGTCGTCGGCTGCGTCGCACCCGCGCTCTTCTTAAAGTACGTCGAAATCGTCGTCGGCGTCGACTTCGCCTCGGGAGCCCCCGCGCGCCCGAGCGCGGCGTCCAACTGTCTACTGCCGTGCGACGTCGGTTGTCGCGCTAACGTGTCCCAACTCGCCGTTTCTTTTCGTCCTGGATATCTATCGGGCGACAGAGACGACATCGACCCTAAATCTCCGTCTATGTCGTCCAACGCTCTGCTCAACCCGTTGACAGCCTCCGCCGCGCTCGGCGACGCCTTTTCGTCGTCAAATCTATACTTTTCCGGCTGGAAATCTCTCGCATCGCGCTCCCTCAGCGACTTCGCCGGCGACTTTCTCTCCGCCATCTGCCCCATCGTCGTCCATTCCTGCGGCGCGTCCCGGCGCGTCGTCGTCGTCGCCGCGCCTCCGCCTCGCGCCTCCGATCCGCCGTCCTCCATCAACGCCTCCCGTTCCTCCGCGTTCGCGATCATCCGGTCTAAATACTCCTTCCTTCTCACCAGCGTCGCGTTCGCGCCGACTTTCGTTTCGTTCACCTTGGCTATCAGATGACTCGTCTTGACGCGTTCCCTTCGCAGCGCGTCGGCGTCGCGCGTCGTCCCGTTTTCCCTCGTCCCCACGTTCTCGTGCGCCTCCGCGTACGTTCGCGCGATTTTCTCGTGCTCGCGCCTCGCGCGCCGCATCCGCGCGTCCATCGTCGTCGTCGTCCTCGTCGTCGTCGTCCCGTCGTCGTCGTCGCGCGTCCTCCGTCGTCGCGTCTCGAGCGCGTCCGAGTTCGCGATCGATCCGTCCTCGTCGCGCGCGTCCTCGTCGTCGTCCTCGTCGACGGCCATCGCGCGATCGCGCGCGAGGTCGTCGCCGTCGCGCCCGCGCGGCGCGCCCGCGCGGCGCCGTGTGCGTCCGTCGCGACGCGACGCGCGCGAATCGAATCGAATCGAATCGAATCGGAATCGAATCGGAATCGGAACGCCGCGCACACGTCGACGCGCGAGCGGTCGATGCGCGCGCCCGCGGACGCGGCGATCGATTGGCGCGCGCCGTCCGCGGGCGCGCTCGCGTGCCTGCTCGCGGTGGCGATCACGAACTTTGGCGTCGGTGGCGCGCTGTTCGGAGGACGAGGATGGCGCGCGTGGCAACCGTTCGCGCGAGGACGATCGTGGAGGTTCACGCTGGCGCAAGCGATCGGATGGACGCTGGCGAGCGCGTCGCTGGCGTGCGTGATGGCGTGCGGGACGCTGGTGTGGCGAGACGCGAGGGACGCGAGGGACGACGGGACGCGCGAGCGGCGACTGGCGGTGGCGGCGCTGAGTTGGACGAGCCTGGGACTGAGCGTCGCGAGCGAGGCGGCGGTGGCGGCGTCGCTGGCGTTCTTCGACGTCCAGGACGAGGGCGAGGCGGGGCGAGGCGCGGCGAGGGGAAGGGAAGGTTTGGATTTTAGAGACGTCGCGCGCGTCGCGACGCTGTTGTCCATCGCGCACGTGTTGCACGCGCCGCACGCGGTGATTTTCGCGACGCTGGCGACGGTGTACGCGCTCGGGTCGTCGGGAGCGCTGGCGTCCATCGTTGTTCTGTACGCGAGCACGTATTTCTTGCAGCGCGATCTCGAGCGCGGGCGCCGGAAGTGGGACGCGTTTCGAGCGTGGTCGTCGCGATGGATAGAGGGCGCGGCGAAGGCGTGGCACGGGAGCGTGCGCATGATTCACGACGGCGCGCACGGCGCGGGCTCGACGCCTCTCGTCTTTGCCTATCACCCGCACTCGCTCATTCCGGCGGGCGCCGTGTGGTTTCACTTTTTACCTCAGTTTGGTCGTCGCTTTGAAAACGTCAAGCCCGTGACGTTGGCCGCGAGCGTTCTTTTCAAGCCGCCGTTCGTGCGAGAGCTCGCCGCGTGGTTGGGCGTGCGCAGCGTGTCGCAAGAAATATTTCGTTCGACGCTTCGTCACGAGCGCGCGGTCGTCGTGTGTCCGGGCGGTCAGGGCGAGATGTGCGAGCACGTCGGCGGATTGAAGGAGGAGACCATCACGCTCTGCACGAAACATCGCGGGTTCGTTCGACTCGCCATCGAAGAAAAAGCGCGTCTCGTGCCCGTCGTGTGTTTCGGCGAGAGTAGCAGCTGGCGCAATCTCTTGCGGCACCCCGGTCGATATTTGTACAGACGCTTTCGCGTCGCGACGCCGCTTTTAGCGGTGGGCTACCTCGGCATTCTCCCGATTCCGGCCCGAGTGCCGCTCACGTTCGTCGTCGGCGACCCGATGTCGCTTCCCGAGCCCGATGACGCGGGACGAGCGAGGGAGAGCGACGTTGAGATCGCTCACGCGGCGTATTACCGCGAGGTGGCGCGCTTGTTCGCAAAGCACAAGGGCGCGAGCGGATTTCCGAATTTAAACTTGAAATTGCTGCACGAGTGACGCGACGCGTCGAATCGAGCGCCCCCGTTTCACCGGCAATCAGTCGGGCAGTTGTAATTACACTTGTACGCGCTAGTAGTATGTTACAGTATGATGTACAGGGCGGTGGTGGTGGTTCGTCTGAGCTACGCGCGCGTCGCCGGGAGCGCGGCGAGGAATCGAACCAAACCGACGGCGTGCGCCGGAACGTCTTCGTCGCTCTTCCACACTCGCGTGAATTCCCCCCCCGCCGCGAGTTGCACGAGTTCGACGACGCGTTCGAGCTCGGCGCGTAATTTATCGCAGCTCACCGCTGATCGACCGTCCGCTTCGGCGTACGCGCGCTTCACGTGCGGCCACATCGACTCGCAGTGCGCGCGCGCGCGCGGCCAGGCGTTTTCGACGACGAGCGCGACGAGCGACGCCGCGCCGACGGCGACGTCGTCCTTGTGCGATTGCATGTACGCGCACAAAAGCGGGAGCAAACGATCGAGGTGCACCGCGACGCACGCCTTCGCGTCGCGAATCAAATTCGGAAACGACGCGAGCAGCGGCGCGGCGTACGCCGTCTCCGTCCCGCGCAAGCGCGCGCAGTCGATGGCTCGCGAGAACGTCTTGCGATATTCCTCGATTCCCGCGTCCCTCGCGACGACGCCCGTCAACGCGCACGCGACGTCCAAGGCGTGCGGCCAAACCTCCGCGCTCGCGCCTATCAATGCGGACCGACACGCGTCGAGCAACACGGCGCCCGGTCCCGCGCGCCAATCGAATCCCGTCGCGCGCCTCGACAGCGCCCTCGCAGACATCGCGCCGCTCGTCCTCACCCCTTCCGACGGGTAATCCAACGCTCTCAACACGCGCGGCATCGCGACCGCCACGACCTCGCGCGTCCTCGACGGGCTTCCCAGATACAACTCGTCTCGCTCCAAGCACCACGACAGTTGCCGCGCCGCGATCTCCGCGGCGCGCGCGTCCGACTCCGCGTTCGCCCCGAACGACGCCGCCGGCGCCGCCGGCGCGTCCGCGCGCCCGTACGCCTCCAAAAAACTATCGATCACGGCGTCGGGACCTCTGGCTTTGAATCCGTCGTCGTACGTCTCCGCCGCGAGCGCGCTCAGTCGCGCGTTCGACCACCTCGGGACGTCGCCGTCGCCGAGCGCGCCGTGCGCCGCGCACGCGAGCAGCGCGAGCGCGGACTCGGACTCGGACGTCGGCGCGACGTCGTCGGACGAGATCTCTTCCACGAGCCGCGCCGATCCGGAGGCTTCGCGATTCGTCGGCATCCGACGAATCGCCGACGCGCGCGCCGGTTCCAAATCGCGCGCGCCGTCGCGCAGCGCGCGCAGACGGTCGAACGCGGCCGACGCGAAGTCGTCGGACGAGGCGTCGGCGGGCGTCGGGACGCACGCGCGCGCGGCGTCGGCGAGCGTCATCGCGCGATGGGCGCCGATGACGCGCGCTGTGCGGAGACCCGTCCGGAAAATCTGTCCGGAAAATCTGACGACGAACTCCGGCGGGGTTCGAGGACGGCGTGAAACGATGGAGACGAACGGTTTGAGCACGTTCGGCGCGCGCGTCGCGTCGTGGCGCGCGATTTTCGAAAGTGTCTGATTCATCCCACTACGCTTGTAGTGGGATGGGAAAATGTCTGAAATTTTTAGTGGGACGAACCCGGACGGCGACCTCGCGAGGTAAAGGTGAGTGAAATTGTAGCGTTACATCGACGCGGTCGCGCGGATCTCGCGAGCGTCGTGCTCGTTTTGTTATGCCCGACATTGTTTCGGGTCATCGTATCATCGTATCGAGTGCGGTAGGCGGCGCTGACTCGCGTTACCGCGACGGCGCCGCCAGCGAGCGCCGCCACGCGACGGGGCGGCGGCGATCAAAATTCGTCCGGAAAATCGGATACCGAACTCGCACCGACTTCTTCATAATCCTTCTCAAGCGCGGCGAGATCCTCCCGCGCCTCTGAGAACTCGCCCTCCTCCATGCCCTCGCCGACGTACCAATGCACGAACGCGCGCTTCCCGTACATCAAATCAAACTTGTGGTCGAGTCGCGAAAACACTTCGGCGATCGCCGTCGAGTTGGAAATCATGCACACGGCGCGTTGCACCTTGGCGAGATCGCCACCCGGCACGACGGTCGGCGGTTGGTAGTTGATCCCGCACTTGAACCCGGTCGGGGACCAATCGACGAATTGAATCGTGCGCTTCGTCTTGATGTTGGCCACGGCGGCGTTGACGTCCTTGGGCACGACGTCGCCGCGGTACATCAAGCAGCACGCCATGTACTTGCCGTGACGCGGGTCGCACTTGGCCATCATGCTCGCCGGTTCGAACGCGCTGGCGGTGATTTCCGCGACGGACAGCTGCTCGTGGTACGCCTTCTCGGCGGAGATCACCGGGGCGTAGCTTGACAACATGAAGTGAATGCGCGGGTACGGCACCAAGTTGGTTTGGAACTCGGTGACGTCGACGTTCAACGCGCCGTCGAATCGCAGAGACGCGGTGAGCGAAGAGATGACTTGCGCGAGCAGGCGGTTCAAGTTGGTGTACGTCGGGCGCTCGATGTCCAAAGACTTGCGGCAGATGTCGTACACGGCTTCGTTGTCCAACATCACCGAGACGTCGGTGTGCTCGAGCAGCGCGTGCGTGGACAGCACAGAGTTGTACGGCTCGACCACCGCGGTGGACACCGCGGGGGACGGGTAGATGGTGAACCCGAGCTTGGACTTTTTGCCGTAATCCACGGACAAGCGTTCGAGGAGCAACGAGCCGAGACCCGACCCCGTGCCGCCGCCGACGGCGTTGAAGACCAAAAAGCCTTGCAAACCCGTGCAGTTGTCCGCCAACTTACGAATGCGATCGAGCGCGACGTCGACGATTTCCTTGCCGATCGTGTAGTGACCGCGCGCAAAGTTATTCGCGGCGTCTTCCTTGCCCGAGATCAACTGCTCGGGGTGGAACAGCTGACGGTACGCCCCCGTGCGCACCTCGTCGATCACCGTCGGCTCGAGATCGAGAAAGATGCATCGCGGCACGTGCTTCCCGGCGCCGGTCTCGGAGAAGAACGTGTTGAAAGAATCATCTTCCGCGCCGATGGACGCGTCCGAGGGCATCTGGCCACTGCGGTATCGCGAAAAAATCATAAGAATCCGTCAGTCCCGCGTCGTCGTCCCGTTCAAATTTCCAACAGTCAAAAACGCGCGTCTGCGCGCGCGAATGAATGAATGAATGGAACGCATCGTCGTCGACGCGCGTTCCGGGTCATCCATCGCGCGTCATCGCGTCCATCGCGTCGCCGCTCGCTCGACGCACTCCGGCTGGATCCCGTGTTCGAGGCAGTACAGCTCCCAGCACGAGTTCCCCGTCTGGATCCCGGCTTGGCCGATGTGAATGGAGATCACCTCGCGCATGGCGTCGGTCGTTCGGTCCGTCGCACGCGCGCGTAAATTCGCGTCACCGACCGATTCGTCGAGGCGCACGCGGTCGTCGGCGAGCGATTCGAGGTCGCTGCGGCGATGACGCGCTTCGAGAAGTGCCGCTCGAGGCGTTCGCGGGCCGTTCGAAGTCGCGGTGGTCCCCCTCGAGTCCCTCGTCGCTGAGTCACGACCCGTCGATTGAGGCCGCGCCCGCACATCGCGTCGCGATGCGATGGCCGTCGACGCGGCGTCGCGGCGACCGCGTCGACGCGACGGTCGCCGCGGACCCGCCGACGACGCGGGCGCGCGCGACGACGCGCGCGGACGAGCTCGAGCGCGCGCTCGCGCTCGAGCGACGCGCCAGGGCGCTCGAGCGCGACGCGGCGAGGGACGACGCCGAGGCCGCGGGCGAGCGCCTCGCGCGGGCGCGCGCGGACGGTGAACGGTCAGCGGAAGAGCGCGAGCGCGCGTCGGCGCGCGAGGCGGAAGCGTTAGCGCGGTGCGCGACGGCGGAGGGAGCGCTGGAGGACGTGTGTCGCGCGGCGACGGCGTTCGCGACGGCGTGCGCCGAGCGCGGATTGGTGGAGGCGGACGTCGCGCGCGCGGCGGAGAACGATCCGATGATTTGGATCGAGCGCGATGGGACGACGCGGGAGCGCGTGGGGGATTTGCTGACGGCGGTTTTGGACGCGCACGTCGCGGCGTGCGCGGATTACGAGACAAAGTTGGCGTACGCGAGGGCGCGACCGCCGTCGTCGGATGACGTCGAGGCGTACGAAGCGCGGCTGCGGGCGGAGGTGGAGCGATTGCTCGAAGACATGGCGCTCGAGCGCTCGTCGCCGAGCAGCGGTGGTAAAAAGCTCTACAGGACGCCGGACGTGAAGAGCGGACGAAGCCGAGGCGCCGAGATGCGCGAGATTGAAGCCGAGCGACGCGAGTTACAGGAGACGTTGGCCGAGGTGCAAAGGCGGATGCACACGCTCGCCGAAAGCAGCGACGCGATCGAAAGCGAGCTGCGCGAGCAGTTGAACGCGTCGCGGCGAGAGTCCGCGGAGCTTCGCGCCGAGATGGAGACGGTTTTAGAGGAGCGCAGCGTCGTGGTCAACAAGCTGGAAGTCGAGCTGCGACGACTCGAGCGATCTCAAGAAGACGCGGATCAGGAGACGCGTCGTCTCTCCCTGTCCGCGCGAGAGAAGGACGCGGAAATCGCGACGCTGAAGCGTCGCGCGGAGGACCTCGCGTCCGAAGGCGCGCGCTTGAACGAAACGCTCGATAAACAGCGTCAGCTCAAAGACAAGCTCGAGGAACAGCTCGCGGCGAGCGAAGCGCGCGTCGAAGGTTTGCTCCAAGAGATTGACGCCATGGACGCGGCGTCGGCGCAAGCCTCCATGCACGTGAGCAACGCCATGGCGAGCGCGTCCGAGGCGCATCAGCGCAGCTTGCAGGAGATGCGAGCCAAGCAGGCGGAAGCCGAGGCGTACATCGAGTCGCTCGACTCGCGCCTCGGGGCGCTGGAGGAAGAGAGAAACGCGCTGCGACGCGAGTTGGATCGAGCGTACGCGCGCGAAAAGGACGCGCGCGTCAGGCTTCAAGAGACTGAAAAACGCTCGAACGAGCTCACGGGCGAGATCAACGCGTTGCTCGAGCAAGACGCGAGACGCAACAGCGTTCGCGAACACGCGATGCTCGAGCACGTCGCGCGCACGCCGCCCAGGGTCTCCTCGCGCTTCGCGCGCGCGAACGGCGCGTCGACGAGCACGAAAAAACTGCACGTTCACGAAGTCTCGGACGAAGAATCGGATGGCGAAGAATTCGTCGTCATTCGCCGGCGTTCGGCGACGGCGCCGAACAGTCCCTTCATGGTGGCCGATTCGCCGCGCGGCGCCCGTCAATTCAACGGTTTGAACAGCGTCAATTCCGCGCTCGCGCGCGCGCGCGCCGAATTCATCGAGGCACGCGCGAAACGCGACAGAACGGTGCGAAAGATGGAAGAATTTTAGGAGGGAGGGGGATTTGTTTGTATACGCTAGCTTGTATGTAGTACACGAGATGACATCAATCGTAGTAGTGGCTCACGAGAAAATTCTCCACGAACCTTTGTCCGCCGACGTCGAGCCACGACGTTCCGTCGCCCGCGATGGCGCTCAGATTCGCCTCGTGCTCGCTCGCAAAGTCCCTAATTTCGTCCAGTCGCGGACGTCCGCCGTCTCCCAACAGCAGCCCGGGCTCGCGTTCGATCAAAAACTTCCGCACGTTGTCCCAGCGCACGCGCCGCTCCAGCGCCTCCAACGCGTCCCGCGCCCTGCGCTCAAAATCCTCGTCGTTCGCGCGCTGCGACAGCAAGCGCGGCTCGACGGCGATCATGTGCGAGACGTCGCTCTCGTCGCCCACGAGCGCGCGCAGCAGCACGAGCCGAGCGACGATGCGTCGAGCGTCGAGCGATTCGGCGTCGAGCCGCTCGAGCGTTTCCGCGGACAGCGACGTGAGCGCGGCGATGCGCTCGACGCCGACGCGCGACGCGCGCGAGGCCGTGGACGCGCGACGCGCGGTCGCAGATTCGCCGCCGCGGCGCGCGCGCCGGGAGACGGCGGGATGAGAGACGACGACGGCGGCGGCGGCGCGGCGCGACGTCATGCTCTGCGGACGCGTCGGTTACGCGAGGGAGGCGTTTAATTATTGATATTATCGAGCCTTTTCGCGGGCGATGGCGCGCCAGCCGATGTCTCTGCGAGTGAAACCGCCCGGCCATTCGATGACGTCCACGGCCTCGTACGCGCGCTCGGCGGCTTCGGTGATGGAGGATCCGTAGGCGGTGACGCCGAGGACGCGTCCGCCGCTGGAGACGACGTCGCCGTCGGCGTCGGAAGCGGTGCCGGCGTGAAGGACTTTCACCCCGTCGATCGCGCCCGCGGCGTCGAGGTTGGTGATTTTTTCGCCCTTGGCGTACGAGCCCGGATAGCCTTCGGCAGCCATGACGACGACGACGGCGGAGTCGTCGGACCACGTCACCTCGGCGTTTTCGAGCGTCCCCGTGGCGGCGGCGAGAAGGAGCGCCGTCAGGTCGCTCGTGAGTCGCGCCATCAAAACTTGGCACTCGGGATCACCGAATCTGATGTTGTGCTCCAAAAGTTTCACCGTGCCATCCTTGGAGATCATCAATCCGGCGAAAATGACACCCGTGAACGGGCACCCTTCGGCAGCCATGCCGTCCACCGTCGGCTTGATGATGTCTCGCATCACCACGTCCGTGATCTCGGGCGTGACGACGGGAGCGGGAGAGTACGCACCCATACCACCCGTGTTCAAGCCGGTATCGCCGTCGCCCACGCGCTTGTGGTCTTGCGCGCTCGCCAGCGCCACGGCTTTGCCGCCGCCGACGACGGCGAAAAAGGACGCCTCCTCGCCGTCCAAAAACTCCTCCACGACGATTTCCTCGCCGGCGCTGCCGAACATGGCGCCCGAAAGCATATCATCGACCGCGTTCAACGCGTCTTCGATCTCCATGGCCACGATCACGCCCTTACCCGCGGCTAAGCCATCCGTCTTGACGACGATGGGCGCGCCCTTGGACTCGATGTACGCCTTCGCCTTCGCCGCGTCCGTAAACTTGGCGTACTCCGCGGTCGGAATCTTATACTTGGCGCACAAATCCTTCATAAACGCCTTCGATCCCTCCAACCGCGCCGCGCTCTTGCTCGGCCCGAACACCGGCACGCCCGCCGCCGCGAGCGCGTCCGCCAACCCGTCCACGAGCGGCGCCTCGGGTCCGACCACCACCAGCCCGATCGATCGCTCTCGACAGAACCCCACCACCGCCGCGTGATCGCTCTCATTCAGCGTCACCGTCTCCACGCCGCGCTCGCGCGCGATCCCCGCGTTTCCCGGCGCGCAATACAGCGTCCCCGCGCTCGCGCTCGACGCCAACCTCCAGCACAGCGCGTGCTCCCTCCCCCCCCCCCCCACGACGAGCACGTTCGTCTTCGCGCTCGACGCCCGCGCGACGCCGTCCCGCGTCGCCCGCGTCGCGACGAACCGCACGACGCGCGTCGTCCGCGCCGTCCGCGTCGCTCGCGTCCCTCGTCCCGCGCGCGTCCGCGCCGTCGTCGTCGTCGTCATCGTCGCGCGCGTCGTCGCGCGCGCGCGTCCCAGCACCGCGCACCGCGCCGAACCCATCGCCGTCGTCATCGCCGTCGCCGTCGCCGTCGCCGTCGCCGTCGCCGTCGTCGGCCGCGCGCGCCGCGGTCCGTCGCGCGCGCCGTTCGAACCGCCGCGCGCGCGTGCGAAAGTACGAAACCCCATCCTCGATCGCGCGCCGTATCCCATCGATCGCGCCGTCGATCGCGCGATCGAGGCGTCAGATTAGGGGTGCTTGAATCCGGTATCGGCAGTTTCCTGATACCGTATCAGCGTACTAGTACGGTATCAGCCGAATGTCCGAACGTGCCAATCGTATGGGTAAACAGTAGTGACCAGCTGATACGAGCTGATACGAGCTGATACGAGCTGATACGAGCTGATACGAGCTGATACGAGCTGGTACAACGGTGCGTCAGATAAGGCGTCGATCGCGCCCCGCGTGACGGGTCGTGACTCAGCGCCGAGGGGGTCGACGGGCCGTCAAAAAAAACCCGCGCCGGGCGACGCGACGACGCGCCGGGCGACGCGAGGGCGGCGTCGGACGCGCGACGACGCGACGCGCGCGACGACGGGCGACGCGAATTCGCGACGCGCGCGACGACGGCGGCGCGCGTTCGAGGGGAATATTTTTAATCTCAAAGCGCGCTCGCGAACGGGCGGTTAGGGGATGACGACGACGGCGGCGACGCGCGCGATGGGGGGGCGCGCGCGCGTCGCGCCCTCGCGCGGGGCGCGACCGACGCGCGGCGATCGCGCGGGCGCGCGCGGACGGGTGATGGGACGCGTGCGCGCGGTGAGCGCGACGCCGGACGTGTCGAGCGAACAAGAATTTAACGCGTACATCAAGAACGTGAACGCGGAGATCGAACGCGCGCTGGACGCGTCGGTGCCGATGCATTATCCGGAACGCCTGAGCGAGAGCATGCGATATTCGCTGCTGGCGGGAGGGAAAAGGATTCGACCGGCGCTGTGCTTGGCGGCGTGCGAACTCGTGGGGGGGACGATGGAGGTGGCGATGCCGACGGCGTGCGCGCTGGAGATGATTCACACCATGTCGCTGATCCACGACGATTTGCCGAGCATGGATAACGACGACTTTCGCCGCGGCAAGCCGACGAATCACAAGGTGTACGGAGAGGAGATGGCGATTTTGGCCGGTGACGCGCTGTTGAGTCACGCGTTTGAGTACATCGGAAGAGAAACGAAAGGGGTGAGCGCGGATAAAGTGCTTCGAGTGATCGTCGACGTCGGAAAGTGCGTCGGGAGCGAGGGGTTGGTCGGCGGACAAGTCGTGGATATCATGTCCGAGGGCGCGGACGAGGGCACGGTGACGATTGATACCTTGAAGTACATTCACGCACACAAGACGGGAGCGTTGCTCGAGGTGAGCGTCACGGCTGGTGCCATTCTCGGGGGGGCGAGCGAAGAGCAGATCGGGAAGCTGGAGCGATACGCGCAAAACATTGGTTTGGCGTTTCAAGTCGTCGACGACATTCTCGACTGCACGGCGACGAGCGAAGAGCTCGGGAAGACCGCGGGTAAGGATATGGCCGTCGGCAAGTCCACCTATCCCAGTCTGGTCGGCATGGAAGAGTCCAAGCGCATCGCGGCGGATCTCATTAGTAAGGCAAAGCAAGAGTTAGAGGGCTTTGACCCGGTGAAGGTCAAGCCGCTCATCGGTTTGGCGGATTACATTCAAAACAGAAAGAACTAATGGCAAATTTTAGACGACGCCTGCGATGACGCGTAACACACGGCGTGTGCACATTGTAATGCGACGGCACAAGATTTTAAGCATCAAATCGAAAATCTAATTATTATTACACATCGTTCGATGGGCTTTACATCGTCCCCGCGGCTTTGGCGTTGATTGAATTCATTCTTTGCCGCAAACGTTGGAGATCTGTCATGGCTTCGTCCACGTCGACGACTTTTGTCGGCGCCGCGACGTCGGCACCAACGTTATCTTGGATCTGCGCGAGACGTTCTCGATACGCTGCGGCGCTCGATTTCGCCTCCGCCACCGGAGACGGAATCGGCGCCGCCCCCGCGAGGTTTGACGGACTCTTTCGTAAACGCGCTGCTTCGACTTTTTGTAAGCCACGCTTGATGTACATCTGAAACGCTTCACTCGTGCGCTCGAGCTGAGGCGTTAAGTCCTCCTCGGGATGTTCTTGAGTGAACAAATACAGCTCTTCCAAGCCTTGACTCGTGGTTTGCTTTTCACCAATCTTTTTAAAGATGGCCACCAACCGACTCTTTGCATTCACCCCAGGGCTCGTTTGCAACTTGCTAGATGACTTCGCGGACGGCGTGGCGTTCGACTTGGGCGCCATCAAGTTGACGTCGATGAAGGAGTAAATCATCGGCGACGGCACAGCGGAGCGAGGCGGAACGCTGGTGCAGTATTTGAAGACATCTTCTCCGACGCGCGTGGTGATCGTGTGCAGCAACGTCTTCACCGCGCGCAAACCTTGGTCCTCTACCTTGGCGCGCGCGTTGATTTCATCGATACCGATCGCTACCAGATATGTATGAATGCCTCCAAGTACTGTCGGGATATGTACGTTGTCGAACGATAGTTGCATCGACCGAGTGAGTTTGATGAGACACTTTACGAGTAACCCGTCGAAATGCGCCGGGACGTTGAGCGGGCGATCGTGCAGCAACGTCAAGAACGCTACGAAGGAATACGACCGCGTGCAGTTCTCCATCATCGCAATCATCAACATATTTGCAGCCTTGATCAAGGATTCTCCGTCTTCGAGCGTCAAAACGCGTTCGTCGAGAAGAATGAGCAATAATTGCTTGATGAACGCACGCTGCGTGGGTTCAGTGATCGCCGTCGCGAAGGCTCTATCTTGATGGACTTGCATCAATGCATTCAGAATGTATCTGCACGCACGCGTACCCTTCGCCGGCGATGCGATGGCAGTAACGAACACATGCTCTATGCGCTTAGCCAAGGAATGCACCAATCCGTCAATGTCACCGACCATGGCTGCGTGCGCGACGACGTCCTCTTTTGCCCTCACGATCTCGTGGCACACACTCTTCATTGCTTCAACGGCGACGCTTTCGTCGACGTCATTCACTCTCTTCAACGCTTTAGACCAAGTCGACTCGTTGAGATCTTTTGTGATAGAGACGACGGGCTTAGACGGCGCCTTTGGCGTGTTTGCGCCAACGAACACGTCGGGGACGACGGGTGCGGGGGCGCTCGACATTTCGACATCCGGCGTCGTCTCTTCCTGACGCAAAGCAAAAGGCGTTCGTGAGGGTAATACGTGCATAGATTGCGACACCAAACTTTTTCCTTCCTGAAATGTAGAATAGTTCTCGCGAATCGACGCAGAAGACATCATGTCGGCGAGTTTTGCCGTGGCAAAAGTGGACGCATCGACGCTTTTACTCAACGACGCGCCATCCAACGCGCTCGCGATTGGAATTGGATCAAACTTGAGCCAATCTCCGGGAGTACCTTCGTTACTGAGACTCATTTCCCGAGCAACTCTAGCAAACTTGTCGCTTATGACGTCCTTAACTTGCTCGTTAGAGACTTTGCCGACGCGTTTCCAGACGCCGTCGCCGGCGACTTTGTACGCCGAAGCGAGGCAATTCAAAGCGCAGTTTCTCAGACTCATATCACGAGTCTCGACTAACTTGGCAACTTCCTGTAATGTCTTATCCTCTCTGAGACACACCAATAAACCATGACGCTCAATGAGTCGGCCTATTTCTTCGAGGCATTCGGCGCGCGTCCGCGAGCTCTTCGTTTCCACGACACCCGTGGTGAGGTAGCCGACAAATTTTGACGCCAAGTACACAGTCGGAACGGCGCGATAAATCGATCGAAACTTTTCACGAACGCTCTCAATACTGTGACCAGACTTCTCTACGATCACTGGAAGTAATATGGCAGCTTCCTGTTCGACGATCTTGTAATCCAAATCGCTCGCGGCGTGAAGTGAATCTAAAACCACGTCGAGGACTCGATTCATTACTTGCGTGTTTGGACTCGCCTCGCTGATGAGTAGCATGAGCCAACGAAGTAATAAGTCAAAGCTGTTGACCAATTCAGCTTCATCGGACTTGATTGCCTCATCGATAGAGTCGAGCGCCGCGAGTCGCGCTTTGACATCGTTCGTGAACATCATTTTATGCACGTCGGCTCGAAAGTACGCTCGACTCGCAGATTTCACGTCCTCAGACAATAACATCAGATCCTCGTCACGTAAAGTCTCAAACTTCATCGCCTTGCGCGGATACTTGCGAATACGAACTGCTTTGTCGGCGTCGATGAGGAAAACAGGACCACTTTGTACCATGACGGGGGCATCGGTTGACTTTGCGACGCCGCCACCCAGCGCGGCGGCTTTACGCGCCGCATTCCTGGCAGCCGCTGACCCTTTCAACGCATTCGTCGCCATGACCGCCATGGCTGCACTTTTCATATTCGTCGCCGGTTTGGAACGATTTAAGTGCGCTTCGAGCGCGATTTTCAATTCCTTACCGAGCGATTTCGCCATGGTGAGCACTTTGTCGGCGTCGACTTTTGACGAGATGGCTTCCATCAACGCCGCGCTCGCCTTTCTTGATTCCGTCGCCTTGTCATTCAATCCAACAGCGGCAAAGTGCACAGCACTGCAGTGAATCACATCGTCAGCGCATTGGTCTCGGCCATACGTTTCCATGCACCACTCTATCGCTTCTTTTTTACCCTCGGCTGTGATTTTCGCAGAGTACTCTTGAAACTTTTCCGCCATCGTTGGTAAAACTTTTGCAAGCCCCGCCGAAGTTACCCAACACGTGCACGCTTTCAACGCTGCCTCGCGCACGTTTTTCTTGCTGTCACCAAAGTACTTGACGATGTCACATAAAGTTCCTCGACCAACTTTATCGATGGGCGATCCGATAGCGAGAGCGAGCTCGCCGGCGATGTTGAGCGCCGTGACGGCGAGCATTCTATTGGAATCTGCAAACCGCGCGTTGAGCGCCTTGAACAAATCGCCTCCGGTCGGTGTAATGCGATTATTTGCGCCTCTCAAAATGTTTCCAAGTTCTTCCAAAGCCGCCGCGCGGGTCTTCCAGTTGGAATCATTCATGTTGCTCAGAAAGCTGTCGTTGATTTTCGCGCTTATGTCGGCTCGCGGAGCTTCAACGACCGCCGCGTTCGGCGGTGGCGCATTCGTAGTACTAGGTATCGAAGCGGCACGCGACGCACATGGTACAGATGACGGCATTCTGACTTGCCTCTTTGCCTTTATCTCACCTTCGAACGGATTACGCGCAAACTCCACTTCTAAACTACGCAACTGTGCGTCTTTCAAGCCGGCAAGCGAGTCCTTAACGCTCGGACCGATGCCCGCGTGTAAGGCGCCAAGCAGCTTCGCCCCACCGCCTTTTATCATGGGATTTGGCGTTTCTAGCGCATCTCGACCCCAGGCTACCATCATATCCGTGTCTAAACACTCCACGCCGAACTCTTCCACAGTCGAACTTGCCCAGTTCAAAGCGCCGACAACGACTTTTGGAGCCTTGGAATTTCCAGTCTTCTCTCGAAGACGTGACATGATGATCCGCGGTCCTAAAGCCTCTGAAAACGCCAGCAAACTGTCACTCGCTCGAGTACCGAGCTTAAAACAGCTAAGTTTTTCGCCGAGAACGTCAAGCGCGGCCGCAACGTGCCTGTACTCGAAGCAAGGCTGAGCGCTCAAAATTTTTAGAGTCTCAAACATTTTATCCATGACTTGGAAGTTGCTATCGCTCCATCCAGGGAACGATGCAAGACCAATCACGAGCGCATCACACGCGTCACCAGACGTGTCTTTCAGTGTTGTCACTATTTCGACGACAGACGACATTCCCGCAAGTCGAGCTTTCCAATCCGCGCTCTTCAAGTTGTGTATGACTTCCTCACTCAAAAGCGCGACAATGCGCGCTTCGGCATCATCTTTCGATATTGTTGGCGCTAATTCAACGATAACTTCCTCAGTGGAAGCTTTGACAGCGATGGTTTGTCTCTTCGCTGTGCCCGTCATATCTGATGGCTTCACGCTCATCGCGCGCTCGACGCTGCCGCTCGCCGGCGGCGCTACTTTTCCAATCATACTCGATTGTTGCACAGACGGTGGATTCGGCGCCAATACACCAGCTTTCGGCGCACCCGACATCAATTCTTCGATTTTAGACTTTTTTCCAGCATCGATATCCATCAATAAGAACTCGATCGACTTCATACCACCACTCGCTTTCGCGCAAGTTGCGAGCGTCTGCAGCGCGCCGTTTCTCGCATCCGCGTTCGACGCACTCGTGCATTTCACAATGGGAGGGACAATAACCTTGTGCAAACTACTCAATGAAGAGCGAGTCATATACTCGAACGTTCTCTCCAGCCACTTGAGCGTTTCGATCTGAACTTTGGGAACTTTGTGCGCCAGCGCCGCGCACACTTCGTCGACAATCTCTGCGAGCTCAAAACAATACTTGACAGACTCACTCAGTGCATCCTGAATGGCCGCGATGACGGCTGCAGTCTTGTCTTTCAACTTATCGAGCATACCGGGTAAAAGTATACGAGCGTCTCGGGTCCATTCTTTTCGTGCGCCCTTTGCCAGCGCTGCAGCGGCTCTCGCGGCCTCGGCGATGCACGCCACGTTGCTATCTTTTGTGATGACTTGCTTCAAAGCTTTGGATACGTCTCCGTAATCGCCCGACGACAACTTCGGCGCGCTCGCGAGTTTCGTGAGCGTTTGAAGCGCATAGAGACGTTCCTGCCACTTCTTACTGACTATGCCGTCCCAAAACTTTGGATTTTCCCCTTCGGCCGGTTTCTCGAGAAGCGGAAGAATGCTCTCCGGTTCGGAATAATCGTACGCGTCAGGTGCAGCAACCGGCGCCGTCGTCGTCGTCGTCTCTGTGTCCTGTGAGGGCTTTTGTACCACGACAGCGCTCCCATCGTCGCCGGATGTGGAAGCCATCGCGGAATCTTGCGCCGCTTGATCTTTGCGCAAAAATCGCGTCGGTCGAGCGTTCGCCTCGACGCTCGAGATGGCTTTGTTCACGTCTGCTTGCATAGCCTCCCGCATCTTATCTATCAAATCGCGCTTCACCGCTTGCGCTCCTAACCATTTCGTCATCTCCACCGTGATATCTTTCGCCGTCGAGCGAACCTTGGCATCCTTGGCGTCGAACAACGGCGTCAGCCCCTTCAAAATCGCGCTCGCCGGCACCACCTTTGGCGTGCCAAACGACGTCACCGCCATCAACACCGCGTTCGTCGCCGCGAGCGCGAGTTTCGGTATCCTATTCAAGCTCGCCTTTAATAACGCGTCCAACACCGCATCGCACTGTTCCAACTCAATCAACAGCATGCAACACTCCGTCGCTCGCTCCGCCGCCTTCGGTCGTCCGCCCAGACCCTTCGTCGTCAAATTCCCCAGCATGTCCTCGGCCACCTTCTCCGCGTAGCTCACGTCCGCGATCGTCAGCATCGCTCGCACGGCATCTAAGCCCGCGTCGAGCGCCGCCGCGTTCCCATCGGCGCACGCTTTCACCGCACAATCTCCTGCGTTCGTCGACGTTCGCGTTTTCCAGCTGTCAGTCGCTGTTTAAATCCCCCTCCGCGCTTCATCGCTCCCGCGACACCGTCTCCGCGCGCGCTCCCGCGCCCATCGACGTCGCATCGCGCACGCACCGAACGCGACGACGTCCGCGTCGTCCTCCATCGCTCTCGCGCGCGCGCATCGCTGCGCAATCGCGTCGTAACATTCGACTCGAGCCTTCCAGTGCGCGTGCGCGACGCGATCTCTCACGGGCAGCGCGCGCGCCAGGCGCAGCGCCTCGTCCTCGTCCGCGGACATCGGGCGCGCGCGCGCGACGCGCGTGCGTTCGCGCGCGTGCGTTCGCGCGCGCGCGTCGGTTCGCGCGTCGGCGTCTGACGCGTCGCCGCATCGCGTCACTTCGCGTCTTCGAGCGGCATGACGACGACGCGACGCGCGCGCGCGACGCGCGCGACGGCGGTGGCGCTCTTCGCGTGCGCGGTCGTCGCGCCGGGGGCGTGCGACGCGCGCGCGACGACGCGAGGGACGCGCGCGAGCGTCGAATTACGGCGCGAAGAGCGCGGAGGAGCGATGGCGCGCGACGGCGACGCGGTGACGACGCTGCCGGGATACGGCGCGCCGCCGTCGACGCAGTATTCTGGATTTCTCGATGCGTCGGCGTCGACGCCGGGGACGGCGCTGCACTACTGGTTCGCCGCGAAGCGCGACGGCGACTGGACGCGCGCGCCCACGCTGTTGTGGATGAACGGAGGCCCGGGATCGAGCTCAATTCTCGGATTTCTGCAAGAACAAGGCCCGCTGTTGGTGAACGCGAGCGGTGGGTTGATGGAAAATCCGTTCGCTTGGACGAAGTATGCGAATTTGGTGGCGTTGGAGTCGCCCGCGGGGGTGGGATGGAGCTATTGCCAAGAGATGACGGTTGGCGGCGACTGCTCGAACGACGACGTGAGCGCGGCGCGAGACGCGGCGGCGGCGGTGGTGGATTTCTTCCATCGAAAATTTCCAGAGCTACGGTCAAATAAGTTTTACGTCACCGGTGAGTCGTATGCGGGGGTGTACGTGCCGACATTGGCGCGGGAACTGTTGGATTTCAACGACGCGCAGACGAGCGACGACGCAAAGATTCCGCTCGCGGGCATCGCTACGGGGGATCCGTGCACGGATAACGATTCACAGAGGAATTCAATGTCTATGTTGTGGTACGGGCACAAGTATGGGTTCGTCCCGGACAAGGAGTTCGACTTGCTCTGGCATCAGTGCGAACATCGATACGCGTCGCCGTTGATGCGCGGCGAATGGAGCGGCGCCGCGAAGCGCAAGTCGACGTCTTTGCTAGAGATTTTCGCGGATGAGGTCTCTAAGGGAAAAGGCTCGCCCGAGTGTCTCGTCGCGCATCGTAAGTTTCTATGGCAAACGAGCAACGGCTTTTCTCAGGACTGGCGTTACGCGTGGCTGAACGATCTCACGTTGTTCGGGCCGGCAGCCATGGCAGAGGGCGGAGAGTTCGTTCCAGGCACGCTTGATTATATGATGACACAATGGATGATGCGTGATGATGTCCGCAAAGCGCTCAACGTTGAGAAATCTCCCGCCAAAGCTTGGCCCGGTCCAACTGAAAATTGGTCGTATAGCAGCGTATGGGCGGCGTGTAACGAGGGCGCGGACAAACACACGCCGAGCATGATTGATTTCTACCGCACGCTCGCGCCGAGACTCGAACGAACGATCGTTTTCAACGGCGATACCGACCCGTGCGTATCGTATGAAGGTACGCGCGCAGCCATAATCAAGCTCGGATTCAAAGAGCTCGAGGGTGGCTCTCAGCGAGCCTACTTCGTGAACGCCTCGGGCGTACCCGCATTTCTTCTCGAAGAAAAGCCGTTACTATATGGTCCGAACCTCGCCACGAGAGACGCTGGGCCGCAGTTTGCCGGTCACGTCATTGACTACGAAAACAACCTGTCCTTTGCGACCGTGCACGGCTCTGGTCACATGGTGCCGCAGTTTCGACCGCAGACGGGCTTGTTGCTTATCAAAAAACTCCTCTTCAACGAGGCCTTTTCACCACTCATGCCCACAAACGCAAAGCTCGAAACGATGAACGATGAAGAGTTTCAAAAAGAAATGCAACATTGGGTCGTCGAGGCGCAACAAGCGAAATACATTGATTACTAGAACGTGTTACAATATCACTGTACAATTACCAACCACGCGACCGCTCGTCTTCCCAGTCGCCCCGTGGCTCGGACACCGGCACCGGAGGCACGGAGAGTCGACTTCGCTCCTTAATAGCTCCGTTCGAATCGCTCTGCGCTAAACTAGGAGCTTTGGGTACAGATCGCATTTCTGTCGCCAAATCTTCAAAGCTCGGGCGCTCACGAGGATTGGTCTTCCAACAATCGCGGCACATCTTCGCGATGACTTCGTCCATATCCGCTGGAATCTCGAGCTGCTTACCCGCAAAACCGACCGCTCCGACAACTTGCATCGGATTCAAGCCTGACCAAGGCTCTTGCATCGTGGCAAGTTCCCATAAAATTACCCCAAACGAATAGATGTCCGCCTTTTCGTCGCTGTCATCATTTCGTAGCACCTCGGGCGCCATCCACTCCGGCGTGCCCGCATTTGTCTTTGAGCTGAGATACGTGTTACGCTTCATTCTCGATAAACCAAAGTCACACACTTTCACGACAAAACTCTTATCGACGAGAAGGTTTGGAGACTTCAAGTCGCGATGCACTATCATCGGCTCAAACGAGTGCAAGTAGTGCATGCCGCGAATGACATCCATGACCATCCTCATCCTGCGACGGTTGTCCAATGCCGCTTTCAGCGCTGGACTTTGTTCGCGATGTAAAAGTTTGAAAAGTGATCCACGGTGCAAAAACTCGGTAACGATGGATAGGTTTCCAGGTACTGTGACCGCGCCCATGAGTAAGATGACGTTCGGATGTCGCAGACGTCGCATGATGTCTACCTCAAACGTCACGTCGTCGAGGAGATTTTTTGAAATATCCTGGTCGAGAAATCTCTTCACCGCAACCTCTGTACCGCGCCAGAGTGCTCGGTGAACTTCGCCGAAAGAACCTATCCCGATGCGCTCTCCGAGTAAAATTTGTGACGGATCAATGGTGAGATCGACCGCGACTTGGAGGCGCAAAGGAGTCTTCGGTTGCTCTGGCGTTTGCAAGTCTTCCGGAGACATCACGCCGAAACGTTGGCCTTCTCTAGTATCCTCCGCTCGAGATGGTGTCACCAATACGTCTGGTGACTCTCGACCGCTGTCGGTAGGCGCGTACGTCGATCCAGCGTTCGATGGCGGCGTCGAATCTGAGTTGTACGGAGTCTGCATACGACCCGGCTCATGCATCAAATTAAGCATTCGCTTCATACCACCGCACATCACAATGATCATCACCGCCTCCTCGTCTCCGCAATAAAATTTCCCACGCAACAGCTGCGAAGGAATTTCAAGGAAGTCTGCCACGGCTTTGAACAAAATGGCGCGATGTCGTTGCAAACCCACTTTCATTGATCCCACTGGAAAAATCAAGCTACCGTGTTCCTCGATCAAACGCGCTCGCTCGCTTTCCCAGGTCTCTCGCAGCGCGTCGTCGCTTTCCGCGGCGCCCCCCATGCGCTCGGCGACGAGGCGTGCGAGCTCAGGCGATGCGTCACACCTATCCTCGATGTGGCCAATTTCGTCAAAACAATACGCCATAAACTCTTCCAACGAGACGTCGCCGCATCGATCAACGATGACCACCTCGCGATCTCCCTGGTAATCCTCCACCGCGCGCAACGACTCGAATTTCGGTAATCTCCCCCCCTTGGCGTTCAACGTCCCCCAATCGCTCGGATGCGGGTAGAAAAAGCCGTCGGCCAATCGCTCGCTAAAGTTGAGCGAGTACGTCGACCAAAACCGTTCCGCCATCGCGCTCCCACTGAAACGCTCTCGCAAGCTCTGTCGCCGCGCCTCGAGCAATAAGGCTGCCTCTTCATCCCCGCCTTTCTCGTTCGCGCTGCCGGTGGACGTCCGCGCGTCGCGCTGTTCGTCCCCAAGCGACGCGCTTATCGCGCGCGCCAGGTCAGCCTCGAACCGTTCGTCCTGATAATCCGCCCGCGCCGCCGCGTACGCCGCCTCGTGCGCTTCCTCGCTGAACTGCGGGCTACGCACGCCCATCGTGTCTCGCCCGAACGACCCCGCGACGCGCGCGAAGGCTTGCGAGAGCTGTTGCACGTCAACACCGGGCCACGCGCGGTTTCGCTCGCCGTTTTCCTCGCGCGCGACGTCGCCGACGCCGCCTTCGCGCGGCGCTTCCTCGTAGAACCCATCGGCGTCGTCGTCATCCTTACCGGGCGCGACCGAGTCCGACATCCGGGACGTCGACGCGCGCCGGCGAGTGCGGCTCGGCGCGCGCCGCGCGCGCCGCGCGCTCGAGGGTCCCTCGCGCCGCGGTTCGATCACGCGCGCGACGTCGCGACCACCGCGCGCGCGCGCGTCCTTCTAAACGTTACAATTCTAAATTAAGACGCGCTCTACCGCGCGAGCGACGTCGGTCGTTCGCTCGACCCCTTCGCTCGCGCGCGCCGCTCGAATTTAATATCGGTGCTCCAACTTTTCATTTTCCTTGTAATTCAACGCGTACCTGCGTTCGATCGCGATCGAACGCGCGTTCGTCAGTCACGCGTTCGCGCGCACCACCCCCTCGACGCGCCCTGACCGATCGTTCGCGGTCGTGTCTTCTCGCTCGCCCCCCCCGTCGTCGCGCTCCGGCGACCCTACGCCTCTGCCCCGCGATCCCTCATCCGTCCCGTCCCGTTTTGTCGCGTCGTCGTCGCGCGTCGTCGTCGCGTCACCGTTTCGCGTCGTCGTCGTCTCGCTTCGACGCACCACACCGTCGCGCCGAGCGGCAGCGCGCAGAACACGCCCGCGTCGACCGCGTTCTCCTTGACGCGCGTCGCCATGCCCGACGCCCAATCCTTGAACAGGCCGTGCATGACGCCCGTGCGCATGGGCGACAGGCTGTACGTCACGCTTCGCAGTCGCGCGGGGACCTTCGCCATGTCGACGCCGCGATCGAGGCGCGTCGAGACGTCGCGCGCGTCGATCGCGGCGATCGCGCGTTCGCGATCGCGCGCGGTCTCACTCGCGTGCGGTCAGACGCACACGGACCATGAGACGGCCCGGGGGACTTCTCTCGAGTCACGATTCGACAAGGGATCGATGTACGTATTTCGGCACACGAAAGACCCATTTATGACGGCGATCGCGCGCGGCGTCGACGATTCGCGTCGTCGCGTCCGTCGTCGTCGCGATTCCTCGACGGCCGACGACGCGACGCGACGACGCGACGCGACGACGCGAGAGCGCGCGACGACGACGCGATCGCGACGCGAATCCGCGCGACCGGCGTCGCGATCGCGCGGCGAGGCGGCGCGACGGGAGGGAATTCCGACGGGATTCGCGCGCGACGATCGAACGCGCGGGCACGGGGCGAACGCGCGCGAGGCTTGCGATGATGACGAACGTGAAGGATTCGGTGGAGGACTTGCACCCGAGGACGTGGTTGCGCGGGAAGGCGCGCGCGGACGGGACGGGAGACGCGGCGGTGGGCGAGGACGCGGCGAAAGGGGGGGGCGACGGCGAAGAGGCGGCGGCGAGACGCGCGCGAAGGACGTCGAGCAGCGAATCGCTGAGCGCGTCGAGCACGCACTTGGAGCTGGAGGAGGTGGCGGAACGCATAGCGGCGATGTCGCCGTGGGCGGCGAGGGCGGATCAGGAGGCGGCGAGGGCGCGGGCGACGGCGTCGCGGGAGCGAGACGCGGCGGAGCCGCTGTTGCGAGACAATCCCGATCGGTTTTGTTTGTTTCCGATCAAGCACGCGAAGGTTTGGGAGATGTATAAGAAGGCGGAGGCGAGTTTTTGGACGGCGGAGGAGGTCGACTTGACGTACGATTACAGAGATTGGATCACATTGAACGATAACGAGCAACACTTTATATCGCACGTGTTGGCGTTTTTCGCCGCGAGCGACGGCATCGTGTTGGAGAATTTATGCTCTCGGTTCATGACGGATGTGCAGCTCCCGGAGGCTCGATCGTTTTATGGCTTTCAGCTCGCGATCGAAAACATTCACAGCGAGATGTATTCGTTGCTCTTGGACACGTACATTAAGGATCCAAAGAAGAAATCCGACTTGTTTCGGGCGATTCACACGGTGCCCACCGTGGCAAAGAAGGCGGATTGGGCGCTCAAATGGATCGGTAGCGACGCGAGTTTCGCCGAGCGTCTCGTCGGTTTCGCGTGCGTGGAGGGAATTTTCTTCAGCGGATCTTTCTGCGCCATCTTCTGGTTGAAAAAGCGAGGATTGATGCGTGGTTTGACATTTTCCAACGAGCTCATAAGCCGCGACGAAGGATTACACTGCGACTTTGCGTGTCTGTTGTATAGCATGCTGGAGAATCCATTATCGGAGAAGGTTCTACACCAACTCGTTGGAGATGCGGTGACAATAGAGAAAGAGTTCGTGTGCGACGCTCTGAGCTGTTCCCTCGTCGGTATGAATGCAAACATGATGAGCACGTACATCGAGTTTGTCGCCGACCGACTTCTCCTTCAGTTGGGCGTGTCGAAGCTTTACAACGCGGTCAATCCGTTTGATTGGATGGAGCTCATTTCGCTCCAAGGCAAGGCAAACTTTTTCGAACATCGCGTGGATCAGTACCAGAAAGCAGGCGTCATGCAGGGTGGAGAAGAGAATCACTCGTTCCGCACTGACTGCGATTTTTAGCGTCGCCGCCGGCTCATATTTTTAACGCGGCTTCACTCATCAATTCGTCGTCGTGAGGTGTTTATAATTTTAATAATGAATTTTGAGCGTTGCATTAAATGCCACATATGTATCTCTACGTTCGTCGTACGTTTCCTCCGCGCGTCTAAGCTCCGAGGATGGAGTTCTCCTTCTTCAAGAGCTTGGCAACCTTGAGTTGGCCCGTGAGCGCCTTGAACGCGAGCAAACCGGCGGCGCCAAACGCGCATTGCGCGTACAATGTCAAGCTACTCACGTACAACACAACACCAATGTTCGTCGCGCAGGCCGCGAGAAGAGCTTGAATCGTAACGCCTTGCATGATGGCCATGCGATCAAGCGCGCGTTCGGCTTCGAGAGCGCGGACGCGAATCTTCAACTTGCCCGTTTCGATGCGACGCATGGTGTCCGCAATGTCATAAATGGCATCCGGACCCTTGAACAAGTTGACGATGGCCTTCGTTTGAGCATCGGCGCGACGCAACCAGTCGCGCTGAGCCGTCACGACTTGCGGCGGCAACGAGTTCGGGTTCGCTTCAATGAGCAAGTTGCGCGCGTACGGCGCCGCGATTTCGGAAATGTCAAACTTCTTGTTGAGCGTCTTACCGATTCCGTCTAACACGGAGAAGGCTCGCTGTGAGAGGGAAGAAATTTTATAGGTCAGTTTCAGTGCGTTCGCGAGATGACGCTTTGGTCGACGAGCCGAGTGCGTATGCTCAGAGAAACCACATTGCTGTAAAGTAATCAACACTGCGCCGAGCCGAAACCCAGAAACATTCATCGAGAAAGTGTATCTAGATAGCGTTGTCTCATCATCGCAAACGATCTGCAAAGTGCCACTGTCGATGAGCGAGCGAGCGAGCGAGTACTTACCACCACAAATGTAAATTCAGCCGGGAATCGGAACGGTTGATCCTTGCTCACGACGAGCAAATCTTCGCCGATGTTGGACAAAATGCGCTTGCGAACTTGCTGTTTCTCCTCCTTGGTGCGCGGCGCCTTGAACTCAGCCTCAAACTCTTCCTTGTTCGTTTCGCGAGCCTTCTTTTGCGCGTTGATGCGAGCATCGAATTGCGTCAAAAAGAAATCCGCCGTACGCTTCACCGCGGTGAGATCGGCGCCCGTGTCCACGAGCACGCCCATCTTCATCAACGCCTTCACGGCGCTGTCGCTTTGACCTTCGTACGTCGCATAGAACAAATCTAACAATCCATCACGAGTTTGGCTGGGAATGCGACCCATCATACCGTAATCATACACAACTAATCGCCCCTTGCCTTCCGGATCACCCTTGTCGACGGCGACGTTACCAGGGTGCGGATCCGCGTGGAAGAAACCAAATCGCAACACTTGCTGCAAGTAAGCCTCGACGGCGAGGCGAGCCATGCGATCGGGATCGATTCCCATCGCCTTAATGGCCTCCACATCGTTGATCTTCGTCGCCGGCGCGTACTCCATGCACAACGTACGACGCTTGGTGAATTCCCAGTAAATGCGAGGAACCTTTATCCAGTCGTCGCCGGTGAACTGCTTCTTGAACTCTTCCGCGTTCTTCGCCTCGTTGGTGTAGTCGACTTCATCGTACAGCACGCGCGCCGTTTCATCGAAAATCGCCACCCAATCGCGCTTGGCGCCGTCGTTCTTCGGATCGACCTTTTGCAACCACTTGGCGATGACGCGCAAGTTTTTAAGGTCAATGTCGAAAATCTCCTTCAAGCCCGGGCGTTGCACCTTGATGATGACTTGCTCGCCCGTCGCCTTCATTTGCGCGCGGTGGACCTGACCCAAGGACGCCGCCGCGAGCGGAGTGTCTTCGAAATTGTCGAAGAACGATTCAACCGGACCACCGAGCTCTTCGTCGAGGATTTCCTTGGCGAGCTTGGTCGGAAACGGCGGGACGCGATCTTGCAACTTTTCGAGCTCTCGAATGAATTGCGGGCTCAACACATCAACACGAGTAGAGAACTGCTGACCAACCTTGATGAACGTCGGTCCAAGTCGAAGCAGCCCCTTGCGCAACCAGCTCGCCAAACGCTCGAGCCTCGCGATGCGCTTCTCCTCGGTGTATCCGCCCTTGTACGACCACTTCACCCCTATGAAAACCCGTCTGAACACGAACGCCACGACAAAGCTCCAAATCTCGAACGATCGAGCGATCGTTCCTACTGATTTCAATCGTTCAATGTTCAACGGCGGTTCAGAAACCACCACGTCCTCGAAATCCGACTCGTCGATGGTTTTCGCGTTGACGAACGCCTTCGGCGTCGTCTCCTTCTTCACCACAACTCCACCATCCGCGTCACCCACGACGTCGCTGTCCACGCTCGCGAGCGCGTTTTCCAACGTCATCAGCGTCTCGCTCTTGCACTCCTCATCCTCGAGGCACTTTTCAATCTCCTCCGTGCTCGCCGCGTTGTCCCCTTCGCCCTTGCTCGCGCTCGTCGTCCTCGTCGCCGCGTTGCGTCGTCGATCCATCCGTCCGCCCCCCGCGGCGCGCGCGTGTCGTCCTCCGACGTTCACCATCGCTCGCGCGCCGGGCGCCGGGACGCATCGCGGCGTCGCCCAGCGCGCGTCTTCGCGCGCGGCGCCGCGCGTTTGGATAATTCTCCGCGTCGTCGTCGTCGTCGTCCCGCGTCCGCGCGTCGCGGCGCGCGCGCGCACGACGCGCGACGTCGCCGTGTGTGCGATCATGTCTACCGGTCGTCGGTGTGCGCGCACGCGTCGATGTGACGCGACGCGCGCGCGCGACGACGCGACGACGGCACGCGCATTCGTCCCGGTCGCCGCCACGCTGGAGCGAAAAAGATCAGCCGATGGGTCGCGAACGGTCGTTCGGGGGACTCGGAAACGTGGTGACGTCGAGAAAAAGGGTGCGACGACAAAGACCATCTTGGTCTTTTTTTTTTTAGATAAGACGGACGAGGGCGGACGTATCGGGCGGACGTATCGGAGACGCGAGACGCGCTCACATCTTGCGAGCGAGCTCTAAGAGCATGGATTTAACGCCGTCGTTGGTGTGGGCGGCGCGAGCGGCGGTGTCGACGTCGGTGGCGACCTTGCGGCGCTTGGCGTCGAGCTTTTCGAGGAGCCGCTTGGCGGCGGCGGCGTGCTTGGCGTCGATTTGCGCGAGATCGTCGGTGATGCGGGCGGTGTCGGCGACGATGGCGCGCTTGTTGGCGGTAAAATCTTCGTAGGCGACGCGGAGCGCGGATTTGTACTCGCGAGTGAGGGCTTCGACGCGAGAGGCGATGGTTTTGGACTCTCGCGAACGCTCGGCGGCTTGGCGCCCGGCGGCGCGCGCGAACGTTTCGTAATCTTGTTCGGCTTGAGAGATGAACTTACGACTCGCGGCCTCGGACTCGACTCTGAACTCGTTCACGAGTGACTCGATGCGCTCGCGCGCGATTCGTCGATTGCGTTCGGCGAGAGATTGCATCATTTGCTGGAATCCAACCATGTCGTCGCCCATGGCGGCGACGTCCGCGGGCGCCGAGCGGCGAGTTTTAGACTTCTTCTTCGCTTTTTCGTCGCTCAGTAACGGCGAGACATCGTCAGATGCGTTGAGAAAGTTTGACAGAGGGGTTAAAGTACCACCACCAGTGTCTTCATCGTCTTCATCGTCGTCAAAGTTCAAGTCCGTCGTAGTCGTAGTCGCCGTCGTAGTCGTTCGAGCGGGCTTCTTTGTCGTTTGAACTGGGGCGAGACGCTTGCGCCAATCCACGACGCTATCATAAGGACCGGTTTTCAAACGCTTAGCGTCGGGGGACTTGAGTATGCCAGGTCGTGGTCCGGTCTTCGGCGCTTGAAGCGACGGCGCGGGCGTTTTAAACAATGACTTCCCCAAAGAAACATCGCGAGATTCGCTTTGCTTCAATCGATCGACGACGCGCTGGTATTCCTCGCGCTGCTTCTTCGTCGTACCTTTCGCCTTGATCATCTTCACGAGAGCAGGAATATCTTCATGAGTCCATTCATCTTCTTGCGCGTCGTCGTCGTCGTTGTCGTTGTCCTCATCGTCCTCCATTTCGCGTCGCGGAGAATACTCAAGCTGACGAACAGGTTGAAGTCGTTGCGGAGGCGAGGTGCGCTTTGCCGGTGGAGGAGACAGCGACGGTTCAGGCTCTTCGGCGAGATCGGAAGTCTCTAAAATATCATTGAGCTGCTGGTTTAACTTTTTGATACCATCTTGCTTCGCTTTACGCTTCGGAAGCTGTCGAGACGCTTGCGTCGGCTTGACGGCTTTCGGCACTTCCTCAGAATCGGATTCTGTTTCGGAGACCACTAGAGCGGCAGTTTTCTCACGAGTCTTCCGAGGCGCTTTCTTCGGCTTCGGCTTCGACTTCGATTTGAGCACGACGGGCGTCGGTTTCACCGCGGGCGCATCATGTTCCAAAGATTCAGACTCAGAGTTCAATTCGACGTCTAAGATGCCCGCGGACATTTTTTTGCTCGGCACCAAGTTTGCATTCGTGATGTACATTTCGACGATGTCGTTTTGCTTACCGATTCGAAACAGCTGTTCAATCACAGCCGGAACATTTTGATCATGGAATTCGATTTGAATCCACTCGTCGTCTTCGATATCAAAAGGATCTTCCGCCGCCAAGCCAAGAGGTTTCTCGCGAATGCCGATGTGCGCGACGTTTTTCTTGGGCATAGAAAACGCGCGAATGTTCGAGTACAAGATATCCACCGGCTCAATACTACCATCGTCTTCCATGACCACGTGCACGGTGAGCATTTCTTGACCGAAATTGACCCATTTATCGTGCACTTGCAAGTCAACTAGACGTAAATTTTTGGCTTCAAAAGACTTGACCGAGGCAGCGCTGCCTTGCGCGGCGTTGAAGTGTCGAACCAAAGTCTTGAGCGATTTGAACATCTGCGCGGTATCTTGAATCCTGAATAAATCCTTAAACTGTGACGTCACGTGCTTGAAGATGGTAGACGCGACGTCTTGTTCGAGAAGGTTCGCCTTGACGAGACGGAACAAAATCTCGGCGATGTGCTTTTGGGCGTTGAAATCGCCGCACTTCAAAAACACTTGCCTAAGTAAACCGAGCTTGGAGTTCGAGTCACCGCGTCTACTTCTTTTGACGTTAGCGTTCGGATAAATCGCATCTTTAAGTGCGGTCGACGTGTCCACACATCCTTGCGTGACCGATTTCAAACAGAGAAGCGTTTCCCGTCGCATCAGAGGGGGCAAATTTTCGATGAGAATCGCGTTAGTAGCGGTGTTGACGAATCGCTCCCAATCCGCTTTTTCTTTCGCATCCGCACCATTCACCAACTCAGTAATAATCCACACGATATCCACATAAACATCGCGCATATCCTTGGACATGGAAGAGAAATTGCTCTCCGCCGCCGTCTGCGCGTAATCGACCAAGCGTTCAAACGCATCGATCAACTTATCTCGCACGCGATCGACGTCCACGCAATCTAAGTCTGAGAACTGCACCATTAAATTCGTCATCGCGCCGATGACGTCCACGGACCAATCCACGCTCGTGCCCTCGAGCTCCTGAGCATCGAAAACGAGCGAGTCAGTCAGTCTCGTTCAATCGCCGATCTCAATCGTCGACGCGTCGACGCGGCCCGACGCAACCCGACGCAATCCGAGTTTCCTTCCCCGAACGCACCTTCAACAAACACGAGCACACGGACACCACGCCTCGATCACTGCTCATGAACTCTCGCTTCGCCTTTTCGCTCGCCGCGCGCATAACCTTCAACAACGAATCGTCGCCTCGACCGCGCGCGCGCGTCTCGACCGCGCCCTATACAAACGAATCGATCCCCGACGCGCGCGTCGTCAGTCTTCTCTTCGCGCCTCGCGCGCGCATCGCGGCCGTGCCGCGCGTCCCGATCGCGTCGTCCGATCGCGCGCGCGCGCGTCGCTCTCGCGCGTCGCTCTCGCGCGTCGCCCTCGACGCCGTCGCGCGTTCCGAGAAACACCGCACCGACGCACCGCGAGCGCCGACGTCGCCGTCATCGCGCGCGCGTCGTCCCTCGTCGCGTCGTTCGACGCGCGCGTCGGTCGGGTCGTTCGCGCGTCGCGCCGCGCCGCGTCGTCGCGTCGTCGATCGCGTCGTCGTCGTCGCGCGTCGTCGTCTGCGGTCGGTTCCGGGCACCCGTCGGTGCGCGATCGCGGCGAGCGTTTTTCGAGCGTTTATGGAATTTTGGAATTTGAGTTTTCGCCGACGCGGCACGTCGCGGCGCGATGGCGACGGTGACGGCGACGGCGGACGACGGGATGAATTATCATCGAATGCTGAACCTGTCCGTGGTGCTCGCGGAGGCGCACGCGGAGGCGCGGGAACTGGAGGACGAGGAGTTGCGCGCGTGCGGGGAGGAAGAAATCAGAGCGTATTACGAGAGCGGTGGGCGCGACGTGCCGGTGGGGGTGCGGGAGAGACGATGCGAACAAGCGGGCGGTGGGCGCGAGGTGAACGATGGGCGAGCGAGCGCGCTGGGGGACGCGAAGGAGCGGGCGATGCTGAATAAGCACGAGGACGCTGCGGCGGATTATCGAAGACACGTCTTCAAGACGGGGATCCCGTTCCGAAAGCACGGATTGTTTCCGATGCGGGATGCGTTGTTGATGGAGTTGAGTCGCGATAATTCGCTTCGAGCGTTTCAAAAGGCGACTCCTGGGCTCGGGCGAGGGGTATTCGTGACTTGCGAATCGTGGGCCGTCGGCGACGACGCGGCGAAAAGAGGTCTTGATTTGAGATATTTTTACCGAGAGCGCGCGAGGACGGGATCGAGCGAGTATCCAGAGCTCGTCGGTGTTGCGCGCGTGGGTGATACGGGTGCGATCGGCATTCAGACGTATAATCTCGCCCACGGAGGCTGCATCGAAACGATTCTTGACGAAGCGACAGCCGAGCTGGTCAAATGTTGGCGAGCACCCTGCTGCGTCACCATCGAAATGAACGTCAAGATCAAGAAACCGCTTCCCCTTCATCACACCGTCAAAATCCAGGTGCAAATTAAAGAAGTGCAATCGCACGGGCTGCGAATCTGGACCACGGCGAGGCTGACGGATCCGTCGGCGCCGCTCGGCGAAGACGTGCTCGCCACGTGCGAGGCGCAACTGTGCGACAGTGGCATGCTCAATCGCATGAGGGAAGAGTAGACATCCGGTGTAAGCTATATTCTATACGTATCATACACAATCACTAGCTAGATTTCTACTCATTCGTTCGACTTCACACTCGTTCGCCTCGCCGCTAAATGTCCAAAAAGTTTGCCGCCATCAAGAGTTCGATGGCGTCCTCTTCGTCGATTTGAAATCGAGGTGGTGCTTTCGACGAATGCTCGTGCGCGCGCTTGTATTCGCAATAGTCTATTATTTTCCGCAAAATCGCGGTGGAGATGTCGCGAAGCTTGACCACCTTGCTTCGTTGTTCCTCGAAATCCGCCGCCTCGCTCGACGCGAACAGACGTTTAAGCACACCACTGGCGCGCAGAAGATCGTACTCGACCACGAATTCATCCCCTTGGCTCGATACGAGCGTAATCGGCGTCGATGGGTCGAGTGGTGTCGAAGACGACATGACTCGCGGGGCCGCGTGTGAAGGGCGGGACGGAGCGCGCTCGCGCACCTCTCGCGCTCGAGGATTCGATAAGACGTGATTAGGAACATAAAGTGGCGTACAGCTTTTGGTACTGTCGTTACATGTGTGTATGGTAATGGTAATGGCTAAAACAAGAATCGGTACATCTTTCGTGTCGTTCGTCTGCTGAAGCGCTTCACGTTCTCAACGCCTCGCCCGCAGAAATCTTTTCAGAATAGCAAACGCGGCGGAGATCGCCGAAGCGGACGTGGGACTAAATGTAAGTATTTAGCAGCCACCGCGGAGACGCAACACCAAGTGAAGCGTGGACTCCTTCTGGATGTTGTAGTCGGCCAACGTGCGACCGTCTTCGAGCTGCTTCCCGGCGAAGATCAAACGTTGCTGGTCCGGCGGGATGCCTTCCTTGTCTTGAATCTTCGCCTTGACGTTGTCGATGGTGTCCGAGGACTCCACTTCGAGCGTGATCGTCTTGCCCGTGAGCGTCTTGACGAAGATTTGCATGCCGCCGCGGAGACGCAACACCAAGTGAAGCGTGGACTCCTTCTGGATGTTGTAGTCGGCCAACGTGCGACCGTCTTCGAGCTGCTTCCCGGCGAAGATCAAACGTTGCTGGTCCGGCGGGATGCCTTCCTTGTCTTGAATCTTCGCCTTGACGTTGTCGATGGTGTCCGAGGACTCCACTTCGAGCGTGATCGTCTTGCCCGTGAGCGTCTTGACGAAGATTTGCATGCCACCGCGGAGACGCAACACCAAGTGAAGCGTGGACTCCTTCTGGATGTTGTAGTCGGCCAACGTGCGACCGTCTTCGAGCTGCTTCCCGGCGAAGATCAAACGTTGCTGGTCCGGCGGGATGCCTTCCTTGTCTTGAATCTTCGCCTTGACGTTATCGATCGTGTCCGAGGACTCGACCTCGAGCGTGATCGTCTTGCCCGTGAGCGTCTTGACGAAGATTTGCATGCCACCGCGGAGACGCAACACCAAGTGAAGCGTGGACTCCTTCTGGATGTTGTAGTCGGCCAACGTGCGACCGTCTTCGAGCTGCTTCCCGGCGAAGATCAAACGTTGCTGGTCCGGCGGGATGCCTTCCTTGTCTTGAATCTTCGCCTTGACGTTGTCGATGGTGTCCGAGGACTCCACTTCGAGCGTGATCGTCTTGCCCGTGAGCGTCTTGACGAAGATTTGCATGCCGCCGCGGAGACGCAACACCAAGTGAAGCGTGGACTCCTTCTGGATGTTGTAGTCGGCCAACGTGCGACCGTCTTCGAGCTGCTTCCCGGCGAAGATCAAACGTTGCTGGTCCGGCGGGATCCCTATCGCGAAACGAAATCGAAACCATCGCGTCGTCAGTCATTCATTCATTTTTCATCGCTCTTCATCGCGCGCGCGCCCTCACCGAGCCCTCGCGCCCGAGTCGCCCCCCCCGCTCCGCGCGCGCGCGTCTCGTCTCGTCTCGTCGTCCTCGCGCGCGCGATCCCCCCCCTTCCGCGCGCGTCCCGCCCTCGTTCCCGTCCGCGACCCCCCCATCGCGACTCTTCCTCTACATCTTCGTCCCGTCGTCCCCCCCGTCCGAGTCCGCGCCCGCGCGCGCCCGCGATCGCGCCGCGATTCCAGATCTCAATCGTCGCAATCCGCGTCGACGATTCATTCCGCAATCTTCCCGCACCTTCCTTGTCTTGAATCTTCGCCTTGACGTTATCGATCGTGTCCGAGGACTCGACCTCGAGCGTGATCGTCTTGCCCGTGAGCGTCTTGACGAAGATTTGCATCGCGTTCCGGGTACGTGCGTTGCGTGCGTTCGCGCGTCGGCGTGTGCCGCGCGTGCGATTGACGAATCGCGTTTGAACGACGGACGCGACGTCGGCGTCGCGCGGACTGTTTACGCATACGATGACTCGCGAGCGATGGGTCATGAACCGTCAAAAACAGGGGGGGTGGATTGCGATGGCCGGGCCGCGGGGTCGACGCACCTGGAACGGTTTTCTACGTATTCAGTGATTTTTAAACCTATGTGTGCGGCACCCACGCGCGCGCGGGGTCCAGCCCGCGCCTCGGGCGGTCGCCGCGCGCGCGCGGGCCTCCGCTCCGTATACGAGTCCCCGTTTCGCCCATCGAAGCGGATCTCTCGAGGCGTGTGTAAACCGCGGGTCGCGGATCGCCGGTCGCCGTCGCGTCGCGCGCCGACGCGACGCGGGACGACGCGACGCGCGATCGTCGGTCGGTCGACCGTCGCGGCGTCGCGCGTGCGAAGGCGCGCGCGCGCGAACGAAGGCGGCGGTCGCGCGCGCGAGGCGCGGACGCGGACGCGCGCGCGAGGCGCGGTTCATGCTTCGCGCGCGCGCGCGCGCGCTCGCGTCGTCGACCGCGCGCGCGACGATCGCGGAGGAGGGCGCGCGGGCGTGGCGCGCGGCGACGCAGACGATATTCGTGCGGTTCGCGTCGAAGAAACAGGGCGGGTCGTCGAGCAACGGGCGAGACTCGAATCCAAAGTTTTTGGGGTTGAAGCGCGGCGACGGCGAAGTCGTGCGGCCGGGACACGTCTTGGCGCGGCAGCGAGGGACGAAGTGGCATCCGGGGACGAATTGTGGGATCGGGAAAGATCATACGTTGTTCGCGCTGGTGCAAGGGAAGGTTTGTTTCAGCACGGATAAGCACAGGGGGAGGAAGTTGATCAACGTGGCGCCGCTGTCGAAGACGCACCCAAAGTACGTCGAGGGCGTGGCGTGATTTCGATTTCATTTCAAGCGGCGAAGATGGTGTTCGGCGCGATCTTAGCCAATCTCAGCCAAATAGGAAAAGTTCACGACACCGGTGGCGTAGAATTCTGGCGCGAACCCGCGCGCGCGGGGTGGTTGATGAAACGCGGCGACGTCGTTCGCACCTGGCGCCGACGATGGTTCGTCCTCAAGGACGGCAAACTGTTCTGGTTTCTCGACTCCAACGTCACCTCGAGCAGCAAGACCCGAGGCGTGATCGACATGAAATACTGTTTATCATCGACGTCCGCGTTCGAGAAAACCGGCGACGAGGCTTCGTTCGAAATCACCTGCATGGGCGAGTCCCACGTCTTCGTCGCCGCGTCCGAGCGCGAAAAAGACGAGTGGCTCTCCTCCGTCGGCGCGTGCATCGCGCGCGCGTCCCGCGCCGCGTCCTGACGCGCCGTGGTCTCGTAATTCATCGCGATCACCATCATCGTTAACGATTCGATCGTCGTCATCGCGCGTCGTCGTCGATCCCTCGCGCGCGTCTCGCCTCCGCGCTCGCCTCCGCGCCGCGCGGGTCGATCGCTCGCCACACCGCGACGCGCCCATCGATCGTCGTCATGCCGCGCGAAACGCGCGCGCGCGACCCGGTCTCGTACGCCGACAGCGGTTCGAGCACGCCCGCGTGGATGGTGCGCGCGACGACGCGACGCGACGCGACGCGACGCGACGCGACGCGACGCGAACGCGACCGTTCGAGAAACCAACGGACGTTTGAATGCGAATTCGAATTCGATCGTCGGTTCGGGACGACGAAAGCGACGAAAGCGACCGACGAGAGCGACGAGGGACGCGCGTCGTGAAGCGCGTCGGTCGACGGCGCGAGCGCGCGGCGACGGGACGGCGACGGCGACGACGGCGGGCGAGCGAGGGACGACGCGAGGGACGAACGCTAAGTCCCCCGCGAGGGCGAACGCGGCGGACGAGACGCGAGGGAAGGTGATGGACGAGAGATTGACGATGACGCGCGAATCGTGCGCGGCGTGAAACAGAAATCGACGAAAGCGTTCACGAAGGAGCCGGAGAAGGCGCGGAAACGGCGAGAGAAGTCGTCGGGGGAGGAGGCGGGGAAGAAGACGCCGACGAAGAAGACGCCGACGAAGACGACGCCGGCGCGCGGGGGGAACGCGACGGGGAAGGAGGGTGAAACGGCGCCCGCGGCGAAGCGTGGACGAGGACGACCGGTTGGGACGACGAAAGCGGCGATGGCGAAGAGAACCGGGGACGATGGTGGGAAGAAGGCTGGAAAGGCGGCGGGCGTCTCGAGAAAGGTGAGCGCCATGGCCAAGGCGGCGGCCATCGCCAAGGAAGGTTTGAAGCGACCGGCGAAGTACTTCGAGGCGAACGAGCGATCGGATTCGGGAAGGAATAAAGCCGCAAAATTAGCCTCGGTGTCTTCACCGGGATCCGATATCGATAGTCCTGAATTTTTGCGTCAAGTTAAGACGCCTGGGGCGAGGACGCCGTCGCGCGGGCGAGGGCGGCCGCCGAACAGCTCCAAACTCGGCAAGGCGGCAGCGGCGGCGGCAGACGCGGCGAATCGAGCGAATGGAGTCGTGAACGTCAACGAAGCGCACATGCCGCAGTCTACGGCGTGGGGTGGGGCGTACCGCATGCTTCAAAGCGCGTACGAGAAGCTGCAAACCAAGTACGACCAGCTCAAGGCGAAGAAGCTTCAAGATCTCATGAATGAGGCCGAGCGACAGCAAGGAGTGTTGATGGATCACGAGCGCAAGGCGGATGAGTTAGTGCATCACTTGCGCACCGAAGCCGATCGTCAGCGAGACATTGCCTCTCGCGCCGAGGGCGCGAGCGAAAAGGTGTACGCGCTCGAGCGCGAAAACGCCGAGTTGCGCGAAACCGTTTTGGCGTACCAAGGGAAGATGCTTCGCATGGAAGAAGAGCTCGAAGCCACGCGCGCGGGTGCGAGTGGACGTGCCGGTGGGAGCGGCCGCGATGGTGATTTTGGCGCGTTCGAACTCGAGGCGCTCACCGGCTTGCGATGGCAAGAAAAGTCTCAAGGCGTGCACCACTTCACGCACATCGGCACCGGCTTCACCTTCCGACTCAGCGCCGCCGAGGGCGAAGACGGCGAACCCACGGGCGAGGATCCTATGCGTCCGCCGAAACCCGGTCGTCGCGTCGCCGACGAGGTCGCGTGCGTGCCGCTCGGTTTCGGCAACATCGAAGGTCTCGTGCCGAGCTTCCTCGCCGAGCCCATGGATTTCGACACCACCGACATGCCCGTGTTCACGTATAAATTACTCCAGGCCCTGCACACCGCCGCGCTGCAGCGCGCCGGTGTCTCCGCGCAGCGCGCAGCGTGATTCGTTCTTCAGTAATCGTAACCCAACCAATCTAGACCCGCCTCCGTCGCCGCTCGCGCGCCGCGACCAAATCCGCCAATCACGACCCTTGGAGCGCAACACCCAGGTGAAGAAAGACGATGCCGCAGATCCGCGCGCGCGCGCGCCATGTCCCGCGCCTCCACGAGCGATGCCGCCGCCGACGACCTCGACGCCGAGTCCCGCAACGTCAGCGGACTCATCTTCCAGATGACGACGCACGTGAGCGCCTTCAAGCGCGCCGTCGACGTCCTGGGCACGGGCAAGGACACGCGAGAATTGCGGGCGAAATTACACGAACAGCGGGAAAAACTGGGCGTCATGGCGCGAGACGCGTCGTTAGCGGTGAAGCGATTGGCGCAGGCGGTCACGAACGCGGTGGACGTGGACGATGAGGATAAGGCGGAGCACGTGGCGAAGCATCAAAAGTTGGTGAAGGATTTTCACGCCGTTTTAAAGGATTTTCAAAAGGCGCAGAGGACGTGCGCGGAGCGAGAGTCGACGTTCTTACCGCAAAAGGGCAAGGGAAAGACGAGTTACGGTACCATGGACGAGGAGTCGGGCGAGGGCGAGGCGGCGTATCAGGATACGCAGCAATTGATGCAGCAGCAGCAACAGCGAAGCGACTTTGCGCAGGTGGACGGCGAGCTCGAGTATAATAACGCGTTGATCGAAGAGCGCGAACGAGGGATCATGGAGATTCAGCAACAGATCGGAGAAGTAAATGAGATATTTCAAGACCTCGCGGTGTTGGTGAACGAACAAGGGTCGATGATTGACGACATCGAGGCGAACATTGTGAGCACGGCGGTGCGCACAAAGGACGCGCAAAAAGAACTCACCAAGGCGGACAAGTCGCAGCGCGCGGCGAGAAATCGCCTGATCTGCATCGTCATCGCAGTTTTGGTGTCGCTCATCGTGCTCATCTTGTTCCTGCTCCAGTAGTCGTCGTGTAACACTAAACAATCTCTTCCAGCCTCGTCTCCAGCCTCGCCTCGACGTGCACACACGCGCGCGGCGCCAATGAAACGAGGCGTCTATCGCTCGGGTAACGCCTCGAAGGGATGAATAACAACAGATGTAATGCACTACACAGAATTTTACGAGTCGCGCTCTACACGTATAAACGCGCCTCCTCGATCGTCGCGTAGCCTTTCGGAATTTTTGATAGCGAACGCACGGCATGATTGAACTCGTCGATCAATGTTTTGATGAGACCGAGTCGCTTTTCGGTCAACGCACGAGGTTTGAAGAAAGTCTGCAGCTGAAGACCCTTGGCACCGTCGTCCCACTCGGGCGGGGGGGGGATTTCTTGAAGAATGTAAGGACCTTCACCGTATTGGCCTTCTAGGTACGACCGCTTGTCGAATTTCCAAATAAATTCTTCGTTTTTGTCGTAGATCTCCGACCCCCACGTGTAGTGAAGGATGAACGCGTTACCGAGCTCGAAGTCGGCGGGCGGCTGCGCCATGAGGAGACTCTCCGGGCACTCCGAGAGCTCGTGCTCGATGCCAGTGGCTAATGCGGCGAGATCGTACGCGTACATGTCGCGCACCCAACCTAACTCTTTACGAACTGACTCCGGAGATTCAGTTTCGTTCACGAAGCGCGCCCAAAGCGGTGCAATTTTCCTCAAATCGACCGTGTTCACGACGGACGGCGCGTTGCCTGTGGGGGGCATCTTTTTCCCATCCGCAAAATATTCAGGATACATCTTCTTCAGTCTCGATTGTTGCGGGTTCATGTACCCGAACTTGAAGCCCATGGCTTGACCGCGCGGCATCAAAATTTCGGGCGATGGTGATTTCACGATGATGTGATCCGTCTCCACCATAACGACGTGCGAGCATCGCTCCGAGTCTGCCGTTTCCAACCATTGCTCGACAGCCTTGGAGCGATCGGCGACGGGATAGTCACACCATCCGTCGCATTTCGCTTGAACTGGATTGAATCGCATGGTCGGAATCTCGTGCATCAACTCATCTTCCCGTCCTTTGTGCAAGATGCGAGTAAACGCCTTCATGATGCTCCCGTCCTCGGCGGCGTGTCTGAGGTAACTCGAGTACATCACTCGTGATTGCCAGTTCATGTACACGTTGCCGTTGCTTGTCATCACGACGTGCAAGCACTTTGGCAAGTCTGTTTTCCCAGTAGCGGACTCATACTTGGGCGCGATTGTGTTTTTCGGCAAATCAAACCAACCAGACGTCCACGGCACGCCCGGTCCTTCGTTGGCGGGTTTCGCCGCGGCGGGATTTTCATCAAACTTTAACCAGCACGCTTTGCTTGACGCACTGTAAACCCACACCGAACATCGATTCGCCCCATTCGCGTTCATCTTTGCGCACGAATCACAGCACGCAGCGGCGTCTGGCTGTTTATTAGCGTTCCCATCTTTCACTACGCCGCCCCAAAGCTCGGTGTTCTCTTTCCCGTTGCACGTCATCGATACTTCACTCGTCGCCTTGACGGATGATTGAGCCAAGTTTTTAAGCAACGGATCCGAGTTTGTGGCGCTATCGGTGGCGATCTTTACACGTACGTCGGCGATATCTTTCGATGAATTGTCGATTTTCGCCGCGCTCCCTTCGTCGGCGCCGTCTGCTATTTCCTTCGACTCCTCATCGTCCATCGTCGCCTCATCACCCTCACCCATGCGTGCTTTATTCTTACCCACAACCTTGGCCACTTCTGCGACGTCACTCATGGCTTTCTCCCCGAAAACTTCCTCCACCTCCTTCGCGCCGGTATCCGTCGGGACTCGCTTCGTCTTACCGCTCCCCGGTATCGCCACCTTCTCCTGCACCTTTTCCAGCAGCACATCCGTCTCGATCGCTTCCCTCGCCTCCACCGCCTGCCTTTTCTCTTCCTCAGCCCTGGACGCTTCCGCCTTCGCCGCGGCTAATCGCGCTCGCGTCTCTTCGTGCGCCGCCGTCTCCTCCACCGCCTTGGCCGTCGCCGCCGTCGCCGTCACGAGTTCCTCCTCCAACTCCCGCGCTCGCGCCTTCATCGCCTCCAAGCTCGCCCGCATTTCGCTTACCTCGAGCGATCGCATCGATTCTCGCGCGATCGAGCGCGAAATGCTCACAGACACGGCGATCACGGCGCCGATCAGCACGATGAGCGGCAACCGGGACAGGCGAAACGGGATCCCATACGCGCCGTTTTGCGCGCTGAAAGCGCCGTGCGCGCGCGGTGGAGCGTACCTACGCGCGTGCGCCATGGCTTTCTATCACCCGACCGAGTGCGGGCGTCTGAGCGCGCGCGCGCGCGATGCGGTGTGTCGTTCTCCGCGCGATGAGGATCTCGAGAACGTCAGTCTAATCAGTCACATCCTTTCCGAAGGACGAGGACGCGAGCGACGCGAGCGCGACGCGCGAACGATGACTTTAATGGTTCTCAAATTGAGCGCGTCAAAACTGTGTGTCTTTGACAAGAATTATCTTATGTTTGCTAAGAGACACGACGGCGTCGGCGAAAACGCCAAACACCTCGCCACTTAGACTTAGATTTGCGCTTGGATCATGTCCGCCGCTTCTTGAACGGTGGCGATCTTCTCGGCACCTTCCTCATCGAGCGTGATTTCGAATTGCTCTTCGAGCGCCATCATGATTTCGACGGTGTCGAGAGAATCCGCGCCCAAGTCGACGAACTTGGCGTCCGCCGCGACGGCGTCGAGCTCCGTGCCGAGTTGTTCGGAGATGATGCCGCGAACCTTGTCGAGCGTGTCTTGGCTCTGCGCGCGCGAAGGACAAACCAAACGCCACCTCAGTCAGTCATTGCGCGCCGAATCACGCGTCCGCGATCGCCGCGTCGCGCCCGTCTCGCGTCTCTCGCGCGCGTTATCCGAAGCGTTCAAACGCCTAGGTTTGCCTTCGCTTCGCTCGCACGCACCGCCGCCGCGTTCACGGAGAACTTCACCGCGGAGCACTGCACCGGGCGCGCCGCGAACGCCTTCGTCGGGCGAGCGCGGAATTGCACCTGCGCGCGCGCGCGATCGCGCGTTCGTCAGTCCCTCGCGTCTCGCGTCCCAACCCCGATCCACCGCCCGTTCCCTCGGCGCGCGCGCGATCGCGCGCCGCTCGTCCCGCGACCGCGCGACCTCCCGCATCGCGCGCCCGCCCGCCGCGAACGATTCTTTCCCATCGTTCGCGCGTCCGCGATCGCGCGTCCGCGCGTCCGCGCGCGCGAGACGCGCCCGCGCGTCCTCGAACACCCGCGAGATACTCGCGCGCGTCCGCGGACCGATCGCGCGTCGCGTCGCTCGCGCGTCGCGTCGCGCGCACCTTGGCCGAGGCCTTGGCGGACATGGAGGTGGTGAAGATCGCGGACATTTTCGTCGGGCGTGCGTGCGCGTGGATGTGTCGCGCGCGCGGACGCGCGCGCGCGATTCGAAAAGCGCGCGCGACCGGCCGCGTCAGCGTCGCCGGATTTAGCGTCGCGGCGCGGCGTCGATGGTTCGCATTCGAACGCGCGCGAACGGGATGTAAAGATCGCGCGGTGATATAAAGGCCCGTCTTTGATTGTGCATGTGTCGATACACCGCGCGCGTATGGGTAAACAGTCCCGACGCGACCTCGACCGCGGGATCTCGATCGGATAACGCGCGCGCGACGCGCGCACACGCGCGCGCGCGATGGCGCACGCGCGCGCGACGGCGACGCGAGGCGCGATGACGACGGCGCGCGCGTCGACGCGACGCGCGCGCGCGACGCGCGCGGTCGCGCGCGCGACGAACGCGCGCGGGACGGGCGTCGGGACGGCGCGGCGCGGGCGACCGCGGAAGGAGATCGCGCGCGGCGACGCGGACGGGGTGCGGGAACTGCTGGCGACGATCGAGGTGCGGTTTCCCGAGGTCGTGGCGAGCGGGGGGGAGGGCGCGACGCCGGGAGGAGGCGGGACGAGGGCGACGAAGCGCGGCGACGACGAGGACGACGCGGAGGCGAGCGCGGAGACGGCCGCGGAGACGCGCGCGGAGGAGGAGGCGCGACGGACGTCGATGGCGGCGTCGAAGGTGGGTGAACGGCGGAGCGCGGAGTCGAGGAAGAAGATCGCGGCGGCGCAGCGCGAGCGGTGGCGCGCGGCGCGCGCGGCGGCGGGCGCGGCGGCGACGTCGTCTTTGGCGGAGATCGCGGAGAGTTCAACCGTGAAGAATGCGGGGACGGCGCAGCAAAGACAGCAAGCGGCGGAGAGGGAGCGCACGGCGAAGCTGACGAAGCTGATCGCGATGAAAAAGTCGACGACGCGGGCGGAGAAGGTTGCGTCGTCCACTGTCAAGGTGAATCAGTTTTCGTACGAACTCAGCGCGTACACCAGGCTCAGGAACGAGCTCGCGAGCTGGAGCGATGGATTCGAGCAGGCCAAGGGTCGTCGACCGAATTTTAAGGATGTGCAGAACACGCGCATTCCTTGGTTGATTGAATCGTTTCAAGAGTACGTTCGCCTGCGCAACAAGCTCATCTCCGAGACGCCAAACATTCGAGGGGAGGTTGGCAAATTAGCAAAAGCCACGCTCCCTGCGCCGAGATCTGTGCCCAAGGGGGAGCTGCGTCTATCCATCGACGACGACGACGTCGGGGCGACGACTAGGCGCGGCGACGACGAAGACGGCGACTCAAACTGGTCCATTTTCAACTTTACGCGTTGACGGAGAAGCGTCGTGTAGATAATTTTAGCAGCCCGCGTGTGTTTAGCATATTAAATGTACACTTTCACTTGTTTCAGATGATCGTTAAGCGGTGAGAGCGAACGCCGCCGCGTCGCGTTGATAAATGTGACGTGATGTAAAGCTAAACGTGTTGGTAAATGAAGGATTAAAATGAAGCCTGCGCGTAGTTATGCGTTGAAGAAACAATTTACATGATGGGTTGCGCCTCGAGATCGAAAAGACTCGATCCGATGACGTTGCACCTTCGCATTTGTCCCGGTTCGATCGGAGGCAAGCCCTTGGACTTGTCCTCGGTGACGAAAACCACGGGGTCAATATCCGGCGCCTCGAGCGTGGTACGCCCGATGAACGCCTGCATATCTTCGTCCCAATTATCTATTAACACATCCACGTCCTTTCCGACGCGGCTCATCGCAAAGTCTTCGCTGATCTCTTGCTGTTGCGACACGAGCTGGTCGCGACGAATCGCGCGAATTTCCTCCGGAACTTGGTCCGGGTATTCCATCGCCGGCGTACCATCCTCTTCGCTGTACGCAAACGCACCGAGTCGTTCAAATTTGAAATCACGGCAAAATTGCATTAGTTCTTCGTGTTCTTCCTCGGTTTCTCCCGGGAATCCGCTGATGAAGGTTGTGCGAAGCGCTAAATCCGGAATTCGGTCTCGCAGCTTGTACAACAAATCCTCCGTGTGCTGCCGAGGCGGCCTATTCATTCGCAATAGCGACAAGTTTGTGATGTGCTGAAGCGGAATATCGATATATTTGCACACTTGCGGAACATCCGCGATGGCTCGGATGAGCTCGTCGGAAAAGTACGACGGATACGCGTACAGGATGCGCATCCACTCGATGCCCTCGACCTCGGCGAGCGCGTACAAGAGCTCGGCCAACCCGCGTCCATCGCTCGCTCTCAAGTCGATGCCCCACTGATTCGTATCTTCTGCGATCAAGTTAAGCTCACGAACTCCCGAATCCGCCAACGCCTTCGCTTCGTCGATGATTGACTGCCACGGCTTGGACCGAAACCTCCCGCGAAAGCTCGGAATCGCGCAAAAAGTGCACTTGTGATCGCACCCTTCCGCCACTCTCAGATACGCCGTGTGTCTCGGCGTGATCCTCAACCGTTTTATCTCTTCTCTAAACGGCGGGCTCGCCCCTCCCACCTGCACCCGCGCTTGCTGCGGCGCGATCAACCCGTTCGTCTCCACGCCGAGCAACCCCCCCACGGTTTTCGGCAGATTGGCGTAATTCTCAAACCCCACGATCACGTCCGCCTCCGGCAGCTCGTTCGCCAGATCGTTCGCGTACCGCTGCGCCAAGCATCCCGTCACGATGATCTTCTTGCTCCCGTTCGCCAGCTGCGACGCCTCCAGGATCGCCTCCACGCTCTCGTTCTTCGCGTCCTCCACGAATCCGCACGAGTTGATGACGATCGCGTCCGCGCTCTCGTGATCGTCCGTCACGTCGAATCCCGCGCCGTGCAGATCCCCCAGCATCACCTCCCCGTCCACCGTGTTCTTCGGGCACCCCAGGCTGACCATCGAGACGCGCTTCCGTCGCGAATCGCTCGCCGCGTCGGCGCCGCCGGTTCCGGTTTCCGACGGTTCCGCGATCGACCGCGGCGTCGTTCGCGTCGCGCGCGTCTTTCGGCGGTCGCGACGCCGCGTCCGAGATTCCGCGCGCGTCGGCGCGCGCGCGCGCGTCGAGAGCGGCGTCGACATGGCGACGCGAGCGCGTGTGCGGCGCGCGAATCGCGAAACCTCAGTCGGGACAACGTCACAGTGTCGCGCGGTGCGAAAACTTTGCGTCGTTTTCTGCGCATTTAGTGACGCGTGAGCCCATGAGTGGGAAAACCGCGAGACCCGTGGGGTGTGGCGCGCGCGCGCGTCGGGGGGGGGTCGGACGAATCACGATTCGAGGGTTGGGTGCGTAGTTAACAGGCGATTGGACTATGATATTGACGCGCGGCGGCGGCGCGGCTGCGCGGCTACGCGCGCGCGTAGCGATAGACGCCGGACCACTCGTCGCCGCCGTCGAGGGTGACGCGGACGTCGCGGACGAGCGCGCCGTCGTCGTCGACGCGGAAGGTTTCCGTCTGGCGACCGGCGAGAGGGTCGGACCAGGCGATGGAGAGGACGACGACGTCGGCGTCGGCGGAGACGACGCCGGTTTGGTCGCCCGAGCGCAAGTCCCGACGAGGGGTCGCGGTCGGGGTGCCGTCGATCGGGTACGACTCTTCGATGGAGATGATGCCGGCGTTGGAGGCGACGGACCAGGACGTGGGCGTCGGGCGGGAGACGCGCAGGTAGTTGAGCAAACCGGCGGCTTGACGGAAGACGACGTTCATGTCCATGATGTCCATCAAAGGCTCTTCGTCGGGGCACTCGGCGGAGATTTTGCGCCAGTAACCCACGGTTTTGTCGAAAGCTTCGGTGGAGATCGGCTCGGACGCCGCTGGCGTCGCGGCGACGGGTTCGACGGGCACGGGCACCGGGGTCGGCGCGCGCTTGGGCACGTCCGGAGCCTGGGCGCCGTACGTCGTCTCTGGCGCCGTGTACGACGCCGACATCGTGCTGCTAGACATTATCGCATCGGCAGCCATGTTTTCGAAGTTTTCTTCCGCGCTCGGTTCCGCCTTGGCGGCGGACGCGGACGCGCTCGCGGACGCGCTCGCGGCGTCCGTCTCGCCGACGTCCATCCCCGCCATCGCCGCCGCCACCGCATCCGCCGCCGCGTTCACCGCATCATCGTTGAATTCATCATCGTGACTCACGCCCTCGCCCTCGCCCTCGCCTCGCGCGCGTTCCGTCGATCCTTCGCGCTCCGCGTACTCCACCGCCGGCGCGAGATACTTTTCGTACACCTCCTCCGGCAGCGTCCCCTTCACCATCTCCCGCACCGGCGCCGTCGCCTTCACCCCGATCGCCTCCAACCGATCGATCTCTTCCTCCGTGCGCCTCTGAATGTCACCCAGCACGTCGTTCGAGCTTCCGAGCTTCCGAGCGAAATCCGCGACGTCCCGGAACCCGTCCTCGGGCCCGCGCGACAGCCGTTCCAGCACATCGCTCGCGATCCCGATCGCCAGTCTCGGCGCCACGAACGGCACGTGCGTCGCGTCCGCTTTCGCCCTCGCCGTCGCCGACGTCAGGCTCGCGCTTCGTTCGCCTCCGCGCGGCGCTTCCGCGCGAAAATCACGCTCGTACTCCAGACCTCCGTCCTCGTCCTCGTCCTCGTCCGCCGTTTTCGCCGCGCTCGCGCTCGGTATGGGCACGATCTTGCGCTTCGGCCCTCGGCGCGAGCCCGGGCTTCGTCGCAGCTCGTTCGCCGCGCCTCGAGACGCGCTCTCCGCGCGCACGGTGAAGGATCTCATCGTCGACGCGCGTCGCCTTGTGACGTCATTCCAACGCTCGACATGCCTTGCCTCGTCGCGCGCGCCGCCGCGAGCCCGCGCGCGACGCCGAAGACGCCGATCGCGACGTCCACGACGCGCCGACGCGCGACCGCGACGCGCGCGCGCGCGGGCGACGACGCGAACGCGTCGCGAAACCGCCGTGACTTTGTGCTGTCGACGACGACGCTCGCCGCGGCGTCCCTCGCGTCGCGCGGCGCGCGCGCCGAGGACGAGCAGAAGACATGCGCGACTAAAGACACCGCGCCGCTGCTGTGCGCGCTGAACGTGACGGATAAGGTGTACTTTGACGTCACCATCGGCGACGCGCCGGCGGGACGCGTCGTCATCGGTTTGTTCGGCGAAGAAGCGCCGAAGACGGTGGCGAATTTCAAAGCGCTCGCGACGGGAGAGAAGGGATTCGGGTACGAGAATTCAATCTTCCATCGCGTGATCCCGAATTTCATGCTGCAGGGTGGGGATTTCCAACGCGGCGACGGCCGCGGCGGCTATTCGATTTACGGCGGCAAGTTCGAGGACGAGACGTTCGCGATTCCGCACGTCGGACCGGGGGTGCTGTCGATGGCCAACGCCGGCCCGAACACGAACGGTTCGCAATTTTTTATCACCACCGCGGCGACGCCGTGGTTAAACGGCAAGCACGTCGTGTTCGGGAACGTCGTGGAGGGGATGGACGTGGTCCGCGCCATCGAAGCCAACCCGACGGCGCGCGGCGACCGCCCGGTCAAGGAGGTCAAGATCGTCAAGTCCGGCGTGCTTTGATTTCGCTTCGAATCGCGAATCGCGTAGATTTTGTTTTGTGACCCATCATCGCCGATGAGTTCGCGTTGAAGACTTCGCTTTCGCGCGTTTTAACGAGTCGTCGCCTCGCGACCTCGTCGCCGCCTCGTCGCCGCCTCGCGCCGCACAACTTCGCGCGCACGCATCGCGCGCGCACGAGCGTTCGCACGTCTCGGCGCGCGATCGCGCGTGATGTCTTCACACGTCCCTCTGGACGCGCTGTTGCCGCTCGCGGCGTCCCCGGCGACGCGTAAATCGTCGAAAACGTCGCGCGCGCGGCGTGCCGACGCATCGCCGAGCGCGACGAAAACGCGCGCGCTCGACGCGAACGCGGACGTGCAAGCCGTGGTGGGGAAACGCAAGCGCGCGAAAGACGTCAAGACCGCAGAAAATGAGCGCGCGGTGCTGGCGAAGACGCGGACGCGGAAGAAAAGTCGCGATGGGCAAAAGAAGAAGATCTCTCGGCGCGGCGACGGCGAACGCGGCGACGGCGAACGAGCGAACGCGACGGCGAACGAGCGCGGCGCGCGAGCGAAGACGAAGAGGGTGAAAACGAAAAGTGAGACAAAAAAGAAGGATAAGATCGAGCAGAACGTCGAGTCGATCGGTCGGGGGGTGGAGACGACGTCGACGAGCGGGAAGGCGAGAGAGCGCGGTGGCGGCGAAAGGGGCGAACGAGGGGGGAAGCCGACGCGCGTTAGCGATGGACACGATGGTCGAGGAGCGAAGAAGACGTCTGAAAATAATTGTGGACGCGATGGACGCGCGAATCGCGAGGGTCGAGGTGGACAGGACGCGGGAGAGGGCGAGGGCGGCGACGGGGCCTGGGACGGGTTTTACGAGGACGACGACGACTACGACGACGGCGACGACTCCGAGAACGACTCTGAAGATGAATCTGGGGATGGCGAGGACGAGAGCGATGATGAAGACGACGAAGAAGACGACGAGGACGACGAGGATATGGATCACGAGATGGATGATGATATGGACGAGTTACGAGACGCCATGGACCGAGACGACCCAGAGGCTGGCTTGCGAGCGCTCTTGCGGCGTCTGGGCAACGCGGCGGCCGCCAGCGGGGCGGGTGGAGGATTGTTTCGTCAAAGTTCGAGCAAATTGAAAGAGATCTTACGCGGTTTGAAACAAATGGACGATCCCTCGGCGCAAATGGCGGCTTTGAGCGAGCTCAACGAGGTCTTGGTGATTTCGGGGGAGGAGTTGATGATGAGCATGCCCCTCGATTCCTTTGTTCCGGCTTTGATCGAGTTGATGACGATGGAGTATATGCCAGACATTATGCTCCTCGCCGCACGCGCACTGACGACGATGGCGGACGTGATGCCTCCCTCACGAGGAGCCATCGTTCATCACGGCGCGTTGCCCCAGTTTTGCTCGCGTTTGCTCACAATTGAGTACATCGATCTCGCCGAGCAGTCACTGCAGGCGTTGGAAAAGCTGAGTCAAGATTACGGCGCAGAATGCGCGCGACAAGGCGCTCTGATCGCTTGCTTGTCGTATTTGGACTTTTTCTCCATCGGCATGCAACGTGTAAGCTTGCAGACTGCGGCGAACATTTGTCGACAGCTTCCGAGCTCAGCCTTGGACGGTGCTATGGACGCCGTGCCAATCTTAGCAAACCTTTTATCTCACGACGATCCTCGTCTGGTAGACTGCGCGTGCACATGCTTGACGAATTTGGCTGCGAAAATGGCGAAAGATTCTGAAACTCGAATCGTTCGTTTGTGTGAGAGCGGTGTCGTGGCGAACGTCGTGAATCTCATCGCCCCGCACTCGGTGCGTTCAGTCAATCCGGCGACGCATCACTCGCTCATCAAGCTACTGAACGTTTGCACAGTGCACAATCCCGATGTCGCCATCGAACTTCTTCGACAAGGTTTACCAGAAACTTTATCTGTCGCACTATCTGGATGCAAGGTTCTCACGACGATGAACACTGGTCCATCGTCAGCGTCTCCCGCGAGCAGCGGTTTGGCTTCGCCAATCGTGACTTCGGAGCAGTTGCTCGAGGTTGCCACGCTCGCCGATGCTTTGTTACCGGCTGTTGGTCCACGGATGCGATCGTCACCGCGTTCTGGGAATAAGCGCGAGAAGGATGCGTCACTGTGCGAGAAGAATGTTCCAGTGTTGACCAAGCAAGAACCAGAGTTATTGGTCAAGTACGCGAAGCACCTGACGAACGTCTTGATGCAAGCGGTTGACTCTAGCGTGCCTCAGGCAGTCAAGGTGAAGTGTTTATCCGCTCTCACGAAGTGGACGCAGCTTTCGACGGACGATTCTTTCAAGAATGTCTTAGAGACGACTTCTTTCGCGGCCTTTTGCTCCGCTCAGCTCTCGTGCAAGGATGCGCAGCGAATTCAAGGCTGCTTGGACCTCGTGGAATCTGGGATGGGAAAAAAGATGGTAGACATGGCCAAATTACTCCGAAAGGAGGGCGCCGTACACGCGTTGAAGAAACTATCCGAAGAGTACGAACGACTCTCAGACGTCATGGACAAGTCCACATCTACAAAAGAACGAGCAAGAGATACGACAAAGACTCCCGTTGGACTCGTTCCAGCGCTCGGCGGTGGCTCGCGAGGCATCGCCGCGCGCGCGGCGGCTATGACGACGGATGGTCCGGAATATCGAGAAGCACTGGCACGTGCAAGGCAAGTGTATGAAAAGTTTTTCGTCAATGCGGAGCAGTTAGCTGACGCGGAAGATCCAAGTGTGGATCGTCTACGACGAGCAAGCGCGACCCTGCGAATGACTGGCGACGCCACCTCTGTGGTTGAGTTCTTAGAGTCTGTCTCCAATGCCAGTACGTTCGAGCTTTTAGAGAGCGATGCCGTTACCGCACTTAGAGAGTATCTTGTTCCGCGAGATTGGAAGGATACGCGAGCGCTCGTGAGAAGGTATGCGACATTCATCAAGGCAGCCGGACGTACAAAAAATACAGGCGCGTTTGCAAGCCTGATTAGGCATCTTTCAGACGCTTTGGCATCGTGCGAAGACTTGTCGATCGCTGTGACGACGATTCAACCGTCGTTCGCTCGACGTGGTCGCGATAGCTCCGGAGATGACTCCAATCTTGCTGGCTTAGTCCGACCGTTCAAGGTGAGATTCAAGCGCGCGAATCAGGGCGCGGAGAATTTCACCGATTACTCAAACAACGTCGTGTTGGTGGAGCCATTCGCGACGCTGAGCGCGATTGAAGACTTCTTGTATCCTCGTGTGTATAAATTGAGAGGTGCTCCTGCGCCACCTCGAAGGTCGTCTCGGTTATCGCCCCCGCCAGAGATGGAGCATGACGACGACGAGGATGACGAGGATGACGACGAGGATGAGGAAATGAGCGAGGACGACGAGGATGCCGTTTTGGGAGACGATGGAGAGGCAGATGGTCGAGAATTGGATTTGACGAACGAAGATATTCAACAGGAAGATCCACAACTGGAAGATGATGCGCAGGAACCGAATCGATCAGACTCTTTCGCAGCTCGAGCTGCCGCTGCAAACGAGACAAATCGACTCGTGTTCTCAGTGAATGGCGAAGAGTTGAACTCGGCGACGACGCTGCTGCAAGCTATCTCCACGATCGCGCGCAAGGAAGGAATGACGATGACTGAAACGAACTGGGAAAAGACAAATACGATTGTGTATCGGGCCGCAAAGTCCTCGGATATCGTTCCCATGCCTCTGCAACTCGGCGGCGTGGTGGACGACTCAAAGGACGACGCGACGAAGATGAATGAAACCATTGCTGAGTTAGGCAATAGCGAATACAGAGCGGCGCTTGGCTCTCTTGTTCCCGCTCTCTGCGATAGGTTGAAAGTTGCCGTGGCGAACGAAGATGCGTCTCCGCAGTTCAATGACCTTCTCGTCGTCTTGAGCGTCTTGCACGAAATGAGCACTTCAGCGTCTCGCATTTTACTCTTGGACGGCGACGAACCGCTCGTTACGGCTCGCAATGTTTCGTTGCCTGAAGAATCGTTCATTCATGGAAAGCTCACTGGAAAGCTCGCGCGTCAGTTGCAAGATACTTTGACGCTTTGCGGGTCAGCGACGCCGACGTGGTGCACTGCACTCGCTCGAGTCTGCCCTTGGTTGTTCCCTTTCGAGCTTCGTCACAAGCTCTTCAAATGCGTCTCCTTTTCTCTGTCTCGCACGCTCCATCACCTCCATGGCAATGGGAGCGATAGTGGGGCGGTAACTACAGATGGTGGACGCGAAATTCGAATCGGTCGTTTACAGCGACAAAAAGTCCGAGTGAATCGAGGGCAAATCTTCGAAAGCGCAAAGAAGGTGTTCGACATTCCAAACACGCTCAAGATGGTGCTAGAGGTCGAGTTTTTCGAAGAGGTGGGCACTGGTACTGGACCAACGCTTGAGTTCTTCACCTTGCTATCGAAGCAGTTCAAGCGTCGCAAGTTGAATCTCTGGCGGGACTCTGGTGTGGCAAACGAGGATGATCTCGTCGTAGCTCCTCACGGTTTGTTCCCGGCGCCAATCACCCCGCCTCGGCTCGGCGGCAAGACTCACGCAAGTCGTCTGAAGAACTTCAAACTTCTTGGTCAATCGATAGGCAAAGTTTTACAAGATGGTCGAATGCTAGATTTACCTCTGGCGCCGGCGTTTTATCGAATGCTTCTCGGGCGATCGCTGGGACTCCACGATCTCATCGAAATTGATCCTGGTCTCGGAAACACGTTGCGACGACTCGACGCAGCCGCGAATGAGATCGAGACCATGAAGCGCGAAGGTCGACCCGAAAGTGAATGGAGAAACGTCACTGTTGACGGAGTGAATATCGAAGACCTGTGTCTCACGTTTGTCATCCCGGGAGCTTCCATGGAACTCATCAAGGGTGGTTCGGAAGTTGGCGTGAACGAGGTCAACTTGCGAGAGTACGTGGACACCATCGTCGACGCGTGCGTAGGATCTGGCGTCGCGGCTTATTTTGAATCAGTTCGTACTGGTTTGGAACAAGTCGTTCCTCTCGCTAGGCTGCAGATGTTCAACGAAAGCGAACTGGAAGCAGTCATTTGCGGACAAGGTGAACAGTGGACGCCAGAAATGCTCACCGAGTGCATTACTTTTGATCACGGCTACAATGCGCTTTCTCCGCCGATCAAGAACTTCTGTGACATTCTCAGTGCTTTCACGCCGAATCAACAACGGTCATTCATGCGATTCGTCACTGGTGCACCGAGGCTTCCTCCTGGCGGCCTAGCGTCACTTCAACCGCGTCTCACTGTGGTTTGCAAGCAACCTTCCTCAACGGTTGGTTTGTCATCCATCGACTCTGCTCCCGTCGCGGCCGGAACGCCGCTGGCGGACGGCGACTTGCCTTCTGCGATGACTTGCGCGAGTTACTTAAAGCTTCCGCCGTACTCATGCAAGGAAATCATGCTGGAACGTTTAACTTACGCGATGAGCGAGGGGCAAGGAAGCTTTGATCTCTCCTAAAGATGAGATTCTCACAACGCTACTTTACGCTAGCTTTTTTAGACGAGATTCGTAGAGACTGTAAACATTGTACAATGCTGCGTTTCGTAATCAAGATTGATTTTCCCAGTTCGCATACCTTCCTGGCTGGTTTTGCCAATGAGGAGGCGGGGGTTGAGCGCCATAGGCGGGCGAAGGATACGCGGGGGCCGAAGGATGGTAGTACTGTTGCGGCGGAGGCGGCGGCTGGTGAAAGTGCATCTGGTTCATTTGAGTAGCCATCTGCGCCGCACGCTCGTCAGCGCGTGCTTTTTGAACGCGCAGCTCTTCGGCGATCGCTTCTTTTTCCAGTCGACGCGCACTCGCGTACTCTTGAACGTCCGTCAGCGTGCGACGCGCTGCGTCAAGAAATCCCGAATAGAATCGAACGCCTTGCTCCATTCCTGAGCGCAAATCGCCGACAATAGACAATGCGTGGCGTACGCTATGCTCGTGCGATTCAACATCCCGTCGTAGTGCTTCAATGTCGTAAATCGTGACGAACTTTTCGTGCAACGTGCGCAAACGAGAGAGCGCGTCCGCTTGCTTTGAAATGTTGAGCATAACGCCATCCTTACTTTGGTCGTATTTCTTCATCTCTTCTTTGAAAAGAGCGTCGAGACTTTCGCCCGATTGCGCCATGAGCTTTGTGAGGATGTTGTCTTCCGACTTTGTCTTACGCATCAACTCTTCGATCCCAGCTCGCTCGTTTCCGATGGCTTCGAGATCTTCCAAAGTTGCTTGCATTTCCGACGCCACGGAGGCGTCATCCTCCAAGAGCGCCAAGGGTTGAGTCAACGTCGGCGCGTTATTCTTGATGTTCTCCTCAGAAAGCACCTCCAGCACGCCTCCAGCGCCTTCAAGGCGTTCTTTAAGTTGGGTATCGCTCTTCGTCGCGACTTCTAAATCGACCTCGTAGCGCTTCAACACTTGCATCATTTCTCTATTTTTGGACGACGACGCTTCCCGACGCCACGCGCCTTCGCCGTGGACAGCGCGCGATGCGGCATCTTCCGCGGCCTCTGTGTCCAAAGTCTCACGAATTGTTTGCACGATATTTGAGCATTGACGATTGAGCTCGTCCACGCGAGAGAGACTTGCCGATAACGCACCCGCGCCCCCGGATGAGCGGAATGCGCCGACTCGTTCTTCTAAATCGCCGCCGAGCGGTACGGGCGTCGACAAAGCGATGAGAGTTTCGGGAAGCTCCATCTCGCGCAAAGCCACGCGGGCTTCGTCACTAGCCATAGCGAGCGTGTCGGTTTCGTTTCGAATCAATTCATCCACCATCTCGGTGTACCGACTCAGTGCCTTGGCGCCGCTGTCGGGAACGATGCTTTGGAAGAGCTTCACGTCGACTGGAGAGAGATGTTCGGCGGGCGGTTGAATTGGTTTCACCATGTTCGCTGCCGCGAGCGCGGGCAAATCCTCAAACTTTGGCACGCGTTCCATGTACACGCACTCGTTATCGCGCTCGACAGCCTTGAGTTCGGGCGCGATGACTTCGTCTATAAATTTTTTCGTTCGCTCGAGTTCAGCGTCGCTCGACACGACGCGCGCGTCTCGAATCGTCTGCGCGAGTAAATCTCGCGCTTGACGCAATCTCGCGACAGCGGGTCCGACGTTTGTTTCGTCGGCGTCTAACACGATCTTTCCGGCGAGTCGAAACGCCTCCGCACCGACGTACGCGCGCTTGAAGTTCAAGTATTGCGTCAAGTCTTCGTCCAAGTACCCAACCAATTTCCCCGCCCCCTCCAACGCGTCTTCGTAGTACACTCGCGCCTGTTGCGCCAACTTCGAGACTATAGCGTGACTGCTCTTCTTTGCCTTTGCCTTTTCGTAAAAGCACTCTTGCGCTTGCCCCAAGTGAAGCTTGATCATCGTCTCACAAAAATCTCGCCCGACGTCGGCGCTCGCCGCAAACTGCCCGAGCTTTCGCTCGCTCACATCCGCCAACATCTCAAACGCTCCCGCGGACTGCTGAAACGCCGCACACGCGCGCTTTATCCCCTCATCCGACCTTCCCGCGTTCGCCTCTCGCGCCCCTCGCCTGGACAACGCCGCCGCGTAATTGTACAACACCGCGCACTTTTCGTACTCCGCGTCCCTCGACGCGATCGTCCCCGGCGCCGCCTTCACCCCTCGACCGACGTCGAACCACTCAAACTCCACCCTCGCGTGTCCCGCGCCCTCGGATATCGGTATCCTCGACTCCAACGCTCGCAGCGCGCGATAATACTCCGCGAACGCCTCGACGTCTTCGCTCCCTTCGTTCGCGCTCGTCGTCGCCGCGTCGCGCAGCCGCTGCGTCTCCGCGAAATCTCCCGCCGCGCCGTCGGCGTCGTCGGGCGAGAGCGCTTCGCTCGCGTGCGCGTGCAGCGCGCTCGCGATGTCCGTCGGGACGCCCTGCGCGTCGTTCGTATCTCGGTCAGTCGACGCTCGTCCCGTTCGCGCGTTCGTTCGCGCGTCGTCGCGCGTCGTCGTCGCGCGCGCGTCCGCGCACCCGCTTCGACGGCGCGCCGTAGTACATCGTCGACGTCGCGCCGCGGAGTGCGGCGGATCGCGGTCGTCGCGATGGGCACCGGCGCGCCGTGTAACGAATTTCGGACAAACGGAGCTATGTACAAACAGTAGCAATAACATTATAATTCTTCGTAACCGTCTCGTGTGCGCGCATGCTCCGTATAATAATAATAAAAATCACGATGATCGACGCCAGCGCTGGCGCCTCGACGCGATCGCATCGATCGAATCAATCGAACGCCTTGCACTCGATCGCGCCCGGATCGTCGGCGCAGAGCTGGTCCATGGGATCGGTCTTGGTCGTGCTCTGCGCCTGGGTCGTTCTCTGCGCCGCGGCGTGCATCGCGCGCGCGCCGGGGACGTCTTTTTCGATGGCGGCCCAATCGGCATCCGTCTTGGCCTGCGCCATGCGGTTCTTTTGATAGCCCGAGAGCGCGTCGTAGGACGCCGCGCGACAGCGAACGGCGCGGGAATGGGCGCGGTTGATGCGGAAGCGCGCGATCGGGGGGGCGACGGCGGACGCGAGGGCGAACATGGCGCGCTGAAGTGCGGCTCGCGGCGACATCGGCTACGGAGGCGAACGCTAGGCGCGGTAGCGCGTGAGATCGACGCCGTCCCAACGGTCGTCGACGGGCATGTCCAGGGCTAGGAACACGGTTTCGGCCCAGCCCTCGATGCCGGGGAGCTCGGGGTAGAAGACGTCGGGGAGCTCGCAGTTGGCGCACGCCTCGGCGGAGGTTTCGCCGATGCACACGTAGGCGGGCTGGAGCGCGCGCGCGTCGGCGGTGAGACGCTCGTACAGGGCGTCGCCGCAGAGCTCGACCCAGGCGCGAACGGCGCTGGGGCTTCCGAAAGTGACGACGTCGGCGCGCACGGCGGCGGCGACGTCCTCGGGGCTCAGTCGCTCGACGCGCTCGGTCGAGTACGTGTTCAGGCGCACCACCGTCGCCCCGCGCGCTTCTAATCCATCCTGCAGCGTCGTCGCCGCCTTCTTGCTCGCCGGGTACAGTATCAACGACCCCTGATCGCACGGTAACTCGGCCGCCATCGTCGCCGCCGTGGCTTTGCTCGGGGTGAACTGTTTATCCATCGCGAACGTCGTCGGCTCCGCCTTCGCGAGCACCTTCCCCGTCCCGGCGCCGACGACCGCCACTCGCACCCCGCTCGGCCTACCGGCCCTCTCGTACGCCTCTAAAAATACCTTCGCCGCCTCTGGACTCGTGACGCACACCCAATCCCAGCTCTCGCGCTTCAGCACGTCGGGAAACGTCGCCGCGTCTTCGCCCGGGACGGCTTCCACGAGCGGCAGCTCGACGCACCGCGCGCCTCTCGCGGCGAGCAGGTTCATCAGCGCGCCGTTCTTACCGCGCTCGCGCGTGCACACGACGGTTTTACCGTCGTACGACGAGGCGGCGGCGGTCGCTTCGGCGCGTCGCGCGCGCGGGCGCGCGCGAAGCGCGCGCGGGGACGACCTCGAGAGGTCGAGCGCGCGCGGTCGAGCGACGACGGCGGTGGACATGGCGACGCGCGAGACGCGCGCGAGACGCGCGCGAGAGACGCGTCGCGTCGACCGAGCGCGAACGCGACGGTCGCGCGCGCCGAGGTGTGCGGCGGGAAGGCGAACGCGGGGTTGGCTGCTACGTCTAGTCGTCGTTTCGTTCCGCTAATGATTGAGTGCGCTGACGCGCGGTCGTGGGGGGTGTTTTCGTCTAGGGTGATCGATGGTGGTCGTTCGCGCGCGGCGGACGGCGCGGCGTCATCGTCGACGCTTGCCCGGGGTCTCCGCGGACGACGCGCTCGCGCTCTTGTACAGACGCCCGCATTTGAGGAGTTCGCCGGCAATGTTTAAACCTTCGATGAAGCCGTCGATGTCGGCGATACCGAGGTTTAAATCGTCGGCCAGGGCGTGGAGGTCGCCGATGCTGAAGTAAGCCGAGTCGTTGGACGCCGTACGCGCGTTCATGGCTTCGATGAAGAGTTTCGTTTTGCTCCGCTTGGTTGATTTCCCGCCGGCGCGGTTGAAACGTAAACGCCCGTGCTGATCACTCAGTGCGTCGATGAGAGAAGCTTTGATGACTTCCACGGCGTCTTTGGCATCGTTTGCGGTGACCTCGGTTCGAAGTTCGAGGCGCGCGCGAGCCTCGGCGAGCCGCACAAGGGATTCGAGTTGGCGAGCTGTCACCGGCGTACCGTCGGCGGGCGCTCGAGAGCGCAGCTCGAGATAAAACGTTTGCAATATCTCGGCAGCCTCACCGGTGAGTCTGGGATGGCAGTACGCGTGAGCGTAAGAAATATACTTCCGCATGACGTCGTGCGACAGAATTTCCATGGCCTCGTCGACGACGCGCAAACGCGAACGTAGCGGAACGTACGGCGCGGCGTCGTCGCGCAAATCTTGCGTGAACGCGCGCTCTGTGGCGTCCTCCAACGCTCGTCCATCGGCATCTACCTCGTTATAGTATGCGTGCAAGTTTTGTCGCGCTTGTGCGCGACGCGCTTGGCTGTGTCTACCACTGTGCTGCGCGATGACGTGCTCGCTCAAGTGCTCGTCCAAGACTTCGTCGACGGTGTCCAACAAGATGAAAATCAAGTCGAATCGACTGAGTAACGGTGCGGACATTTTCAGATTTTCATTCACGGTTTTCCCGCGATTGTAATGCCCTTGCACGGGATTCGCCGCGGCGATGATGGACGTGCGCGCGGGAAGCGTGGCGTTGAGGCCGGCTTTGCACACCGAGACGCTCTGCTGCTCCATAGCTTCGAGTAAGGCTTGATGCTCGTTTGGCATCTTGTCAAACTCGTCGACGCAGCACACGCCTCGATCAGCGAGAACTACGGCACCCGCTTCGAACGTTTGCGCTCCGGTCCCCGGATCACGCACCACGGCCGCCGTGAGACCGGCGGCAGAGACGGTTCGACCGCACACGTAAATCGATCGCGGCGCGAGATTTGACACGGCTTTGAGCATTTGGCTCTTCCCGAGACCCGGATCGCCGACGACGAGGCAGTGTAAAGACCCACGGGTAGGGACTTTTCCACAACCGGTGACAGATTTGCGCACACCGCCAAAGAGGCAAAGCAAGAGTCCGAGCTTGACAACGTCGTGACCAAAGATTTGAGGGCACAGAGAGTGCACGAGCGTTCGCACGATTTCTTCCCCATCTTGCTGACTGAAATCTGCGATGAACTCTAAATCTTGTGTAGACAACGTCGGTGCCGTCGTCGTTTCTACGTCGTCTTCTCCGTTCGTTCGTGCCTGCTTGTCGCTCACTTTAAACCTTTTACTTCCCAATGTCGCGCCATCGTCCGCCACGGCTTCATCGTTCGCGGTTGCGTCCACGGTACCATTCGGGGCGTTCGCCGCACCGCCATTATTTTCATCGTTTCTACCAGATGCATCCTCGCTGTCACCTTTGCCACGCGACACTGTGCAAGACCATGCGTTCAAGTACAACTCGCTGAGCGCCTGGTTGCGTCCCCGAGCGAGCGCGCCGCCGCCGCCGCCGTCAACCGTATCGCTCTCCACGACCCCCAGCATCGTCACCACGTCTCCTGGGGCGCATGAATCCGTCAGTGCGCCTCGCAACTCGCAATCCATAAATCTCGGTACGCGTCCCTCCTCGCTCATCACCCCGTCGTCGGCGATTTCTTGTATTCGAACGCGTTGCGAATCCGCGCACTCCACGTTGCTCAACTCGTGCACAAACTTCTTCCCTCGACATCGCTCGGTCGAGCACACTAACGGCGGACGATATTTCCCATCCTTGAACGTGCACCTCGACCGCTCCTGACACGTCTGACACACAAACACCATGTGCGTCACCGCGGGCTTTATCGGCGCCGCGCGCGTCACCGTCCCTTTCAAACTCACCACTCGCCCGACCACGTTACTCCGCATCGCCGCGAATCTCACCTTGCTCTCCTCATAGTTCACTAATTTCACGCACGTCGTCATCGACGTCACGACGCGTAAATCACTCGCTGGAATCCCGTACGCGTCCTGCAGCCTCGCTCGTCCCTCCGCGCTCGCCAGCGTCGCCTCGTGCGCCGCGCAACGCAAGCACGCCATGCACTCCATCGGCGCGCACGTCAACGCCGCGTGTAAATCACTTATGTGTTGCGTCTTCTCCCGCAGCTTCGCGTAATCGATCGTCACCGCGATCGTTCCTTCGTCGAAGAGTTCCACCTGTCGCGCGCGCGTTCAAAATTGTCGTCAGTCATCTCATTCAAGACCTCGTCCGCGCGATCGCCTCGCCTCGTCGCTCGACGCACATCTCTCACGAACGCCTTCCCACTCGTCGACGCGAAGAACGTCGTGAGCGCCCGGCTCAGCTCGGCGCGGCGGTCGTTAAACTCGTAGGAAACGTCGGGAAAGTACGCGCGCCACGATTGCGGACACGCGCGCTGGGCGAGCGCGACGTCCTCTCCGGCGCCGTTCGACCGCGCGCGTTGCCCGGCGTCGTCCCCGGGCATCGCCTCGACCGGCGATCCGACGACGACGACGACGCGAAGTGACGTGTCGGGTGAGAAGGAGGCGCGCAGAGGCGCGCGCGTCGGTTTCGATTCGGCGACGTCGCCTCCTCCTCGCGCGAACGAATGGCGGGAAATATTAGCGTGACGCGTACGACGCGCGACGCGCGAATGGGCGCTACCGCGATGCGAGCGATGGGACGCCGACGATGGAGACGAGACGCGCGTTCGACGCGCGCGCCCGTCTCCTCCAATCATCTAGAGATTTAACTCGCTCACAAACATCCTAAGACGACGATAACCTTGTTTAAGACACGGTTTGCATCGCGTCCGCGGCGTCCGTGCCCTTAGCACCACCCTTGCGCGCCAAGAGCGCCTTGCGATCCTTATCCATGTGGAGCTTGGTGATGAGCACCTTGGACGGGTCGACGCCGACGTTGATCGTCGCGCCTGCGATGCGAAAACCACGATTCGTCGCTCGGTCAGTCTCCCACTCGCGCGTCTCTCGTTCGCTCGCGCGAGGCGTCACCATCGTCCCGTCCTCATCGATCTACTCCCCGGCGGCGCGCGCGACGACGCCGTCCGTCGTCCCCGCGCGTTCGCGCGCCGACCCTAACTAGGGCTTTCCTCGAATCATCGTCTTCGCCCTCGTCCCCGTCGTGCCGCGCGACGCGATCTCGACGCCATCGAAACGTACCGTTCACCTTATCGCGCGTGATATTCTTGATGTGAATCACCCACTTCTTGCGATACACCTGCTCAACCTTCCCCTCGCGATTCTTAAACTTCCCGCGCGTCACGCGCACTTCGTCGTTCACGCGGATCGGCACCGCGTTCGCGCCGTACTGCGCCTTGAGTTCGCTCGCGAGCGGGGCGGACATGATTTTACGGCGCTCACTGCTCGGGGCGGTGAAGTGCGCCTTGCGCGTCTTGCGACGGGAGCTCGTGACGGAGGTCGAGTACTTCATCGGGCGTCGGCGAAAGACGGCGAGGCGGGCGCGGGGCGCGACGACGGGCGCGCCGTGCGGGCCGTGTGTGTTTTTCGATGATCCGTCAATGCAAACCCAATGGGACAATGCACAATGAACCTTGTGTCGTTTTCTACGTATTTAGTGAATTTTAGGTCCATGAGTGTGAATCGCACGCGCGCGCCGTGTCCAGCCCGCGCCCGGGACGGGGCGGACCCGACACCCATGAGAACTTCGTGGGCAAAGCAATGCACAATGAACCTTGTGTCGTTTTCTACGTATTTAGTGAATTTTAGGTCCATGAGTGTGAATCGCACGCGCGCGGCGTGTCCAGCCCGCGCCAGCAAACCCAATGGCACCTTGTGTCGTTTTCTACGTATTTAGTGAATTTTAGGTCGATGAGTGTGAATCGCACGCGCGCGGCGTGTCCAGCCCGCGCGTAACGACATCCATCGGTCGACCGCGCCGACTCGCGGTGACGCGGCGCGACGACGGACGGCAGACCGGCGCGAACGACCGACGCGCGCGCGATGAAGACGTACAGCGTCGAAGTTCCGGGAACGGGCGGCGCGCGAGAGACGCCCACGCGACGGTGGGTCGACGCGAGGGCGCGACAATCGCGACGAGGATTGGCGGCGAACGCGCGCGCGATGGGACGACGAACGCGATGACTGACGGTGAAGGACGACGAACAGGAACGCGGAGTATCCCGATGCGTTGATGACGGGATTCGCGGCGCCGCACGGGTCGGTGCGGACGCTGCACGACTGTTGGGAATCGATGGCGAGGCGACACGCGAACGCGCCGTGTCTGGGGACGAGGGACGTGGACGCGAAGACCGGGACGCCGGGGAAGTATACGTTTAGGACGTTCGCGGAGGTTGCGCGCGAACGGGTGGCGCTGGGGAGCGCGATGGCTCGGTTTGGGATCGCGCCGGGGAGCGCGATGGGGTTGTACAGCATCAACACGCCGGAGTGGGTGGCGCTCGAGGCGGCGATGACGCGACAGGGGGTGATTTCTGTGCCGTTGTACGACACCCTCGGACCGGATGCGGTGGTGTACATCGCGAACCATGCGTCTTTGTGTGCGGTGGCGTGCTCGCACGCGGTGTTGGCGACGATGGTGGCGTGTTTGAAGGACACGCCGACGGTGAAGCTCGTGGTGTGCTACGGCGGTCGAGGCGCCGGGAGCTCGGATTTCGCGGCGATTCGCTCGGCTCGCGAGCTCTTGCCGCCGGGGGTGAAACTGGTGAGTTATGAAGATATGTTAGAGATCGGTTCGCGGAATCCATCGCCCGCGACACCGGCGGCGCCGGATGATTTGGCGACGATTTGTTACACTAGCGGCACGACGGGGGCGCCGAAGGGCGTCATGCTGACGCATCGAAACTTGATCAGCAACGCCGCAGGTTATGCGTATGACTTAGAACTCGGTCCGGGCGATAGTCACGTATCGTATCTTCCGCTCGCTCACATCTACGAGCGAGTGACGATGCTGGTAGTGTTGTTCAACGGCGCCAAAGTTGGGTTTTATCGCGGAGACGTCTTGCAACTTTTGGACGACATCAACGCCTTGAAACCGACCGTTTTTTGCTCCGTGCCTCGATTATGGAACCGAATTTACGATAAAGTGAATGCGGGCGTGCGCGAGGGCAGCGTGGTGGCGCAAAAGCTCTTCGCGTGGGCGTTCGAGTCCAAACGACGGGCGCTGTCCAAGGGTCAAACGCCAAACGCCCTGTTCGAGAAAGTCGTCTTCTCCAAGCTTCGCGCCAAGCTCGGCGGCCGCGTCCGCTACATGTCCACAGGTTCCGCTCCGATCAGCGCTGAAGTCATGGAGTTTTTGCGCATCGCTTTCGGATGCGTGCTCGAAGGTTACGGCATGACGGAATCCGCGTGCGTAATCTCAAAGACGGCGCAAGACGACTTCACCACGGGTCACGTCGGCGCCCCGGCGCCGTGCTGCGAGATCAAACTGGTGGACGTTCCCGAGATGCGATACACGAAAAATGATCACCCTCATCCTCGCGGAGAGATTTGCGTGCGCGGTCCGAGCGTGTTCCGTGGGTATTACAAGAACGACGCCGAGACCGCGGACGTCGTCGACCGCGACGGTTGGCTTCACACGGGCGACATCGGCACCTGGCTCCCAGGCGGTCGCTTGAAAATTATCGATAGAAAGAAGAACATCTTCAAGCTGGCTCAAGGCGAGTACGTGGCGCCGGAAAAGATTGAAAACGTCTACGCCCGCAACAAGTTTGTCGCACAATCCTTCGTCTACGGCGACTCCCTTCAGGCGCACCTCGTCGCCGTCGTCGTCCCCGATGAGGAAGTCTTGATGCCTTGGGCGGCCGCGAAGTCGTCCGAATTCAAGGGCATGAGCTTTAAAGATTTGTGCGCCGATGAACGCGTGAAAGCTCACGTGTTGAAGAGCATGATCGCCACGGGGAACGACGCCGGCCTGAAGGGATTCGAGCAAGTCCGAGCGATTCGCCTGTGCGACGAATTGTTCACCGTGGAGAACGGTTTGATCACCCCGACGTTCAAGTTGAAGCGCCCGCAGGCGCGCGAGCGGTTCCAGCGCGACATCGACGAAATGTACGCGCGAGGACGATGAACGCGACCGCACTTTATCTAGTATCGCCGCTAGGCACCGCATTGTTGAATCACACAAATTTAAACGTTTAAACTTCTCAAGTCGAAGCGAGGACGAAGGGGCGCGTGGCAAGAGGACAATTCTTTATCGTAGTGGTGGTGTTAATGAACACCAAAAGTTTATAGTCCATGGAACAAAGATTTCCCTAGACTGTTTTTGGTTTTTTTCTGTTTTTCGTGCTAATAAAGTCGCCCGCCTCCGCGGAGGGGAACGAAGCCGTCGTTCGAAACGCTTACGCGGAGGTGAACTTGGTGACAGCCTTGGTGCCTTCGGAGACGGCGTGCTTGGCGAGTTCACCCGGCAAGATCAATCGGACCGCGGTTTGGATTTCGCGGGACGTGACCGTCGGCTTCTTGTTGTATCGCGCGAGCTTGGCGGCTTCCGTGGCGATCTTCTCGAAGATGTCGTTGATGAACGAGTTCATGATGGACATCGCCTTGGAGGAGATACCGGTGTCCGGGTGCACTTGCTTCAAGACCTTGTAGATGTAGATCTTGTAGGTTTCGGACTTGGACTTGCGTCCAACCTTCTTGGCGCCCGAGGGCTTCTTTTGCGCGGGTTTCTTGGCCATCGTGTTCGTGCGTTCGCGTCGTGGAATGGCGCGCGCCCGGGACGCGCGACGGCAACGGGCGATTTTTCGCGAAATCGACTCATCGTTTCGGGGAGTCGAGTTCACGGGTCAGGACTCGTCGACTGGAGTGACTCGTGCTTTTTCAGCCAATAGAATCACCGCGTTTTGTGTAATTGCACGAAACAGATACATACTGTTTACTACTACGAGCAAAAAGCCAATCATAATTCACAATTTCGTGTCAAACGCGAAAACGCACCCAATCGTATGGAAACTTAGTGCGCCGCGCGGCGCTTCGTTTCCGAAAACTCGTCGAGTGGGCGCGCGATGGCGCGCGAGCGTCATTACTCGACGCGCGTGCACACGCCCGTTCGCTTACTCACACAACACACAACGTACGTGCGCGCGCGTTGATTGTTTTCGCGCTCGTCTCGTCGCCGTCGTCGCCGCCGCGAGAGAACGCGCACTGACCGCTCGTCGTCGTTTCGCGCGCTTCGCAGTCTTTCACGAAAATGTCTGGTCGCGGTAAAGGAAAGTCCGGCAAGAAGGCCACGAGCCGATCCGCCAAGGCGGGCTTGCAATTCCCGGTCGGTCGTGTCGCCCGTTACTTGAAGGCTGGCAAGTACGCCACGCGCGTCGGTGCCGGTGCGCCGGTCTACTTGGCCGCCGTGCTCGAATACTTGTGCGCGGAGGTGCTCGAACTCGCGGGCAACGCGAGCCGAGACAACAAGAAGTCCCGCATCGTGCCGCGCCACATTCAGTTGGCGATCCGCAACGACGAAGAGCTTTCCAAGCTCCTCGGTACGGTGACCATCGCGGCCGGTGGTGTTTTGCCGAACATCCACTCCGTGTTGTTGCCGAAGAAGTCCAAGAAGTAAACGGCGACTCTTCGAGACACGGTCGACCGCGCGCGTTTATCAACGCGATCGGTCTGTATCATACCAACCATTAGCGAACATGACAAACCATAGCGATATAATTTGATATATGACGACGATGTCTGCGCGTGATACGAATGAACTCGCCGCCGTTTCCTTCGTCCTTCGTCTCGTTCGCGCGCCTTTGTCTCGCGAGTCGCGGCGCCCCGGCCCGCACTTCTCGGCGACCGCGGGAGTCAACGCGCCGTCATGGACGACGCGCGCGCGAGTCCGAAGGTTCAGCTCATCATGAACGCGTGCTCGGCGTCCAAAGCCGCGGACGTCGTGCTCGCCGTCGGTGCGAAACCGTGCATGGGATGCACCACCTACGAGGAAGCCGCGCTCACCGCATCGCTCTGCGACGTGACCGTGTTGAATTTCGGCACGCCCACGACGGCGGAGATCGCAAACGCCGTGCTCAGCGCGCAAAACGTCGTGGTCGATCCCGTGGGGTGTGGACTGGAGACGAGAGGGAGAACGGTAAAGGAGTGGTTGGAACGGCGCGGCGCCGTCGCTCGGGACGCGAGCGATGTGCGACCGATGCGCACTGTGGTGAAGGGAAATCGAAGTGAAATCGAAGCGTTGATTGAGTTGTTTGCTGTGAACGGTAGCGTTGGGGCGAATTTGAGCGTTACGCCGGAATCGTCCGACGGCGACTGCGCGGAAAAAGACGTTTTCGACGCGCTGAATCAACTATCGGAAAAGCTTGGCGCGATGATTGTGATGACTGGGAGCGTGGATTATGTTACCACACCGCGATCAACTCGGGTCGATGGTGCGCCCGGAAACGAAGCCGTTCATGAGTTCGATGCGCCGATTCTGCAGAAATTTTCTGGCGCGGGTTGTTGCCTCGGAGCCTTCCTGGCGGCGACGGTTCCTGGATCGGGACTAGCGAATGCGAGAGCGTTGCGAGCCTCGTGCCTAGTGTACAGACGGATTGCGACTGACGTTGTTCGGTTAGGGAACTTTTCCGGACCTGCTTCTTTCCAAGTGGCATTCTTTGACGCGCTGGCGAGTCTAAAAAGCTACGAGTAGTGAGCGCGTCGGAGATGAGGACCGTGTGAAATAGACTAGCTATGGTGTAGAAATTGAAAAAGGTATAGTTTAGCTAGCCGAATCACGCTCAAGGCGCATCACACCTGACCCGCCTTGTCGACGGATTTCTCGTCTTCGCCTTCGGGGACGAAATCTTCCCAGCGATACATGTACATCGCCGATACTTGAAGCGCGAGGATGAAGGAAAAGAACAAGCTCGTAAACCCCCACGCCGCCATGTCGCCGACGTATTTCACTTGACTCCCGGGCTTGTACCAGAACGGACACGCCGCGAGCAAGGTGAAAATCATGAAGAACCACGGGATCGGGTTGGAGAGCATCTTGTCCACTTTTTTACCGATGAACAGCGTGTTCGTTTGCGCGGTCGCCGCGGATTTCGCGGCGGGGACGACAAACTTTTCCAAGAGTGTGACGAGAATGACGACGCCGACGTTTATCAAAAACGCAAAGCATGCGGTGTTCCACCCCGTGGAGTGTTCATCGAGGCCGAGGTTCCGCTTGACGTTGAACTCGGTGTCCAGAACCATGACCAAGCCGGAGATGACACCAGCCACGATACCGGCTAGGACGGCTTCGCCGGAGAGCCAGTGAAGGTGGATCCCACCCCATACTGCTGGAACGGCGTGAATCGGGGTGACGGTTTGAATGGAGAACAACCCAGTGATGTCGGGTTTGCCTTCGCGGAGGTTGACGATGGACAGCCCCAAACCGACACCGAGAGCGGCGAGGGAGGACACCAATCCAACGATTTTCAGCGCGTTTCCATCGACACGCGCTTTTGGGAACACTTTTTGAACGTAGGGCTGGTAAATGTCGCGCACAAACATCGTACTGAAGGCGAGCAAACCAGAGTCGGCGGTGGATATCATCGCCGCGAAGGCGGCGAGAACCAAGAGCGACGCGGAGAAGTCCCCGAACGCCGAAGCGTTCTTCAGCTGGAGTGCGAGTTTTCCAAAGATTGATTGTTGATTTCCGATGTCCGCCACAGTGGCGACATCACGCAGGGCGTACACCGCGGTCCAACCGGCGATCATGGTGGAGAGTTGGACCCAGAAAAAGGTAAAGTTCATCCCCGCCAAACCGCGTTGGAGCATTTTACGATCCTTCGCGACGAACAATCGCATGGCGAGGTGCGGAAACATCGTCGCCGCGACGGACACGCGAAGCGTGAACGAGGTGTACGATATGATGGACCAAGACCCGTCCGTTTTGGGAATGGTTTGAAACTTGGGGGGTGACGCCGCGGCGAAGTAATCCTTCGCTCGCGACAATCCACCGAATTCCACCCCGCTCGCGATGAAGAAGATCAGCGAACCGACGATGAGCATGCATCCTTGAATGATGTCCGTATACGCCACCGCACGAAGACCACCGACGGCCTCGACGGCGATCATGATCAAGGCAAAGATCAACACCCCGCCCGTCTCCGAGATGGCGCCGGCGGTGAACGCCTCGACGATTTTACCCATCGACACAAACTGCGAAATTTGGTAGCAGAAGATTGGAAGCAACAAACACCCCCAGGTGATCACTCGCAGCGCGTGCGCCGTGAGTTGATGCCGAGAATTCGGCGCGCTGAACCTGTCGTAGACGACTTCGCTCAGCGTGAGATACCCTCGCAATTTTCCGAGCGCGTTCAGTCGCGGCGCCATGATCAAAAATCCCATGTACACCCCGACGCCCGCTGGAATCCATCGCGTGGCGAACCATCCCTTAAACCACGCCTCCCACGCGATCCCTTCCACGGAATACGCCGAAAACAGCGACGCCGAGAGCGTAAAAAACAGCGCGACGCCGCCGAGTCCCTTCCCGCCGCCGAAGTGGTTCCGCATCGCGTCCCCAGCGTCGTTCGCCGCCGCCTTATTTCGCCGGTGCGCGAACGTCGCCGCCGCGCCGGACGCGACCCCGTACAGCGATATCAGCGCGTACAACCACCCGTAGTTCGCCATCGTCGTTTCTCCGGGATTTGCCCTAACCCCCGCGTCCTCGTCGTTCGCGCGACCCCTCGCGCGTCGTTCGCCGGCTCAGTCCTTACGCAGGTATTACCCCGATACAAGTTCAAACGATTTACGTGTTCTCAGGCTCGATTCGCGCGCCGTCGGCCGTCGCGCGTCGTCGGAAGCCACTCGCCGAGCGCGGTGTGCGGACGCGTTCGACGCGCCGCGCGCGCATCGATCGTCGATCGATCGATCGCCCGGTTTCGTTTCGCGCGGCCGATCGTCGGCGCCGGTTTCGAGGCGAGGTCGACCACCGACCGCGGAAACCACGGGCGGCCGCCGAAAGCGCAGGCTGGACAAAACGCGATCACGCATTTCAAGCTCATAGGCTTAACGAACGTTGAATACACAGGAAACTCTTGGGGCCGTTTTAGTGGTTTCAACTTTGGATCCGCGTTAAGTGGTATACCTCAAAGAGTTTCCTACGTATTCAGCATTCGTCAAGCCGATGAGCTCGAAATGCGTGATTACGTTTTGTCCAGCCTGCGCGTGCGCGATCGATGGCGCGATCGACGCCCGCCGTCGCCCTCGCGATCGATGCCGATCGATGGCGCGATCGACGCGATCGATCGAGCGCGATCGACGCCTTTCGACGCGTTTCGAGCGACGCGATCGATCGATGCGTCGAGGTTCGCGCGCGATCGATGGCGAACCCGCGCGGCGTCCGTCGCGCACACGACGACGCGACGACGCGCGACGACGCGCGACGCGCGCGCGGCGACGCGCGACGCGCGGCGCGACGGACGACGCGCGCGCGATGGATCCGTCGACGACCGCGAGCGAGGTGCGCGCGCGCGGCGACGACGAGGGCGGGCGACGAAGGGGACGCGCGGGCGGCGCGCGGGACGCTCGGAGGCGGCGCGCGTCGCGCGGGGGCGTTCTCAACGACGCGACGACGCGGCGATGGGTGGCGATCGTGGTTTTTGACGTTCGGGCGTCGCGCGTCGGGCGGACGGAGGACGGCCTCGACGGCGGTGGCGCGACGCGCGCGCGCGCGCGCGGCGGCGCGACGCGGCGACGGCGGCGGCGCGGAGACAGACGCGGCGCGACGGTCGTCGGTCGACGCGCGCGTCGTGGAATGCTCGCGCGAGGCGTTTTTATCGGTTTCGCGCGCGTTTGCGAGACGACTGACGGGTTTCGGTGACGTGGTTGTCGCTCGCAGACGCCCGCTCGGCCCGATTCGGCGCGAGCGCTGTGGAGTCGCCCCGACGTCGCGAAATACGTCGCGGAGATGACCGCCAGCGGGTCGTTCGTGCATCAGATGGCCACCGGGGAGCTCCCTCGCGAGAAGTATCTTCGCTATCTGTCGCAAGACGCGTACTTCTTGTTTCATTTCAATCGAGCGTACGCGCAGGCGCTTCGCCTGGCCGCGGACGTCGACGAGCAGAGAGTCTTTCACGAACTCATCGGCGGCGTGCTCGACGAGCTGAAGTTACACTCCGCGGCGTGTGAAAAGTGGGGCGTGGACGTGGACGCCGTCGAGGTGCACGCCGCGAGCCGGGCGTACGTGGAGTTTCTGGAGTCTTTGCACGGGAAATCTTCGCTCGAGTTGGTCGCCGGGATGATTCCGTGCATGCGACTGTATGCGTACGTCGGTCGGTACTTTCTCACGCGAGCGGATGCGGGTGTAGACGGAATTCCCGACCCGCGGACGTCACCGTACGCCGAATGGTTCGAGGCGTACGGTGGGGATGAGATGGAATCCCTCGCGTGTCGTTTAGAGTCGTTATTACCCGAAGAAATCGAGGATGAGCGCGCCGTCGATAATTACGTCGAGGCGATTCGTCTTGAACGTGACTTCTTCGCCGCGCACGCGTAGTCATCTAGCTAATGATAGTATTAACACGTTAGGATTGAACTAATGCAGCAACTTATGGACCGCCTTTTTCACGTCCGCCGCGTTGGCGACGGCGGAAATGACGGCTATTCCGTCGGCGCCCGTCGCTCGAACAGACGCGGCGTTTTCGAGCGAGACGCCCCCGATGGCGACGACTGGTAAGGAAAGCTCGCGAGCTACCGCGATAACTTTCCCGACACCATCCAAGCCGATGACTTTAGCGTCACCCTTGGAATTAGTGCCGAAACACGCGCCGCACCCTATGTAATCGGCGTCGTCGGCGCTTGCTTGGCGCGCCAAAGACACCTCTCGACAGCTCACTCCGATCCATTTATTCGGACCAAGAATTTGTCGAGCCTCCGCGCAAGTCATGTCTGACTGACCCAAGTGCACACCATCGGCGTCACACGCGATGGCGACGTCGACACGATCGTTGACGATGAACGGGACGCCGTATTCATCGCACGCCGCCTTCATCGCCTTGGCGCGTTCGATCAAGGCCCTCGTCGAGGGATCCTTATCGCGCATCTGCACAATCGTCACTCCCGCCTCGAGCGCCTGTCGAAGCTTATCCATGGTCAACGCCTCACTGCTGACGAGATAAAGTTTCAAACATCGCGGATCGAACCGCTTTCCACGCGCCGCCGCGCCGGCGTGAAACGGCAAATGATTCAACGGCCCGTGTCCCGCGCCGTACCCCGGACTCGTTCGAATCGCCTCCGAGATGTACCTCTTCGCTCGATGCACCGCCGTAGGAACGTCATACCTTTGCGCCAACGACGCCGCGATCGAGCTCGCGAGCGTGCACCCGGTCCCGTGAGTGTGCCTCGTATCTATTCTCGCGCTCGAGAACGTCGTCGTCCTCCCCGTGTTCGCCTCGTACAAATAATCCACCGACATCTCCGCGTCATCCTTGACGTGCCCACCCTTAAGTAACACCCACTGACACCCTAACTTCCCTAACTCCTTCGCCCGCGTCGCCATCGTCTCCATCACGAACTCTTCCTCGCTCAAGTTTAGCAGCGCCGCCGCCTCCGGGACGTTTGGCGTGATCACCGTCGCGAGCGGCGCCAATCGATCCCGCATCACCTCCAGCGCCTCCGCTTCGAGCAGGCTCGCGCCGCCTTTCGCCAGCATCACCGTGTCCACGACGACGTTGGTCAATCGATGTCGTTCGATCGCGTCGGCGACGGCGCGCGTCGTCGCCGCGTTGGCCAGCATCCCCGTCTTGCACGCGTCTGGCGGTAGATCCGTCACCACGGCCTCGATCTGCGCCTCGATGAACTCCAACGGTGCGGCGTGGACGCCGTGCACGCCCGTGGTGTTTTGAGCGGTGAGCGCGGTGATGGCGGTCGTGGCGAAGGCGCCGTGGGCGAGGATCGCCTTGACGTCGGCTTGGACGCCGGCGCCGCCGCCCGAGTCGGAGCCGGCGACGACGAGGACTTTACCGCGAACCATTCGAGGAGGCGCGGAGGGGTTGGCGCGAGACGTGTACGAGGTGAATGGTGAATTACGCGCCGATGGGCGATGGGCTAGTGTCGGGACCGCGCCGTCGCGCGAGGCGCGGCGTGCGGACGACCGGGACGAAAAGTCACTTGATCCGGTAGCCCTCCTCGGCGTACGATTTGCCGCGCTCGAAAACCTCCCAACGGTTCGCTGGAAACATGGACTTGTTCTTGTCGTACCAAGAGCGGAGGATGACCTTGCCGGGATGGGAATTTTCAACCTCGACGTTGGCGCCGCCGCGGAGGCGAACGTCGTCCTTGACGTCGAAGCGAAACAGCGGTCCGGATTTCCCGCGCGCCTTGGTCGTGATGAGCTCGTGGAAAGTTAAATCTGGGAGCATGATCAAATCTTCTTTGACGTACATCATCCCGGAGACGTCGCAGTGACGCATGTCTCGCTGCACGGTGCGCTCGCCGTCGGCCAAGAGCTCGGCGCGCACCTTGCCGAGAAACGCCTCCACGGTATCGCCTTTGACGCATTTGATCTTCCCGCCGGCTCTGCGCGAGCCGTCGTAATAACTATACGTGATGATCACGGGTTCGTTCCTCTCCAAGCGCGACTTGGTGAGAAATTCCTCCTCTATCGCTCGTCGCTCTCGAAGCTCCTCCTCCTCTCTCGCGCGGTCGGGGAGAAATTCTGTGTTCACGTTCGGGTTCTTCCCGAGCCCGAAGCCCTTATTTACGACTAGTTCTTCACCCTCCGCGACTTCGTCTGATTCCTCGTCGCCGAACGATAATTTATGCGACGTCTTCGTCGCCCGTTTTCGCTTCCGCTTCGCCTTGACCTCCTCGGCCCGCGTTCGCGCCTCCTCCTCCTTCTCAGCCTTTTCCCTCGCCATCGCGCCCTCGATCTCGTCCTGACGCTTGACGAAATCTTCTCGAGTCATCAGTCCGACCGTGGACGCCTTGAACGCGGCGTCGACGCGCTCGACGGTGCTCGAGGCGAAACCGACGAGGCGGCTGGTGGACGCTGGGACATCGCTCGCGGGAGTCGCGCGGGCGGTTTCAGCGCGCTCGCTCGCGACGGCGCGGTCGGCGTTGAACGCGTGACGCGCCGGGGCGTCGTCGGGAGGCGAGGGGGGTGGGTCGGGCATGGCGCGGGCGCGCCTCGGCGTGTGCCGCTCGACCGAGCGGGACGCGCGGGGAGTTTCGTCGTCGTCTACCGTCTAGTTGTGTATTACACGTCGTCGATGTCGCCTGAACGCGCCGTCGTCGTCGCGCGTTCGTCTATTCCTGTCTCGCTCGTTTGATTGGCGGCGGCGGGGGCGGCGGGCCGACGCCCGCGCCCGTCTGCGCTCGCGCTCCCGGGGGCGCGCCGCGCATCTGTTGCTGCATCATCATCATCTGTTGCGGGTGCATCGGCGGCGGCGGACGCACCGGCGCTGGATACGGAACGCCGCCGTATCCGGGCTTATCCGGCGGAATCGGCCCCTTCCACGCCGTGTCCGGCGGCGGCGGCAAAGGATCGTTCCGCCCGAGCGACGCCGCCGCCGGTTGCACTTTTGGAATTTCCGCGAACGTCACCACGCACGACTTTCCATTTATCTCCTTTCCGTGCAGATTCTCCTTGCACTGCGCCGCCGCATCCGCCGTCGCGAACTCCACCGCGCAGCACCCTTTGCTCTTCCCGGTTGCCTTGTCCGCGAAAAACGTCAGCGACTTCACTCGGCCAAACTCGCCGAGAATCGCCTCCAGCTCCGCGTCCGTGGTCCACCACGTGAGAGAGGCGACGTAGACCGCGGTCGGGCGGCCGTCGTCCGGGACGTTCGGAGAAGACGTGCGCGGCGGCGCCGCGGCCGCCTTGACCGGCGCCGCCGCCGCGCGCGCCGTCGTCGCCGTCGTCGTCGATCGAACCGGCGCGTCGTCGTCTGGGTCGTGCGAAATGCGTACGTCGTCGTCAGTCGCCCCGCGTCGGGTCTTTCGCGCGGTGCGCGCGTCGAGCGCGCGGGAAAGTTTAAGCGGGAGAATTGTGTGTCGGCGCGCGCGCCGCGTGGGCGTCGTCGCTCGCGTCGCGCACGCACCGACATCGCCGTAGAGCAACGCGTCCTCGTCTATGTCATCATCTGCGGCCGTCATCGAGGTCGAGGGGCGCGCGCGGACGTGTGGCGGCGAGACGATCTGCAGGGCGCGTCGAGGCGGGCCGGCGAGAGGGAACGCCGACGAGTCGATTTCGAAAGAAAGTGCGCTAATTTGTCATTCAAACGGTCATAACTCTATGGAAACGTGGATCGAAATTTCGTGAGACGCTTTAACGCGGTGAGCCAGGCGCTGCACTCGTCCCAATCGCCGGTGGTGAGGGCCATTTGGACGCCGTGCGCGGCGGTGAAATTCGCCGTGTCGAGCGCCTCGGCGAGAGATTTGAGCTTGGCGACGACGGATGGGGACACCTCGGCGGCGTTGAGCTTCCAGAGGAGAACACCGAGTCGTCTGGAGCTGTCGTCCATCTCTTTACGCTTCGCTGGATGGGCGGCGGCGGCGGCGGCGCACGCGTCGTAGAGCGAGCGAAGCGACTGCGCGACGGGCGCGAGGTCGGGTGAAATCTTGCTCGTGTCGACGGTTTCCACGGAGCAGTTCGCCGGTGGTTGCGGCTTTGCCGGCGCCGCAGGTGGCGGTGGTGGTGCTGCGGCCGGCTGCTGCTGCATCGGCGGCGGAGCCGGCGCAAAGGTTGACGGTTGCGGCGGGCCGGGCTGGAAGCTCTGCTGCTGGTGCTGCGGCGCGCCGTACGCCTGCGCCGAAGGTGGCGGTGTAGGCGCATTCGCACCGTACGCCGGTTGCTCGACGCGTTGCGGAATGATCGGCGGCGGCGTTGCGGGCGCAGGGTTGAACGAGGCAGCGGGGGCGACGGACGAAGGCGGCGGCGGCGGTGCGCGCGAGGGCTGTTGTTGCGGCGGCCCGCCCATTTGCTGCTGTTGTTGCGGCATCATGGGAGTCGGAACCATCATTCCGGGCATTGGTGGTGGCGCTTGGTGATGCTGCGGAGCCATCGGCGCCGGAGGCGCACCGTAACCACCGCCGATCGGGGGTGCTGCGGGGGCGCCCATGTTGCCCGCGGCGACTTGAGCGGCGACGTTGTACGCCGCGGTCATCGACGGAGGCACAGACGGTTGCGCTGGCTGACTCATACCTCCCCCGTATCCACTAGGGGTGGCGTACGCGCTCTCAACAGGCGCACTGTCGTACGCGGTCTGTCTCGGCGGCGGTCCCGTGGGAGCTGCCTGTTGTGGCGGCGGCCGGGGCGCTGCGGTCCCGGGGGGCATCGCAGGGGTCGGCGATGATCCCGAAAAGTACCCACCCTGCATATCGATCGGAGGCATCGTCGGTATCATCGGCGCCGGTTGCTGCGGCGCTCGTTGAGGAACTTGCGAAACTGGCGGTGGCGCCATAGCCGCAGGCGTGAAAGTCGTCGGCGGAGGCGGAGGCGCCGGGGTGCTGTACGCCGAAGTCATCGACGGCGGGACGCCGTACGCGGCTTGGGATCCATAAGACGATGGCTGTGCCGGAGGTGGCGAGGCCTGGTACGCAGACATCGTGGATGGAGCGCCATACGACGGCTGTACCACCGACGCAGAGACCGGAGACGCGACGACTGGCGCACTCGTGGTCGCCTTGTTGGAAATACTGCTGCGAATAATTCTGTTGCGCAAGACGTTTACTTCTTCACCCGGGGTCCCGGGAACCATGCCCAAGTAATCTAACGCGCTGTCCAGATCACCTTGGGAAGACAACATTTCCGCGTAATTCGTAATCAAACTCGTGAAACCTTGCGTAGCTTCCGATTGTCCCGCCGCGCGAGTCATCATCACAGCCTTCTCGACTACACTGTACAAATCCTTTGGACTAAAGTTTCTCGACGGCAGTGAAGACAGCCAGTACTTGATAGCCGCATCCACATTACCCGCACAAACGTAGCACAGCATCGCAGACTTATGATCTCCGCTCTTTGCCAATCCCTCGGCGAGAACTTCCGCTAATGGACCCCATTCATCACCAGGGGCGTACGTGCACAACAACGCCAGCGTCTCACGCCAAGCCGACACCGGCCGCGCCTTGACGAGATTCGACAAGTTCTTTCCGACCACCGCCGCGGCCACTTGCATGTACGGGCGCGGAACTCGCGCAATGTGCGCAGCTTGGGTTTCAGCCCATAGTTCCGGACCACCAGCCGCGGCGAGGATGAGGGCGTCGGCGTAGCGCTCGGCGCGCTTGCACGCGTCCACGGCGGCTTTGTAATCGCCTACAATCAAAGCGCGTTGAATCTCAAAATCAGCAGCCGTCGGCGGTGGAGCCTTTGAAACCACCGGCGCCGGTTTTTTCGGCGCCGGTTTTTTCGGCGACGGAATGTGCTTCGGCGACGTAGGTTGCGCCGCGTCTCCAAGGTTGTCGAAGAATGCGTCAGAGTCCTCGACCGGAGGCAGCGCTGGCGACGTCGGTGTACTCACCGGCGTCGACGCATCGGCTTGCGAATCATCAGTATCCTTAATCGACAAGGCCGCGAGGGACTTCTCGCGCGCCTCCAAGGCGTCACCAAACTCGAGGTGGCGTAACATTTCTCGCCTGGCGTCCTCGGTGAATAAGATACTCATAAACGTCCAAGCTTCGTGCTCTTCACCCTTGGCCATGCGTTTCTTCGCCTCGCAAAATTTAATCAGCGCCTCCGTGTCTCCTCCCTTCACGGCGTCTTCAAACTCGGAGCTGTTTTCTTTCACCACCAAACCATCCGTCGTCTCGCTCTTGACGGAAATCACGGTCACGGCGCCCGGCGTCGCCGGGGCACCCTGGAGCGTGGCTCCGTGCGCCACGAGCTTACCACCGAATCCGAAAGTGGCCCCGCAAGGACGTTTCAACCAGTTCGGTGCGCGTTTCATCGGCATCGTTGGACCGGCGCTTTGCTGGTGGGCGAGTTCGGAAAAGTCCGAGCTCACGCCGTGAGCGTCCGCTGAACCTTGCGCCGTCGCCCCCGCCTTTTGCAAGTTGTGCAAGGTGATCTTGCCGTCGAACGAAGATGTGGACAAGATGCCGGGCGTCGTCTTGCTCCATTGAACGTCGAAATTCCAGTTCGCGCTCGCGGGAAGCTCGGAAATGACCTCACCGGCCTCGGTGTCCCAGCAAAGCGTCCTGTTGTCCTTGCCGCACGTGAGCAGCAGGGACGGATCTTGCAAGTTCCAGGCCATGGCGAGCACGCCTTTGGAATGGGCGACGAATTCGCGCGCAGGAGAGATAGAGTTCCGCAAATCCCACACCTGAAGCGAGCACGAGCGATCGTCGTCGCTCGCGACGATAAGCTGGGTCGCCACCTCTGGGTTCCACTGCAACGCCGAGCACCGCCGGCGGGAATTCGGATCGGTGAACGAAATCACCGGACGCTGACGCTTCAAATCCCAAACCACCGTGGTACCGTTGAGCGAAGAAGACGCCAAAATGTGCTGCACTTTATGATTCCACGCCAAATACGAAACCTCCCCGGCGCTCGGGCCGCCCGAGGTAGACTTGAGCGCGGGATACAACGACGGCTTGTTCGGATTTGCCAAATCCCAAATACAAAGCTCCCCATCCTCCGCCCCGCTCGCGAGCAGGTTGGGTGAGAACGTGTTAAAGTCCAAGCCCCTCACCGCACCCTGATGCTTGGCCAACTTTGTGATTATCGCCCCGCTCTGGGCGCCGTCCACGATCTTCGCCGGATTGTACACGTTCACCGTGCCGTCCACCAACCCCCCGGCAATCAACCCCAGCCGCGTCTCCTCCGACGCCGCGCCCCTCCCCCACACCAACCTATGAAACCTCTCCGTCGACGGCACCGCCTTCCCGCGCGTCGGCATCTCAAACTCCCCATCCGCGTAGTCCGTCGAGAAGATTTCCAAACACGCCGTCGTGCTAAACGACAAATCGATCGCCCCCGCCATCGTCCCCGTCGCCAGAAACGGCGCATCCGGGCTGTGAAGCGCGCGCACGCGCGCGTTCGTCAGTCTCGACCGCGATTTTCGCGCGCTCGCGCGCGCCTCGCGCGCGCCTCGTCACTTTTCGCGTCGTCCCGCGGGACAATCGCATTCAAGATTCGCGCGCGCGTGTACGCGTCGCGCGTCGCGCGCGCGCCGCGGTCGCCGCATCGGTGATCGCGCGCACCTGAACGCGACGGTCGCGCATCTGTTCGCGCGCTTCACCGCCGTCATGTCGATCGCGCGCGTGTGCGGACGCGCGCGGTCGCGGTCGATCGCGCGCGCGGTCGCGCGGCGCAGGCTAGACAAAACGGTCGCGCCTTTCGGGCTCTCATGAGGTTCAATCGGGATAAATATTGGGTAAATTCGCAGAGTTCGTGCGCGCGGTCGACCATGGTGCAGTGCAATTCGCGCCCGCGCGCGTCGGTGGTTTTCTTTCCATGGGCACATCATCGTTTTATCATTCATTCGCGCATCGTTCTCGATGCATTCGATTCATTCGACGGTCATCGGTCGTTCTCGATGCATTCGATGCATTCGACGGTCATCGGTCGTTCTCGATGCATTCGATTCATTCGACGGTCATCGGTCGTTCTCGATGCATTCGATGCATTCGACGGTCATCGGTCGTTCTCGATGCATTCGATTCGATCGATGGTCATCGGTCGTTCTCGATGCATTCGATGCATTCGACGGTCATCGGTCGTTCTCGATGCATTCGATTCGATCGATGGTCATCGGTCGTTCTCGATGCATTCGATGCATTCGACGGTCATCGGTCGTTCTCGATGCATTCGATTCGATCGATGGTCATCGGTCGTTCTCGATGCGTTCGATGCATTCGACGGCGACGGTCATCGGTCGTTCTCGATGCATTCGATTCGATCGATGGTCATCGGTCGTTCTCGATGCATTCGATTCGTTCGTTACGTCGAAGCTAATTTTCCGGGCGCGCGCCCGTGCGATCGTCGTTCGACGTTCGACGCGCTCGACGCGTTCGACGCACTCGCGCGCGCGTCCGCGCGTCGATGAATTTCATCAAGAAAGTGTCCCGCTCGTTCAAGCGCGTCGTGCTCGGGAGCGACAGCGACAGCGACGCGCGCGACGACGACGGGCGCGGCGCGCGCGCGGGACGGCGTCGAGGGCGGTCGCGGGCGACGCCCGTCGTGGAGAGCGCGGTGAGCGAGCTGAGCGGTCTCGCGCACGGTGGGGTGCAGGGACTGAACTGGGTCGTCGCACATCAGCGCGTGGACGAGGACGGGGACGTCGCGGATGGGTTTTTGATGTGTGAGGAGGCGCCGGCGCGAGGCGCCGAGGCGAGCGCGACGCCGTCGAGGAAAAAGAAACGAGGCGAACGGCGGTGACGAGACGATTGTTTGATGATGTACAACGCAAAAAAGAAAACGATTACTGCGTCTTGACCTTGAGCTTGCGACCGCCGAGGCGAACGCCGCTGTCGAGTTGCTTTTGCACGGGGAGGGACTGAAGGTAAAACGTCCCGGGACCGTGCAGACGAACGAAGAACAGACCCGCGCCGCCGAAAACCGCGGCCAGGGGAGAGCTTTGAATCTCGAGATCGTAGCCGACAGAACGCTCGAGAGCCATGACGGCGCGCGCGTCGACGACCATCTCCTCGTCTTTTTTCAGCGTTCGTCGGACGACGGTGCCCTTGCCGTTGATGCACACCGTGCCGTTGCCGATGAGCCATTCGCCGTTGAAGATGCTGTTGCCCTTGGAGAGCACCAAACGCGCGGCGAAACCGATGCGATACTTGAGCATGTCGGCGAAGGATGCGAAGTCGTTCTCCGTCGTGCGCAGCGCGGCGGCGGCGGTGATTCGTATGTTTCCCTTGGAGCACATGAAAGAATCGCGCGCGCACAAAATGTCGTGCTTCGTGTCATCTTTGAGTTCGATCACCGCGATTTTATCGCTCGGTTCCAGGCCACCGACGGCGATGTATCCCTCCACGCTGCCTAAGTTCCTAAACGTGTTGATGAAGAACGGCTCGCCCGCCAGGGCGCGCATGATGGCGCGCGGCAACCCGCCCGGACCGAGCGACGTCAGCGACATGACGTTTGAGCTCATGTAGCACATCGCCCCCGGACTCGCCGCCACCTCTTCCCCGGGTTTCAACTTGATTTGCGCGATTTGCGTATCCGTGCCGACCACGGTGACGTCGTGCGGCATTCTCGGATTCAAGTGGGAGTTTTTACTCTCCCTCTCCTCGATGAACTCTGGAATCGTCTTCGCGTACCGTCCGCTCTTGATCATCTGCGCCTCGCGCTGATTATTCAACAGCCTCTCCAACACCCCAGCGTCGTTCCCGCCCTCCAAGTCCGTCTCCATCGTGTTCGCCAAGTACTGCTGCAAGAAGAAGTTGAACACGAACCCGGCGACGAAGACGCCGCCGGCGATGATGAACACCCCCCACCCGCACGCGATCGCGCACGCCAACCACAGCGTCCCCATGTACGGATCGTTCGTGATGAAATAGCACCACCACGCGCAGACCAGAAACAGCGCCAGCCACTTGAACCCGTTCCGCCCTCCCCTGACCAGCGTGAACCCGCGCGACCACCCGCCGTCGCTCGCGCCGTCGCCGTCGTTCGCGCCCCAGCCCCCGTCGCCGCCCTCGCGCCCGCCGCCGCCGCGTCCATCGCCGCCTCCATCGCCCGTGACGACGTCCACGAATCCAAACTCCCGTCGCGTGCGCTCCTCGGCCTCGAGCTTCCGGTCCCGCTGCGCGCGCGTCGCCGCGCCCACCCCCAGCGCGCTCGCCGCGAACGCCGCCGCGTCGCGCACCGCGCTCGCCGCGCTCGCCGCGAGCAGCGTCCACTCCGACGGGTCCCCTCCCGGCGGTCCGCTCGGGAACACCTCGAACAGCGCGCGCGTCGTCCCGCGTCGACGCGCGTCCCGCCGCAAACCTATCGCGACGCGTCGTCGTCGCGCCGTCGCGTCGCGCGCGCGCGCGCCGCGCGACGCCGCGACCGCGCGCGACGTCCGTCGCGACGCCGCGCGCGTCTCGCCGCGCGAAAACGCGCCGTCGGGCGCGCGCAGCGCGCGCATTCGGACGCGAACCGCGCGCGGCGATGTCCCGCTCGAACGGTCGCGCGCGCACATCGCGACGATGCTCGTCGATCTCACGTCGCCCGCGCCCGCGCGCGCGTCGGAAGGCGCGGACGACGACGCTCGAAGCGCGCGACGCGCGTCGGCGGCGACGCGGCGCGCGCGCGCGACGCGCGAGGGCGAGGAGGAGGACGACGACGTGGTGCTCGTCGAGGCGTCGAAGACGAAGCGGCGACGCGCGTCGCTGGACGTCGTCGTCACGGGAGAGGCGACGCGGACGCGAGCGACGAACGCGCGCGAGGTGGGGGGGGCGCGCGCGCGCGCGCGGGCGGCGGCGCGGGCGGCGGCGGTGCGAGGGACGACGACGACGACGAAGGCGGCGACGACGGCGAACGCGAACGGGAACGCGAACGCGCGAGGACGGTGCGCGGTGTGCCTGGACGATTACGTGAACGCGACGACGACGAGGTGTGGACACGTGTTCTGCGCGCGGTGCGTGCGAGCGGCGATCGAGCACAGCGGGACGTGCCCGACGTGTCGGAAAAAGGTGACGAGGGCGCAGTGTCATCGCGTGTTTCTGTGAGTCCGGGGCGTCGCGAGGGATCTAGCGTAGCGTTGTAACAATGACGGTAGCGGTGTAGCGGTGCGGCGGTGCGGCGGTGGTTGATGAGATGGTCGATCGATTCGACGCGCGGGACCGCGAGGGCTAGGGTTGGACGCCGCGCTCGAGGCGCGTCGCGCGCTCGACGCACGTCTCGTTTTCGAGAATCGACGTCATGTAGTCGTCGTATTGTTTCTGCTTGCGGTTTTCGTAAACCTCGTAGGATTGGCGCATCTTTTCCGCGTCTTCCGGGGAAAGCGGGTTCTTGTTCGCGTCCGTCGGCGGTACGGCGGTGTAGATGCGATTGAGATCGATCAGGGCGGCGACTTGGGTGGGCAAATCCTCCTGCACCTTGGAGAGCCCGAAAGCGGACTCCGCCATACCTTTTGTCTCGTCACTCGCGGTGTCGATGCCGCAGATCAATCGCAAGCAAGACGCCATGAGCTGGTGGTTCCCGACTTGATCGTACGTCTTCTTCAACGCGCGCCCTAGATGATTCCTGGCGTCGTCGAAGCGACCCTGCTCGCGCAGGGCGCATCCGCTCGTGAACAAGGCGAGGACTTGATTCAGGACGCTCGCGCTCTTTTGTTCCTTGTGCGATCTCACCACGGGTTTGACTAATTCTAAAGCGCGACTGGCGCTGTCCTCTTCTTCGCAGCACAAAAGCGCGAGCGCCGAGCACAGAGTACCGATATCGCGCCAGCTAGGCGTGCTCGCCAACGACGCCGAACGCGCGAATCGAGCGCTCGCCTCGTTGTACTTTCCAAGCGCGTACATCGCGTGACCGGCGACCATTTCGACGTGAGACGCGAGTAAACTCAACGTCTGAGGATACGTTTCGATCATGTCCGTCATCTGGCACGCCACGTCTAAGGCCACGTCGTACTTGAACGACGTGAGCGCCACGGAGACGATGGATTCGAGAATGAGGACTCGCAAGTACAAGTATGGTCTCGCGTCTTGAGCGACGCGAAACTGCATCTCTTCCTCGCACGTCACCCACAGACGTTCGACATCATCGTCTTCATCCGCATCACTCTCGCCTTCTTCCGTCTTCACCACGGGCGCGTCGCCGCCTTGCGGCAAAACGCCGAGCGCGCGGAGCTCCTCGTCCACAAACTCCTTTGCGTCGGTGAGATACATCATCGCTTTCTTCAATTCACCGCCCGGTCGAACGACTTCGGCGGACAAGTAGTTGGCCAAAGCAAACGCAGCGGGATCGGGGAGCCATTTATACGCTTCCTTGTTCGCGTGTCTCACCTCATCCATGAGCGACTTGAACTTGCTCGGATCATTTTTCGCCGCAATCGGATCCCCTTCCATGAGCTTACCGAGAGTACGGGTGACGTAATAGTGAAACCGCAACCTCGCCGTGTCTTCCGGGGTTTTGATTTCGCTAAGCATCCTCGTCATCGCCTCATCAGCACTCTTCGCCGCTGCGTACACGTGATGCTCTTCGCTCCCGCTCGCCCGCTGCGCCAACGCGCGCTGCAGTTGCGCGACGGCAAACAACACCTCCATCTTCGACCCGGTGTCTTTATGAATAGATCGCACCACCTTCAATCCCGCATCTAAGTAAGTCTCGCATCCCGTCCAATCTTCTTCCACCATGCAGGCGTCCGCGTGTTCGAGATAGTAATGAAACGTCCACATCGTCCACCTCGCGTCCTCCGGCGCCCGCTCGCGCATCCCGATCGCCATCTGCAACCCGCGCTGCGTCGCGCCGAACCGCTGTCTTCGATATTCGTTCCCCATCATTTTATACGTCCGCCCCAGCAGACTCAGCCCGTGCACCCGCAGTTCCTCGCATCGCTTCAGCGGTTTCAACAGCACCTGCGCCGCCTCCAGATGCGTCTTCGCTCGATGCGCGTTGTCCGTGTGCTTCAACAGCAGCGACGCGCACTTCACCCGACACCGCGCCTCGATCTGCGGTAAACACTTCGCCTTCGTCTTCGCGTTCGCGATGAGCGTCTCGAGCGCCTTGATCGCGCCCAGCGCGTCGTTCGCGTCTTCGCACTCCTCGGCGAGGCGAATCAATCCGCGCGCGATGCTTCGCGCCGCGATCTCGGGCGCCTCGCTCGCCGCGCGCGTCGTCTTGTCCGACGCGCGCGCGCCGCGCCGCGCGCCGGTCGACGCGCGCGCGCGCTTCGCGCCGCGCGCCATCGCGTCGATCTGCGGCGTCGCCCGGGACGCCGCGCGATGGCGTTTGCGCGGGAACGCGCACATCGCGTTCGCGCGGCTCGTATACGAGACGAAGACTCGTATTCTGTGTGGTTTACATGGCGATGGCGGACGGCGCCGACGGCGGACGGCGGCGACTGAAAATACAACGACTAATCGATCAAGGCGCCGGGGCCGAAGTAAAGCCACAGCACGAATCGCGTGGGATTGAACGCGACGAGCGCGGCGAACGGCGCGAGGACGAGGACGAGCGCGGCGGGGTAGAGGAAGAATTCGGTGCGCTCGAGAAACGGCAACGCGTTGTAGCCGACGAAGACGCAATAGTTGTGATACGCCAACGCGATGGCGTACATCACGCAACTGCACGCGCTCGCCAAGTATCCACTGCGTCTCAACAGGGGACTGAGGAGGAGCTGGAGGACGTACAGGACGACGTACGTCGGCGCGAAGGCGTTGCAGTGCACGTCGAACGCATACATCCACTCCACTCTTTGTTCCACCGCGTGCGAATGGCCGCCCATGTGCTTCGTTCGCAAATATGTGTTCGCTAAGTACCACGACACCGTCGCCAAGACGCACCCGAGGCCGAGATAATCGCCCACCGCGCACCGCGCCGCGATTCGCGCCGTCGCGCTCGCCCCGCCTCCTCCGTACATCGCGCAGTATCCAATCGCCGCCACCGTCACGAACACGCACGACATCACCACGAACGTCGGATCGTCTCTCGCCCACTGATTTTTCGTCTGTTTCCTGTACGTCGTGTGTCGATACACCGCCTTTGGGTTGACGCACATCGACGCCGCCTGCCAGAGCGAGTACTCCACATCCATCTGTCGCCAACGAAACGCTCGCCTGAAGTAATGCCCCGCCGAGGCGTTACGTCGCGCGGCGTCGACGTACATGCGATATCGTTCGGCATAGTCACGGCTTCGCGGCTCCGCCGCGTTCGTCGTGGACGTCGTCTGCGTCGTCGGCAACATGACGCTGGCGTCGAGCAACGACTTCTTGGTTCACGAAACGCGTCGATCTCGCGCGTCTCGCGTCGCTCCGAGCGTCCGGTGCGCGTTCGATCGCCTATGACGGATACTGCGCGGCGCGCGCGAGCTCGACACGTCGAGCTCCGTCCGTCGCGGAGGCGTCGGGCGAGGGTGGATCTGCGGAGCGGGACGCGCAAAGCCTCGCGCGTCATCGACGGAACGCATAGTATCGATGAGCGATTTACACGAGCGAATGCGCCATCCTAAGTGATGTGCGCTCGCATGACTAGAATCCTCGCGCTTCGTCTTCGGGATCGAGTTCGAAATCTTCCGGCGGCGGTGGTTCGTCGTCGTCGGCGGCGTCCGCCGGGACGGGCGGCGCCACGGGCTTGAATTGAGCGTCCAGGTAAGCGATCTCTTCGTCCGGATCGGTGTCGCGAAGGACGACAAAACCTCTAGTGGGATACTTGAACGTGCCCGCGGGCGCGGCGATCGGGACGAAACGGCTGCTTTGATCAAAGCGAACCGCCTTTTCTTGCGCCGGCGTGACGCGGCTCGGATTGGTCAACTCTTCCGACGTCGGTTCGGGTTTGTCATCCTTCTTCTCGCCTTCTTCATCCTCTTTCTTCGCTTCACCGGCATCATCCTTGGTCATCTCCACGTCCATCGCGTCTTCAGTGGTGGTCTTTGAGGTCTTTTCGTCCGTTTTGACAGCAGCGGCGCCGTCGACGTCCATGCCCTCGGCGCCCTCGGCTTCAGCCTTCTTCTTATCCGCCTTCGCCTTTGCCTTCGCCGTCGTGCTGAGAACCGCCTTGACGATTTCACCACTATTCTTCTTGTCATCCTCCGTCACCGGTGCCGCGTAGGCAAACGTCGAAGGCTTGCAGTGCGACGTCACAGAGCAGTGCGGCATCGCGAGCGTGCGATCGACGGCGATGAAAGCGGTGGGAACAAACACGAGCGACAGGAAGTAAGAAAGTGGGTACCAGTACCAATACTGCGTGAACACGAGCATACCCAAGACAGAAGTCATTCGTGGACGACCAGAACGCGAGCGTAAGCCGATGGTGACGTTTCTGCCGCCGGCGTCTAAAATGCCCAGCGCCATGATGGCGCCCATCTTGCACATCGTCGTCTCGTGCGTCTCTTGAATGTGACCCATTACCTTCTTTCGAAACGGAGCCAGCTGCTTTTCAGTCTGCTGAATGCGCACCATCGCCATCGCGATCAAAGCACCTTGCTGAACGAAATCAACTTGATCGTTCATCATCGGATCGAGAAGTGCAATTGCGTCGGCGAGCCCAGTGCCCGCGCACGCGATGCCGACCGCCATAGCCGCGCCATATCGCACGTGCGGGTTGTAAGATTCTGCTAACAGAGCCACGACTCGAGGGCACTGCTCGGGAGTGGAGCACAGGACAAAACCCAACGACATTACGGCGGATCGCCGAACGTCGTCCGACACGTCTGACACGGCGGTGTGCAACAGCTTACGAAGGGCGTTGTTGTTTCCTGTGCCAGCATACGCCGACGCGAGGGCAAGACAGCCACCATAACGCATGATTTTATCCCCATCGTGGATCATCGACTCGATCAAATCATCACCACCTTCTTCTCGACCGTACACGGTGAGCGCCATGCCAAGCGAACAACCTCTAACGATTTTCCCGTGGCTCGTCTTGCCGCAGTACTGATGAATCTCCTTCGCTCGAGGCGTGCACGAACCCGCGTACAACAAGCCTAAACCTATACCCGCAGCCTCACCCGCAACTGCACTATCAGTTCGCAAAATTCTGAACAACTCCCCGTCCACCTGAGCGTTGCCAGTGCCCACCGCGGCGAGACCCAAGCCGAGGCACGCGCCGTGCTGGATGACCTCGTTGTTATTTCCACGAGCGCGCTCGAGAAGAAAAGGCAAAGCGTCTCCGGGTTGACCAGTATGAATCAACCCCATGGCATATAGCGCACCACCAAGCGTGTACGGACTCGGCGCAGGGAGAAGCTGCGAAAGCAACTGTCGCGAATCCTTTGTGCGCCCGCGATGAATGACGCCGACGCCCGCCGTGGCGCTGAATCGAGCCCAGTTCGTCGCTCTGCTCAACCAATCCAAGTTCTCGCGCAAAAATTTGTCACACGTCGTTCCGGCGTGCGTCAAAGCGTTCGCAAGCACCGTGGCAGAATGGCACACCGAGTTTCGCGACTCCACAGCGGTTTTCACTTGCTTCAACAAGAGCAAGTCGGCGTGATTGTGCGAGTACAAAAATTCCAAGTAGAGCGCGAACGGTCGTTCACCACTCAAAATGCTCCGCAACTTCTCTA